ATAATAATAATAATAATAATAATAATAATAATAATAATAATAATAATAATAATAACAATAATAATAATAATTATAATAATACCTATTTGCTAGAGTAGGAATATCTAAATAGGAACAAATCCAACTTTGATCCACACTACTTCCACTCCCTTCCTCTACTGTCCTACCCTAAACACAAATATTAGAAATAATCTTTTGATTTAACAAAGTTTAGATTTGAATAAAAAATAAAAAAAAAAGAAAAATACAAAAATATAAATGAGAAAGCCAACCAAATATCCTTTTCCAGTAAATAACTGGTTTTACATTTGCTGCTTCAAGCAAGGGTGTATAACACACTACACAGGGTACTATCATTTTGCCAGGCTGGGCCTAAAATCAAAACTAGAGAGACTACAGGGTCTCAAAGTCGTACCAGTAATTTGGCCTAAATTGGACCGTTTTCCCTTGTGTCTAAATAAAAAAATCATAATTTGAAATATCTTCAGATCTACGATATTGGATTGCAAAGATATAGCGATTAGTAAATCAGAGTTTGTGGCACACTCAATTTTTTTGTAATTTTCAAATTACCAAGAAGGGACCAAAAAGAAAGAAAATAATAGGATTTGATAATTTGCACAACGTGCATTGTACTTGAAATCATTAAAACGAAATGTTACTATGTTCCTACAAACCCTGAGCTAATAATATTAAGATTGTACGGTGTGGTAACAGTTCGCCCAATCACGTTTCACCCAATAACGTTTCACCCAATATAATGTTTCACCCAATTCACATTTCACCCAATACTACGTTTCAACCAAATTTGTTAACACAAATTCAAAATATATGGAAGACGATTTTACCGACTCGGATGTCGTTGACTATTCTCAAGACGTGTGTATCTATTTCTGCCATGAAGCGCCCACATGTCACCCTCGCTCCTTCGTTCCCCCCTCACCCCTCTACACATCCCAGCCCGGCAGTCAGATTGAAACACTGGAGATGACCACAACTCCGTCTCAGGGAGCAACCCTGGCTCCTTCATGGTGATGCTGCAGATACCTAGCTATCAACAGACGATGCTTACATCCAGCTCAATATTGTTCCAAGAGTTCCAAAATTATCATGCAAACATTGAGACGCATTCCCTCATACCCGAAAATGATAAAACCGCGATCTCTCCCCTTCCTTATCCAAAGCCTGGGGTGAGCGGAAACCTGATGTTCCAGTTCCTGATGATCTGCACCACCATCATGAAGCTCTACAAATATGTTCCAACTGATGTTCGTCAATAGTTTTCTTTGTTCATTTTTAACCAACCAATTTTACCCAGTCTTATGCAAATATTTCAAAACTTTTGTTTTTTTAAATAAATGTTAGAAATATCCATTTCAGATATCTTTGTTTTATTATAGTGACTCTTAAAGTCAACGAAATTACATTTCACCCAACTCACGTTTCGCCCAAATTACACTCACTTAAGAGTTTCAACCCCCCCCCCAAAAAAAAATTCTTGCCAATTTTATTATGAATTTATAAAAATTTTATCTTTGAATTTACAAAAGTTATATACATAAAGACACAATTAACAATCTATTCTAGTACTGCTCAGGTCAGGCATCCTCTCATAGTCAAAACATGCACTCTTTAATGAAGTTAGGATTGAAGGTTTGGAGTGCAACCTTAAAGGGAGTGTTCGCAAAAAATGAAAGGGGGTATAGGCTTTTTGCGATGAAAAGCCCTTTTGATTGCTACAAATCTTACTTCTTTCTGTTGCGTCTATAAGGAGAAAATTGTTAAAGACGTCTCATACCGAAGAACGTAGCGACCATACAAATTGAGAAAATTGCAACATAAGACTTAGACTTTAAAAAAATCAATTTAATTTCAAACAAATCATTCAGATATTACAACCTACAGTCATCGATTATCTTTCGCCACATTTATATATAGTTGATTTTTCATAATATGTTTTAATTGTTATGATCTGAGAGTTACTTATAAAAACATTTTTTCCTGTTTCGAGGATTTTTGGTAATGAAGACAGCATTTTCATATTTTCCAGGAATGTTCGAAAACAAGTTGTAAGCTAAATATTATTTTAAAAACCAAAATCAAAACTAGTATGAAATATCAAATATATACAAATGTGGCGAAAGATAATCGATGACTATAGGTTGTAATATCTGAATGATTTGTTTAAAATTAAATTGATCTTTTTGTGGTCTAAGTCGTATGTTGCAATTTTCTCAATTTGTATGGACGCCATGTTATTCGGTATGAGACGTTTTTAACAATTTTCTCCTTAAAGACGCAACAGATATAAGTAAGATTTTCATTTTTCATTTTTGGCGAACACTCCCTTTAAGATTTGCCATCCGGGCTGACCAACGTTCAGTTCGTGATCATTTGGGTCGGCTCGTCTGACTGTAACCAGCTCTTGTAGCTTGGTCCTGGCCAAGCTCTTCTCCCTTTTGAACATTTATATAATTAGCTACATGTAACTGCCCGCAATGTTGAGCTCAAATGTGGTTTGCAGATTTCGAGCACAAAAGTTGCGGATTTACAACAATATGCAGTCGACCCACTCAGATTAGAATATTTTAACAAATCTAAGAAGATTTACATGATTCTCCTGATTTCCCCAATCAAAATTTGAGGCAAATCGGTCCAGGAGTTGAGTTATGATCAGAAATTGGGCAATGCAACATATGTTAGAGGAATAAAAAAAAAAGGGTGAAACTCTTAAGTAGGTGTAATTTGGGCGAAACTTGAGTAGGGTGAATCGTAATTTGGGTGTAACGTTTTATTGGATGAAACGTAAATTGGGTGAAACGTTATTGGATGAAAAGTTATTGGATGAAAAGTTATTTCACCTAAAATTGGGTGAAACGTTATTGGGTGAAACGTGACTGTTACCACACCGATTGTAGCTGTAAAACCTGAGCTAATAATACAAAGATTGTACCTGTAAAACCTGAGATAATAATACTAATATTGTACCTGTAAAACCTGAGCTAATAATACTAGGATTGTACCTGTAAAACCTGAGCTAATAATACTAAGATTGTACCTGTAGACCCTGAGATAATAATACTAAGATTGTACCTGTAAAAACTGAGCTAATAATACTAATATTGTACCTGTAAAACCTGAGCTAATAATACTAAGATTGTACCTGTAGACCCTGAGCTAATAATACTAAGATTGTACCTGTAAACCTGAGCTTAATACTAAGATTGTACCTGTAAAACCTGAGCTAATAATACCAAGATTGTACCTGTAAAACTTGAGCTAATATTATTAAGATTGTACCTGTAAACACTGAGCTAATAATACTAAGAGTGTACCTGTAAAACCTGAGCCAATGATGTGCAATCCTCATCAGCAAACACTAGAGACTAAACCAACAAACTTAAAGGGACTCTAGACGTTATCTTAAGAATGGCATTTCTAATTTATAACGATACTCTCGAAACCCTTTTTTTATCTCGACTGATCCATTATTTTCACTTTAAAAAACTAATTATTTTCTCTATTAATTCCTCTCAAGAAACTATATACAGGAACGCCCAACTCAGATATACGCAAATTGTGCAACTGTACACTGTGGTACGAATTTAAACAATTTAAACAATCACAGTTCAACAAAAAACAAGTTAAATAGATCAAGTTAGAGCGAATACTTATGATTTTTGGCTTTCTGGTCAATATGGAAAATACAATAGCTATATATTCTTATTCCACCCTTTGGACAAAAATGATGCGTTGCCCCTGAATTCTTTGTTTTAATCTCCTCCCACTGCAGTACACAGATTTGACGCATCAGATATGGCGGTTCCTGGTCTATATATTTCTTGATTCCTCTGAAGTTTCTTTTAAAAATTAAATCACAATTTTGGAAAAATAACGCTAACAAAAATGACGCTACAAAAATAATGTAGCGCTATTAAAACCTTGATTGTTTAAGAGATTATGAAAAAATATTAGTTTATTGGTTTCCTTTATTTCTTGTTTAGTAATAGTTTGTTTGTTTTTACTCAGCATAGATTCTAGCAGTACGTCAACTATCTGAGCTGTACAAGGAACCTGCAGTACATTAAAACATAACAACTAAGGAAAATAAGTTTGGAACTAGAGATGGGCGCGTTCGGGTATTTCATTTCGTTCGTGAATGACCCATTTCTTTCATTTTTTTCAATCGTTTAGAAAATAATTAATTTCGTTAGTTCTCAAACTTATAGTTAATTTTACATTTATTTCATTTATTTCTGTAAAAACTATATTTTTCTTAAAAGTCTGTTAAAAAATCATCGTTCAATAAAAAACTTTTGTTTCGAAAAGTTTTTTAAAAAATCGTTTGTTCAGTAAAAAAACAATAGATTTTTTCAAATCTTTCGGAAAATTAGTTTTTTCAATAAAAAAAAATGTTCGAACGAACGATTTTGGATCGTTAATTTTAAAAAAATTATCGTTTTTTTCCTTTCTATAAACAATCCAAACCATTCTTTTTTTTCTTAACGTCACCATTGTTCACAAAAAATTTCGTTCTTTCTCAAAAATTTTGTTTATTCACAAAAATGATGTCCATCTCTACATGGAACCCTGAAATATTTGTTTACAAAACAAATGAACTGTAGTTTTTTAGAGAAACAAATTCAAGGATTGCTCAGACACAGTTTTGTTTATATACTTGTAGTAAATTTATTTTGTAAACAAAAATAAGGGAATTCCTTGTTGTTCTATTAGTTCTATTGGTCTCTTTAGTTGGATATTTTTCTGTAAAAAACTGCATATGTTGTAGAATGTAGGGGTTGCAGGGCCGCCAGAGCCTCGCGAATGACCTCCGGGGTCTCCTGATACGCGCATGACCTCTAAGCCACGTAAAATCGTCTCCGCGCCTCTTGCTACTTCTCATGGCCTCCAATATTCTGTTTCCACGCCCCGAATTTTGGTCTCCAATAAAAGATTTTTGGTTATAAAACCACATAAAACTGTCGCTACATGATAAAATAGTTTTATACTCGTATATAAACAACTTGCATAGAAAAGTCTATTTTAATTGAGATTATGACTTCTATTTTTGTTTTCTAAATTTCACAATTTCCTTAACTTGTAAATTGATATTGCAGGGCTCATTGTAGATGACATATAGAACTTGTCAATTTTTATTTTTAACTGTAAATTTGAAACTAAATTATAATTTCCCCGGCATTTGGCAAAGAAAACGACATTTATAAAAGATCTTCCTTGTATTTATAAAGATGGAATATCCCTGTCAGCGTAAATAAATGTTTAACCTGTAGGTTTAGTTCTACAGATGCATTATGTAGTAGTTCAGTCATATCTTTCATTCCTCTTACATCAACCCTAAACAATAATATTTGCCGTTTAGCTATCAATCCTAAGGTATGTAGACTATACAGGTATGGGCGATAGGAAAACTAGTTCCTAGTAGACCAAATACGTCACAGAAACTAGTTCTTCAGCAGTCCAAATACGTCACAGAAACTAGGTCTTCAGTAGTCCAATTACGTCACAGAAACTAGTTCTTCAGCAGTCCAAATACATCACAGAAACTAGTTCTTCAGTAGTCCAAATACGTCACAGAAACTACAGAAACTAGTTCTTCAGTAGTCCAAATACGTCTCAGATCAATTTAGTTCTTCAGCAGTCCAAATGCGTCACAGAAACTGGTTCTTCAGCAGTCCAAATGCGTCACAGAAACTAGTTCTTCAGTAGTCCAAATACGTCACAGAAACTAGTTCTTCAGCAGTCCAAATACGCCACAGAAACTAGTTCTTCAGTAGTCCAAATACGTCACAGAAACTATATTTCTTCAGTAATCCAAATACGTCACAGAAACTATATTTCTTCAGTAGTCCAAATACGTCACAGAAACTAGTTCTTCAGTAATCCAAATACGCCACAGAAACTAGTTCTTCAGTAGTCCAAATACGCCACAGAAACTATATTTCTTCAGTAATCCAAATACGTCACAGAAACTATATTTCTTCAGTAGTCCAAATACGTCACAGAAACTATATTTCTTCAGTAATCCAAATACGTCACAGAAACTATATTTCTTCAGTAGTCCAAATACGTCACAGAAACTAGTTCTTCAGTAATCCAAATACGTCACAGAAACTAGTTCTTCAGTAGTCCAAATACGCCACAGAAACTAGTTCTTCAGTAGTCCAAATACGCCACAGAAACTAGTTCTTCAGTAATCCAAATACGTCACAGAAACTAGTTCTTCAGTAATCCAAATACGTCACAGAAACTAGTTCTTCAGTAGTCCAAATACGCCACAGAAACTAGTTCTTCAGTAGTCCAAATACGTCACAGAAACTAGTTCTTCAGTAGTCCAAATACGCCACAGAAACTAGTTCTTCAGTAGTCCAAATACGCCACAGAAACTAGTTCTTCAGCAGTCCAAATATCACTCTCCACTAAACCCCACTTTTCTTCGTTCACAGTACTTCAAACCACTGCAGTACACACGGAAAGCTTAGTTGAGGATGCTATGTCACAGATTCATATAATACGCCAATCCTATCCCGTACCTGTAGTCTACATACCTTGGTCAATCCTATCGCCCGTACCTGTAGTCTACATACCTTGGTCAATCCTATCGCCCGTACCTGTAGTCTACATACATGGTCAATCCTTTCTTTCAGATAATTCTTTTCCTTCAGCAATACTTTTCTGCTTTCACTTTAAAACTTCAAATGCATTTATGTAAAATTATTTTAAAAGGGCTGCTGACGTAATTTCAACTGCCCCTCTATTTACAGAGACATGGTCAATTCACCACGGTACCCTTTCTCTAATCAGGTATGAATTAGATATCATTTTTCTCCTGAACATTTGATTAACTTCAATTGTGGTTTCTCTTAATTGGTCTGCGAATTCATGCTACGCCACCCCACTCAGAGATCCTATATCTAGGTTCTCATCGTAGCTGTTCTCTTGTCCTCTTTCTTCACCTCCAGGATGGCACCGCTAGTCTTTATACTATTGTGATCTTTATCCTGTCCATTGTTTTCCTATCTCTTTTATGCCTTATCTCTAGCGGTGTCCTTATTCCAGATATATGCCAAGAAGATCCTGAAGGCCTTCCTGCGCTACACACATCATGAAGAAAATTTTCAAAATTGTCAAGATAGAAAAACGATGATATCTTCCTAATGATGTTTCTCAGATAGAGGTTTAAAGGGTACCATTGTGAATCGGGCAAATCTATCAATAAAGGGGCACTTGAAAATACCTCTTCAGTCCCTTTAAATATGTTTCTTTGTAATAATCTGATCTACAGAGCGTCCCATATCATATTAGACTTTCTCCAATCTGTAACGCCTAAATACACATATAATACTCGAAAAATCTAGCATTTTCTGCAAGAAAAAATTTCTATTAGCCTTATTAAATTTTTCAAAATGATTCATTCATCTTATATTTTATGATTTGTCCCCCAAATCGTAATTTAGACCCATTGACGCGGTCTAATTTGATGTGGGACACCCTGTAGCTCAAAACTATCTGAAGATTAATTTAATCTGAAGATTTATTTATTCTTTATTTTGTATTCAGAAAGTTCTATAAAATTCAACCAATCAGAGGAATGTTTGGAGAAACCCGAAAAGCCAATCAGATGCTGCGAAATTTTGAAATTTTTGGCGTGCAATTAACGAACATGAAGGGATATCCGAAAAGAGAGGATTGAGCAGAATTCAAAAGTGTCCACAATGTATATTCAGATTAACCGATCGGGATTAAAGGTGTCCAATTCTAAAGTTTTCAGCTTTGATATGTTTAATCAAGCTAGAACGAAGACATAAACTTTCAAATTAAATTTTGACCAACACAAATATTTTTGAAGTTTTGATCATATTCCGAAATAAATAGATTTTCGAAATTTTCAAAAAAAAAAATAAGTTGCATTTAATTTCCCTGTGAAACAGCTAATGTTATTTATTTTCATGTCAGATTTAATTTCTTAAAGGCCCTACCATAGGTTCACCCATAGGTACAACGTCATTTACACTATGGTTTACCCATGTCCGGATTTCTTAAACACAAAAGTAACATAAGTAGAGTTCAACCTATGGTTATTTAACCTTAGGTAGAGATAACCCAGGTGCAACTAGGATTCAACCATAGGTAAACTCAGTTGACTGTGGTTGATTAGTATTTTTAAATGTACCAATGGTACAACTCCAGGACTAAGAAATCGGCCTATTTTAACAACATTTAATTCAAATAAGCACAAGTAGTAGTTTAAAACTGTTTGGTTTGGGGTTAAAAACTAGTAACAGAATATTATTATATAATTATATAATTGTCCATCTTTAAAATCAAGTCTTTTTTACAAGAATATAACTAAAACGTAGTGAAACTGTTGTGTAAATAAAAATGGATGAAAACGGGAGGAAAACCCTCTTTCAAAACTAAAGATTATTACCTGAAGTCTTTTTTGAGAACAGGTTTGTGTGTTGTGGCGATAAGATCACTTTTATCGATGTGCTCATCTTTTTCAAGATCATTGTCCTCTGCTTTATCTTTGTCCTCTTTATTCGTAAGGATATCAAGACTGTTCTTGTTGTCCTCATCCTCACTTTTATCCTCGTCCTCTACCTTGTCCTTTGATTCATTCTTGTCCTCATTCTCTGTGTCCTGGTCGCTGTCCATTTCACGTCCCATTTTCTGAAAAATAATTTCAAGGAACTCTTCATTGATAAAGTGGCATGTCGGGTTCACAACGATACTAGAAACAGCTTTTTCTTAAAAATAATGCATGAGATTTTCATAATTTTCTCTTTAAAAACTGATAATTTCTATGATGGTTTCTCTAAAATGGAATATATTGTCAAAATAAACGTTTCAAGCTAGTGTTTAACAACGAAATCTTTTAAATGTTTTTTTACAAAAACAAAAACATCCATTGTTGTTTTTTATCAAGCCAGTATATAAGAATATCATTGATTGTTTTTTTATGTATAATAACTTAAATCCATGTGCAATGAATTGATAAACTGACATGACCAACTATTTCTTACTATACAGTTTAAGAAAATTATGGAAGTATGGTGTAGCCATGCTATAAGAGGGGGGGGGGTGAGGTAATGAAATTTCCCAATACCAAATATATCGAGGAGGCCTCTGATTGTGGAATTACTTTATTTTGATTGATATTTGTTTTTGTTTTTGATTCGAAAAACAAAAGGAAGCATCAACGACAAAATGTCACATAAACGACCCCTATTGTAATAAAAAATATCCAGTTGGGCATATTTTCGAGTTATTTTAAAAGCTTACTGGTGTTCAAAACCCTTAATCACTGTCACCCTGTATATGATATATATGAAACATAAGATGGTAAATTTAAGAAATTTGAGAAACGAATGCTACAAGATCCTATGTTATAGTTTCTTTTATGAAGAGTAATATCTTTTGTTTGAAACCTCAAGCTATCCCCCGAGCATGCCTCCCCAGTCCCCCCCCCCTCCCCTCTCCTCTCAGACCTGAAATACACAAGCAATATCACTTTAATTATATCTATTCACTGCTCTTACTCCAATCTTTAATCAGTCCTCTGTTAAAACCTTTAAACTGGTTTTTAGGGCCCCTAAAATGTCCAAAGGTTGAAAAGGACAATGGTATTTCACATTTTCACAAGAAATAAATGCGTGAGTTAGAGTACACTGTACTGTATACTGAAGGTTGCGTGAACGTATATTGGGGTATACAGTGTACTTTACACTCTCTACTACGGTCAAAGAATTCTTTCCAACTGGACTCTATCCAAGTATTTAACTATCTTTCTATCTATATTATATCTATCTATCTATCTTTTTATTTCTCTCTCTTTTGTCTTCTGTAAGAGTGTAACCAAGGAGATATGAAGATTTTAGGTACACCGTACACGAAGTAAGTTTTATTTTTAGACCTAACGGGGGGTGGGGGGATCCCTCATGCACCCCCATCCCCTCTCCTTGCAAGGAGCACGAATCCGTCCCTGAAACATGCATGTTAAAATCCTTAAACATTCTTTATTTTTTATTGTTTAAACATTATTTTTGTTCGAATATAATTATGTTTATGTTTTTTTTTATAAACATCGTTGACAATTTCTGAAAAGATATATTGCGTCTCAAAAGAAAAATACATCAGTTCGTAGCTGATAAAATACTAAAAAACTCTTAAGTTTCATCTTTTCCCCAGAGTTTGTCATTTCGATTCTTACACGGGTAGCCGTAGTACATTTGAATTTCCGAGCCGGGTCAACCTTTCCGGTCCTAGTTTGTACTGTAACAAGCTCTATGGACAGGACTAGCCGGTGCAACAAGGTTGACGCGGTCAGACTTTATTCTTTATATAGGTTGAATATACTTTTACTAAAGGGGCAAGAGGTGCGTGCTTATCATTAAAAATCCTAAATTTCATTGGAATTTAAATTTAAGATCTGAAAAAGATTTTTTTTATTTTTTTGTTAAAATAAGTTATTATTTCCTATTTAAAAAGTGCATGAACCCCCCCCCCATCCCTCTCCTTCCTTTAAATTAAAAAAAGAATGGCTTAATTACCTTTACTTATACAATCAGTAACCTGCACAGTATTGTTTTATTGTCACAACACAGTTTAAAACATTATTTCTTTCTAAAATCAATGTATTTTATAATTTGAATTAAATATATGCATGCAATCAGAGTATTTGTATTTACTATTTACATATAGTTTCGGGCCCTGCAAACCTTATTTTACCTTTATTTTACCTCATACATTAACCACGTTATTAACGTTATTTTAATCTAAAAGAATGAAAGAAGACGCCAATCATTCCCCTTTTTTGGTTAATCAGTATAGGCCTGTTCATTTTTGAAAACTGAACAAAAATGGTTTGATGGGGAGGGTTGATATATTGAAACAAAAAATAAAATTTCTTTTTCACCATTTATAAAATTTTCAAATACTTTCCAATCATTTTTCAAACATTTTTCAAACATTTTTCAAACGTTTTTCAAACATTTTTCAAACGTTTTTCAAACGTTTTTCAAACATTTTTCAAACATTTTTCAAACTTTTTTCAAACATTTTTCAACCGTTTTTCAAACATTTTTCAAACATTTTTCAAACATTTTTCAAACATTTTTCAAACATTTTTCAAACATTTTTCAAACATTTTTCAAACATTAAAAAATTATAGGGTTGTTTTGAATAGTTCAAAATATATTTTCTTTAAAATTGACTATTTTCAAGTTGGTATAGCTTATAAAAAAAGCACTATGAATAAAAATGGAGAATGTGAGTTGGGTGGGGGGGGGGGAGTAATTACATGTTTATTAGCGCCCCCCCCCCTCTATCTCTCTTAGATAACCCCCAGACTTGATTTCATGCAAAGTCTGGAGTAGAAATCAGCCCCTTCAAAAATGAAATCTACAAAAAAATTGGTTAAGAAAATTAAAAAAAATACATCTGATTCACACCAAAAGTAGTGATAAAAAGCCTCTTGAATTTCTCATTAAAATTTAATTTTTTCATAATTAACACAATTAATTTAATTCAGTTCCAGTTATATTTCAAGGTTAGATAAGTTTAAACACAACTAATCATTAACAAGAAAAATGTTTAGATAGTTTAATGAATCCAAAACTGCGTAGGCTGTTGTAAGAAGGACCCCCTATAACAGTGGGATATTTTAAGGGGTCATAAGGGGGGGGGGTGACTGGGTTTTGTCACAATACTTCTCTTAAAAAGCATTTGTCTTGTGTTTCATGATGAGAATGAACAAAAATCGTTTTTTAGGAAATTACCAAATTCTTTGTGTCAGCAAACTCCTTTATCTGGGGGAACTAGCTAGGAGAACAAAGCTTTGCCTGAAAATCTAAAACTTTCTCTATAAACGTCAATTTACTCAATTTTGAAATTTTAAACCAAGCTAAGAACATTCCCGTGGTTCTACCGAGTTCCCTACCCAAAATTTTAGCCAAATTGGTTCAAAGGGATCTTGAGTTATGCATTTATGATCACAAAGACAAACAGAGATTACTACTTTGTATTTATGAATGCTGAATCAACCAACGGTTTGGGGGGGGGGGGGAAGGAGGCATTAGCTGCAGCAAATAAACAAGGTAATTAAGAGCTAGAGACTATGTACAAATTTTGTTCTGATCGTTATCAGAAAACCCAGTTTGTATAAACGAAATATTTTACGCATTTGAACTTTTAAAATTGTGTATCTTTTAAAATTGACACAGATTTATACTATATATGGTAAACATATCTTTAACAAATATTAACGCATTTTAGTAAGAATGCTTTGGTAAAAACATTTTGTTAGAAATAACGAACATTATGTTGGAAATTATGAACATTTTGGTAGAAATTCGAACTTTTTTGAAACAACGAACATTTGTTGGAAATTACGATTTTTAAAGAAATTACGAACAATTTTTAGAAATTACAAACATTTTGTTAGAAATAACAAACATTTTGTTGGAAATAACGAACATTTTGTTAGAAAATTCTAACATTTGCTTTGAAATTACGAATACTTATTTACAAATGACGGACATTTTGTTCAAATTTACGAACATTTTGATAGAAAATTCAAATATTTTGTTCGAAATTATGGATATTTATTTATGAATGACGCACATTTTCTTTGAATTTACGAACATGTTGTTAGAAATAACGAACATTTTGTTAGAACAAACGAACAACACTTTGTTAGAAATAACGAACATATTGCTGAAATAAAAACATTTTGCCAGAAATTACGAACATTTTTAAGAACATTCAAATATTTCATTACAAATAACAAATATTTTGTTAGAAATGACGAACATTTTGAGAGAAATTACGAATATTCTGATAGAAATTGAGAACATTTTGTTAGAAGTAACGAACATCTTTTTAGAAAATAGGAATATTTTGTTAAAAAAATTACGATGTTTTATTAGAAATAACGAATATTTGTTAGAAATTACAAATATTTTTGGTAAAGAAATAACTAACATTTTGTTAAAAATTTCGAACAATTATGTTAAAAATTACAAACATTTTTTAGAAATAACGAACATTTTGTTAGAAATTACGAAAAATTTGTTCCGAACAGAATTTTAGAGATGAAACATTTGTGAGATACACTTACCATTCTGCTTATAGTTTTAGTTTGTGTTCATGAATTATGAATCGTCCTTTAATTCACATATTTTACAGGACTCCCTGTAGATGGGGATGGATGTCAAAAAATCAAAAAACATTAAATTTTTTAACTCTCCCGTTAATATAGTGTCCAAATGTATAGCTTTATGTATGATCTCCTATTACAACGTTAAAGCAACCTATGTAGTGAGATTGCAGTTAACATATTACATCCTTAGAATTCTCATCACGTCATATTTGAAATTGATTTTAGTCCGCCTGTTATAACAAATCATTGTTAACCAAGTAAATATACCAATCAATTAATCAATTAGATATAGCAATCAATTTATCAAGTGAAAATAGCAATCAATTAATCAAGTGAATATAAGTACAATGATCTTATTACAAAATGGATGGTCTTCAACGTTTACAACAATTTTCTTAGGAATCAATCCAATTGTTGATGCGAGCTGGTTAAAAGTAGTCTTGAGTAATTCTGAACAGTCTAGAGACACATATGGCTATAGAAATATCTTCCCATTTGTACGCATTACATGTTATTGTTAATGTTATTGTTTACATTGTATCACTTTACATACACCCTGCAGTACGTTTAATACACATTTAGTCAATCTTTACTTTTCTTTCTGTTTGAACTGGCTCATTGACGACTGGCCGGCATGGTCCGCCTTAAACGATTCTGATTCTTGAAACAATAATCACAAATTAACCTTAGCTCTGACATTTCCAAAAATGTTGTCTGCCTTTTTTGCACTTTCAAAATTACTGGAGATATGAACGATCAGACAGCTTTTCAGGGAGAGTAAACATGGTTCAATCATGCCAAAATTTAGGCATTACGAAAAAAAATCAGAACTGTTCATTATCCTGTATTGAAATTATATAGAAAATGATCAATTGACATTTTCCAGCTTCCCATAACTCCAACGAAATTAACCCAAAATAGTTATTTATTGAGTTAAAGTAATTTTATGAAGACAACGTGTCTATTAAACGGACTGTGAAACAAGACAACATCTATATTAAAGAGACTGTCTAACAAGACAGCGTGAAACAAGACAACATCTATATTAAAGAGACTGTCTAACAAGACAGCGTCTGGACTGTGAAACAAGACAACATCTATATTAAAGAGACTGTCTAACAAGACAGCGTCTATTAAAGGGACTGTGAAACAAGACAACATTTACATTAAAGAGACTGTTTGACAAGACAGCGTCTATTAAAGGGACTGTAAAACAAGATAACATCTATATTAAAGAGACTGTTTGACAAGACAGCGTATATTAAAGGGACTGTGAAACAAGACACATCTATATTAAAGAGACTGTCTGACAAGACAGCGCCTATTAAAGGGACTGTAAAACAAGACAACATCTATATTAAAGAGACTGTTTGACAAGACAGCGTATTTTAAAGGGACCGTGAAACAAGACACATCTATATTAAAGAGACTGTCTGACAAGACAGCCTATATTAAAGGGACTGTGAAACAAGACAACATCTATATTACAGAGACTGTCTGACAAGTCAGCGTCTATTAAAGGGACGGTGAAACAAGACAACATCTATATTAAAGAGACTGTCTGACAAGACAGCGTCTATTAAAGGGACTGCAAAACAAGACAACATCTATATTAAAGAGACTTTCTGACAAGTCAGCGTCTATTAAATGGACTGTAAAACAAGACAACATCTATATTAAAGAGACTGTCTGACAAGTCAGCGTCTATTTAAGGGACTGTGAAACAAGACAACATCTAAATTAAAGAGACTGTATGACAAGTCAGACATATCCTTGCTCATGAAAATGTTCAATACTCCGAAATCGACATCTTGATCCTCATAAAAAGTCAAAATTTGTAAACTTTTCAAAACATACCAGAATGGGTATACCAGATAAAGAACAATTCTGATCTGTCATTGAGACTAATTTAAGACTTGAGCTTTCGAATTTAAGTTGCAACTAATTGAGTTGAGTTATTTATCCGGCTTAATATTTTTTTTTGCGGATTTTCATGGTTGGATGTGGCGGATTCAAGGGGTGGATAGTAAAATAAAACTCAACATTAAGACAAATTTTCCACTAAAACAACCAAGGTCGGTTTTATTTTCATTGGGCCTAATTCCTTAAATCGAGCCTAAAAGCTGGCTGTTGTCAATTATGTGATCATGTGATTCATACGTTGGGTCTATAGATTGAGCATTGAAGCTGCAGGTCTAAGGAATTAAGACTCAAGCTGAAGCTTTTAAATTGTGCGATGATGGGTCTGTTTTATTATAATTATTGTAATTGTCTGTGAAAAAGTATCAGCTCTAATTCTACAATATGCCCAACGCTAGTTCTAATGTAAGCTGGATTTAATGAGTTTGCATGCATCGATAGAATTTCAACCTGTCATCTTTTTTTTCTGATCCAGTAAATTGATTGATTGATTGATTACAGGTTTATTGATAAATTCCCAAACCGGTTATTCAGGATTCTACACCGGCAGGATTAAAGAAGGTATTCAGAGTTATCCACAAAGGATGACACTTTAATGACGACTTACAACTCTTTATCTGTAGGTTAAATTATGTTGTTTAACGACTTGGCAATTTAATAAAACAAATTAAAACTGCAATTGAAAGAATGCAAGATTTAATACTAAATAAATTCTGAACAGTCGTCTTGCATTTCACATCCTGTGTAGTTGTACTTGTAACCTTGTAAATAAAAATAAAAATAAAAAAACTATATTGATGTCGTCTTCGCTATGATTTAATCAGAAATGCCAATTAGGATTTTTCTCAGGGAAAAATTCTTTAAGATTCCTTTGAGACATATAAAACTTTAATGAGTTTGAGTGCATAGTCGACGTTCAAAATCATGAATTTGAGTGGGTAGGTTTTCAGAATCGGTTTTTTTAAATTATGAAGTAACGACGACGAAAAATAAAGTTAAATTTATACAGTAAACTAATTAGATGATTAGGAATAGGAACATATTTCTCAAAAGAAATTTGTCAATAAATCAATGCTAGAATCTTGAATTTTCTTTGTATTTATTCGCAGATTTCTACAAATTCTTCAAATGTCGTCTTTTTAATAGTAATTCCAGAAAATCTGCAGAAAATCTTTGTGAATAATGAGAAACAAGAATAATAATAAGAAGAAACTAATAATTGAACAAGATTACATATTTTCGATGATAAGATTAATTTTTATTTTCCAAAGCTGTTTCTAAACAACTAATTAGTTTAATGTAGAATTTTGTTTACTTTCTTTGTCGTTGATGTTTAATAATCTTTTCCTTAAAAATGTAAAATGTAGACGCAAACTGATTCAACATAACTTGCTCAAATTATATGTAAACGATTTGGTTGTAAAATATTTTTATTCAATCCACATAAACCTGTCTCGTCAACAACCCATTTTAAGCATTTAATGTTCCACCACTTCATTGGTACAATTCTCAATTCGTATGTTTTGCATAATCTAAGTAGCATTGATATCAAATTTTTATTTAAAATGTATCCGTAAATTAACTCCTATATAATTCTCACAAAATATATGTAAACGAGTTTGATGAAAACTGTCTTATTTAATCCATGTAAAATATTTTGTACAATTTAAATAATCTCGATACGGAGATAATAAATATCTAGATCTCAAAAAAAGATATTTAATAATAAGAACAAAAAAATTTTTGAAAACGTGTCTACCCAAAAGTAAGATTTTGAACGTCGACTTTGCGCTCAAACTCAGGAGTTACAGATCTTTAAAAAGTTTTATATGTCTCAATTGAATCCACAATTTGTTCACACCACTGCATACTCAGTTCAACCACCTTACATAGCTGGTCACTCCCCTTAACCCTGCATTTGGGACTGGTATGAATAATATAACAAACAAACAACAAAACTTTACTGTTTTTCTAATTTAAAGTTTGAGAAAGACGACAGAATTATTTCACTTATTTCGACACCAAACTTATTTGATATGAAATGATTTTAAAATTTTTTCTTTTCGAAACAATTTCCAATTTTGAAGAAAATTTTATTTTACTTTTTTAGGGATGTTTGAATACAGTGATTTAAATGGATTAATGACTGCAGAGGTAAACAACTGATTTGAGTGATCATAGATAATAAATTACTTGAATGTAATAACAAATACGGACATATATGGACAAATGAACGATATGTAACTGGGAAATTGATAAACAGAAAAACAGAGAAACAGAGAAACAGCTAGAAACAGAGAATCAGGGAAACAGAAAACAGAGAAATTTTTAAAATAAAATTCAAGAGATAATAATCACAAAATACACCTGGTCTTGGCAGTTCCAAAGTGGAGTGGTCTGCCTTTTTTGTGCTTTTAATATTGCCCGAGATATGAAGAATTTCTTTCAGATTTCGACAATTTTGGTTTTATTGATCAATTCTGAAATCTGAACGTGACTCGTAATATCTCCTGTAACAGCACAACAAAGGCAGACTACATTTTGGAAATGGAGAATTGTCTGGTAATTGTTTCAAGAATCAAAGTTGGTTGACGACTTATAATGCCAAAAACAAATGCAAAGATCAAAGACGACTTTCAAGTCAGCTTGCTACTTTTTCGTGGGACACCCTGTAGTTTGATTCTCTTTGAACCTACAAAGTATGAGACTTCAAAGACGCCATTTACGAAATTTGATAAGTCATTTTAAAACATTTTTTCTTTGCCAAATTAGTTAATATGGCTTCAATGACTGTATCCTGGATGGGCTGAAAATCTGAAATTTTTGTATTTTAAAGTTTTAATTCTGAATTATCTACTTGATCTTTTAATTAAAGATTTAACATTAGATTTTAAAATCAATTTTTTGTTCACAGGAAGGAGCAACTCTCTGCGAGGAGGATTTACAGTGTGCAGGATTTACATTTCGTGGAGTTTACAGTGTGGTAAAGACGACATTCTCTTTTATCCTTACACTAGAATTCTTTTAGAACAGCCTTAGAAAAGTGATTTAGAGTCCATTGAATTCATTAACTCTTTGCCATTTCCAGCAATGCAATGAGTGCATGTATACCTATCAAAACTAGCTATTAAGAAATTTGGCAATTTTGATATCCTGAGTCATTATATCCAAAAAAGGAGGATCCAAAAAAGGAGGGAGTGGGGGGGGGGTGGTTATGGCTTCCTATCTTGCCAAGGATGTCTTTCATCTTGTTTTACAACTCATGAGAAATATTTGTGGTGTTAAATCCAACTGAAAAGCACAGGGAAAAACAATGCTTCATAATTTTTGGCTCATTCAGTCATATTTTGACTGAAAAGTTAATATTTTCTCAAAAAGCTTGAGAAAGGCATCAAATTTGATTGCTTGTTGCTTTTGATGCTATCAAATTACACTTTTGATGCTTTACATACATCAAAAGTGTTGATATTAAAAGACCTCTGTTATTAACCTGAAATTACAACGAATTTCAGAATTCTTCACTAAGATGATCTATTTGCAATTTTACATTTCTTATTCTATTTTTAGGATGTTCCACATGAATTATATTTCTTCCACTATGTTTCAACAATCCATTTTTCACAGAAAAATCCACATTTTTGGGGGTGGACATCTTACAGGGTTAACAGGTATAATTGAATGATTATATGGAGCTCTTTAATACTATTCCCGCGTATTCATAGCTATTTATTTATTTTCGCAATTCTTTCGATGTATGGCTCATTTAGGGTTTTACTGTATATATTTTAGGCGTTAGTTTTTTCCCATTTTGTATAATGACTGGGGTTACTCTCGATGCACTCCCATGTATGGAAAATGTCATCTCCGAAGATAGATAGAAAGAAACGTCACTGATTATAATCTTTCTTTCTTTGCTAAACCATGAAATGAGCAATTTCAGGCACTTGGGATTGCTATATTTAAAGAGATCTAAGTAGTCTTTCCAGTCTTTTCCCTTGTGTGGGTGACCCTGTATTATGAATTTTGCAAGAGTTTGGCAAGTCTTTCTGCAACCCCCATGAGGGGGGGGCATAAGACTACAAAAGGGTAGGAGGGGTGGAGGAGAATAAAAAGGACGGAAGACTAATGATTGTCTGCAGAAAACTACTCAGGAGCCAGAGATTTTTTGAACAAACGACATAGATATTATGTAAAATAAGAGTAGAGGGGGGAGGAGGGGCAACATGTACCCCCCCCCTGTGTACGCACCTGTATAGCACTGTGAACCCAAATAATAGTATACTAAATAGTTAATAGCACAGTGCTTTAACGTTTAATGTAGATAGATAGATAGATATAGTTTATTGCTAAAAATACACATACAAGTTATAATGTTACAGGCAAAAATCTGCAACTATTTTTATATTGTTCACTATATGTATTATAGCAATTTGGTGGAGATTATAGCTATTTGCTGTTTTGGGTATTATCCCCTGCACCTATTACCTAAACGTTTACAATATGATGAATATTACAAGATTTTGAAAGTTTACAATAAGTCAGGGATTACTAGTTAAATTTAGAGAAACCGAGGTGGAGCATAACAAAATAATTGATTTTTCAGTTTTAAAGTTTAGTACTTATAACAGAATATTAAGATGTAACATCATAATGCAAGATGAATACTTAATGGCATTCCTATTTCCTATACAGAAATTGAACAGAAACTGAGATTGTACAACAATTTCATTAACACATAAGCAAGTTCTTTAATTTCTAATGATGGCATAATGCTAGGTAATTTTATACTTTAAGGGATTATATTCTTATGCGGGGTAAACTGAGCAGTCCTGAACTTGAAGTTGAAGATCTGAACACGTGGGAGAGAGGTAGCACGTGGGAGCTAGATTTAAACCAGAACCCGGCTGAAGCAGAGCGGGTCTGCCAGCAGACAACAAACTGTGTTGGATTAGCTCAGGTAGGTCAAAGCAAGGTAAACTAAAGGTAGGGGGTATAAGGTTTGTGTCAATGTAAACTCCGGTTTCTTTCAAGTACAAGGCAAGTTTTTAAGCTGCTAGAGTAAGCAGTACAATACAAATACAGACTACATGAGACAAACCGGTACAGTACACCAAATGAATAAGCCCTTTCTAATTTGGACAACTCTCTGTTAACGGTGAGAGCAATTAATTTTTAAGCCTAACCCAACCTATATTCAAATACAAAGAACCCAATATTAGATGTGAATACCATCTAATTAAAGGTTTTTGGGCTAAAATACTTTTAGTGAGATTCTAGTAGCGAATACATTTTACTGTGCTATGTTTGGACTGTGAGGAACTAGTTTTATTAAAACTAGGGCTCACGGGTAAGGAAGTTCAGCTTTACATATAACTAAGCAATGCCTGAAGAATCAGCAAACCACCCCAAACTAAGTACTATGAATTAATAAAAAGTTGGTTTTAGTGGAGAGTGAAACACATAGCTTTAGGAATAAAGCAAGAGAGATGAGTTTTTAAAAATAATTTACCATTCAGAATGAAAATGTTAATGTTTAATTTTAATTACTTTGATCAAAGAATTCAGTTTATTTGAAGCTTGTTTGTGTTGGAGGGGGGGGGGGGGCACAATTAAAGATTAAGTATCCTTTAACTGTATTTTGAATAAGACAAGAAACAATATTTTTTTCAAATTTCTCCTTTGTGGCAGGAGGAAATATAAAGTGAATAAAAATAAACTAAAACAATTGTTTACTATTTTGGAAGAAAAGTAAACAAACACAAAGTTTTTAAACCTTTTTTCTATTTTTTTTTAGTTTAAACAAGAAAGAGTTGTTATGCTGGAAAGTGTTCAATTCTGGGATAGAAGTTCTTCAGAAAACTGGACAACCCTAGTTTCCCTTCATCCAGGAAATAACCAGGTATAAAACTGGACAACCCTAGTTTCCCTTTATCCAGGAAATAACCAGGTATAAAACTGGACAATCCTAGTTTCCTTTCATCCAGGAAATAACCAGGTATAAAACTGGACAACCCTAGTTTCCCTTCATCCAGGAAATAACCAGGTTTAAAACTTGGTAACCCTTGTTTCCCTTCATCCAGGAAATAACCAGGTATAAAACTGTACAATCCTAGTTACCCTTCATCCAGGAAATAACCAGGTATAAAACTGGACTATCCTAGTTTCCCTTCATCCAGGAAATAACCAGTTATAAAACTGGACTATCCTAGTTTCCCTTCATCCAGGAAATAACCAGTTAGAAAACTGGACAATTCTAGTTTCCCTTCATCCAGGAAATATCCAGGTATAAAACTGGACAATCCTAGTTTCCCTTCATCCAGGAAATAACCAGGTATAAATCTGGACAATCCTAGTTTCCCTTCATCCAGGAAATAACCAGTTAAAAAACTGGACAATTTTAGTTTTCCTTCATCCAGGAAATAACCAGGTATAAAACTGGACAATTATAGTTTTCCATCATCAAAGAAATAACCAGGCATAAAACTGGACAATCCAAGTTTCCTGCATTTCCAGGAAATACTATAGGAGTTAAGTAAAAAATATAGCAAAAGGGGGTGGACAAATTGCCCATTACCCCCCCCCCCCCTTAAGCAAGAGTCAGGTTAAGGATGATAAAATATTAACAAATTATATTGACACTGCCATTGAAACGATTGTAAACGTAACTTTAATCAAGGAAGGGCATGTCAGATACACAATTTTCTAAACCTTGGTCTGATCATGAATGTCCGATTCACAACTTGCTAAACCTTGGTCTGATCAAGAATTTCAGATTCACAACTTGCTAAACCTTGGTCTGCTCAAGAATGTCAGATTCACAATTTGCTAAACCTTGGTCTAATCAAGAATGTCAGATTCACAATTTGCTAAACCTTGGTCTGATCAAGAATGTCAGATTCAAAATTTGCTAAACCTTGGTCTGATCAAGAATGTCAGATTCACAATTTGCTAAACCTTGGTCTGATCAAGAATGTCCGATTCACAATTTGCTAAACCTTGGTCTGATCAAGAATGTCAGATTCACAATTTGCTAAACATTGGTCTGATCAAGAATGTTAGATTCACAACTTGCTAAACCTTGGTCTGATCAAGAATGTCAGATTCACAATTTGCTAATCCTTGGTCTGATCAATAATGTCAGATTCACAATTTGCTAAACCTTGGTCTGATCAAGAATGTCAGATTCACAATTTGCTAAACCTTGGTCTGATCATGAATGTCAGGTTCACAATTCGCTAAACCTTGGTCTGACCAAGAATGTCAAATTCACAGTTCGCTAAACCTTTGGTCTGATAAAGAATGTCAGATACACAATTTGCTAAACCTTGGTCTAATCAAGAATGTCAGATTCACAATTTGCTAAACCTTGATCTAATCAATGAATCCACAATTTCCTTACAATATTTTTAAAACATGTATTTCTTTTTAAATTTAATTTTTTTTTTATATTTAGGTAAAAATCACACAAACAGTTATTTTTATTTTATTTATTCTTGTTATGTCCTTTTTGTTTTTTTGAGAAAGATTTCATATTCCTTTAAAACATTTAATTTTAGATTTTAGATAGAGATACAACCAATATTAATAAATGTTGTCCTGAAACTCCATTTTTCACAGAAATTGATATTAGTAATACAGAAATACCTATGATGGTGAGTCGTTTTTTTTTCATCAAATTCTTTAAATAAATAAATATTTTATGATTTTAAGATTGAAGACTATTAATTTTATATATTATGTAAATACCGAATTTTTTCTTTTCATTATTCTTAGCGGTGTTATCCTAATCTTTACTATCATCAAAATTATTAAAATATTGACATCATCATTATTGATTATTTTATTATTTTCGTTACTGCCGTTATCATTATTGACTTGGTTTTCATCAATTCTATTTTATTTTAATTTTTATCATTTTAATTATTATTATCATTATTACCATTATCATTATTATAATTTTTATTTACAATTATTATTATTATTGCTGTTGTTTTTATCATTTTTTTAACCATTATTATTATTCTTATCATTATTTTTATGATTTATTTTTATTATCATTTGAATAAAGTAATTAAGTCTTGCCCAGAAACTCAGATTTTCTAATCCATATATCTTTGCAACACAATGCCGTAGACCTAAGATATTTGAAACTATGAAGTCTGAAAGACCAAATAATCTAAGTTTAAAATGTCATAGGTTTGCACCATTAGGTTGCAATGGTATAGGGATTCGAAAATTTGACATTGTGGCAAAAACTCAATTCCTTTAAAGATATTATATTTGTTAAAAACAAAAAAAATGTTTTTTTTAGATAAAGAAAATACGTTGCAACATTTCTAAAGAAGAATTTTTAGAAAACTACGTGAAAAAAAGAATTCCTGTAATTCTAAAGGTAAAACAAAAGTAAAATATAAATAATGAATACTGAAATCTTAAAGTGATGGTGCAAAATTGACAAACATCTTTGCTTAGAAAGACTTTTTCAAATAAAAATTTTTATCTGTTGGGAATTTTGGTGTTTTAAAATAAGGTTATCCAACAAAATATGTAGGCTTATTGGTGAGAGAAGAGTTTGTAAAAAAAATAATCAATTAAGAATGTTTTTTTTTGTATTTTTAGCAAACTTTTCAGTGATGTTCCAGCATCTGTATAGTTTAGTCATATTTTCAAATTTAGGGTTGTTTAAATAAATCCTGGTTCCCCAACCCGAGGTCAGAATATCAAAGGTAATTGTTATAGAAATCTTTTATTCATACAGTGATATCCAGAAAACAATGGAATATTAATACGACATTATAGCAGCAAATAGTTTCACGAGACAATTATTAAATCAATTTTTTAATAAAATGGGTTGGTTTTCACTGCACAATTTCTGTGTTTCATTTCTAATATTTAGGTTTAAAGGTCGATAGTTCTAATATTTAGGTTTAAAAGTATAAAGTTCTATTATTTAGATTTAACGGTATAAAGTTCTAATATTTAGGTTTAAAGGTCGATAGTTCTAATATTTAGGTCTAAAGATATAAAGTTCTAATATTTAGATTTAACAGTATAAAGTTCTAATATTTAGGTTTAAAGATATAAAGTTCTAATATTTAGATTTAACGGTCTAAAGTTCTAATATTTAGGTTTAAAGGTATAAAGTTCTAATATTTAGATTTAACGGTATTAAGTTCTAATATTGGTTTAAAGGTATAAAGTTCTAATATTAAGGTTTAAAGGTATAAAGTTATAATATTTAGGTTTAAAGGTCGAAAGCTCTAATATTTAGGTTTAAAAGTATAAAGTTCTAATATTTAGGTTTAAAGGTATAAAGTTATAATATTTATATTTAAAGTTTGAAAGTTCTAATATTTAGGTTTAAAAATATAAAGTTCTAATATTTAGTTTTAAAGGTATAAAGTTCTAATATTGGTTTAAAGGTATTAAGTTCTAATATTTATATTTAAAGGTCGAAATTTCTAACAATTTAGGTTTAAAGATATAAAGTTCTAATATTTAGGTTTAAAGGTATAAAGTTCTAATATTTAGGTTTAAAGGTATCAAGTTATAATATCTATATTTAAAGGTCGAAAGTTCTAATATTTAGATTTAAAAGTATAAAGTTCTAATATTTAGGTTTAAAGATATAAAGTTCTAATATCTATTTGTAAAGGTATAAAGTTCTAATGTTTATATTTAAAGGTTTAAAGTTCTAATGTTTAGGTTCAAAGGTCTAAAGTTCTAATATCTATGTTCAAAGGTCTAAAGTTCTAATTTTCAGGTTTGCAGGTCTAAGTTTTGAAGAAACCTTGGAGAGATTATTTTATCGGGGAAATGAAACCTCTACTACAGTTTCCAGACCTAAGGTTTTTATAATAAAATTATCCATTAAAAATACAAAATCAAAACATGTCTGAAATCAAAATGAACCGCTTCAAACCCTAAATTATTTTTCATGATAAAAACTGGGTCAAAGTTGGAAACATCAGGACCTCTTCGGTCAAATCCGCGAATATTTACAAAAGTGTTGGACCCAAGGTCATACTTTTCTATTTCAAATCTGTTTATAACAACAGTTTGATTTAAGGAATTTAAGTCCTTTATTTGAATCCTAATATCAAATATTTACTGGCGGATTTAGCATATAATTCAAACCTAACTCCTTCACTTTAAAAGTTTAAAGATGTCCGATTGAGTCGATGTGGCTCAGTGCTATTCCATCCAAAAGTTTAAAGATGTCCGATTGAGTCGATGTGGCTCAGTGCTATACCATCCAACAGTTTAAAGATGTCCGATTGAGTCGATGTGGCTCAGTGCTATACCATCCAACAGTTTAAAGATGTCCGATTGAGTCGATGTGGCTCAGTGCTATTCCATCCAACAGTTTAAAGCTGTCCGATTGAGTCGATGTGGCTCAGTGCTATTCCATCCAACAGTTTAAAGATGTCCGATTGAGTCGATGTGGCTCAGTGCTATTCCATCCAACAGTTTAAAGATGTCCGATTGAGTCGATGTGGCTCAGTGCTATACCATCCAACAGTTCTCATCTCTGTTAATATTTAGCTAAGAAGAAGACTGATTGAAACTATGAGAAAAAACAATTTCAAAATTGATTATAACAAGGTAAAGAAAACAGAACTAAATATATAAAAATGGTGTTATATTTTTATATTTTGAAAACTATAGGTTAGATTTCTTCATAACCAGCTACAGGGTAACCCACGGGGAATTCTAAGACTTAAAATAGATAGATTTGGTCTTTTGCCCTAAACATAACCTTTAAACTGTGTACTTAAAGATTATAAAGGAATTGAGTCTTTACCACAAACTCTGCTTTTCTAAATTCTATATCTTTAGATTCCAATGTCGTAGACCTTAGATATTTCAAACTATGAATTCTGATAGATCAAATAATATGATTTGAAATATCAAAGATTTACGACATTGGGTTCCAAAGATGTAGGGATTATAAAATCAGAGTTTGTGGCAAAAACTCAATTCTTTTCCCTGAGGCGTCTCTAAAGTTTCATTCCTTGTGGTAACCCCTGTAGGAAAACCTAACCTCATATTCCTTGTGGTAACCCCTGTATGAAAACCTAACCTCATATTCCTTGTGGTAACCCCTGTAGGAAAACCTAACCTCATATTCCTTGTGGTAACCCCTGTAGGAAAACCTAACCTCACATTCCTTGTGGTAACCCCTGTAGGAAAACCTAACCTCATATTCCTTGTGGTAACCCCTGTATGAAAACCTAACCTCATATTTCAATTTATCATTAAAAGCAATTAATGTATTTTGTTCTTTGGTAGGCTGAACGATTGTATATGGAGTCTAGTGCTAGTGTAGAAAATTCTTCAACACACAGTTTTACTCATGTTAAAACTCCAAATGATGCACATTTTCTATATAAGGTTAATTTAAACCCCAAACATTATACATAATACTAAAGGAACTGTAAACTTCACTTAACTTAAACTCTAATTTTCTAATCTCTTTATCTTAAGAACCTGATGTAAGTTTAAACCTTTGATATTTCAAACTTTGATTGTAAAATAAATATTTCTTTCCTGTATAAATTGAATTTTTAAATTATGAACCTTCCCTGGAATGATGTGAGGTCCCACAAAAAAATTGGGCCCGATGGTTCCGCTGTTTTTACGTTTATTGGATACAAAAAACAAGAAGAGTAGATATATATATATTATTTTCATTTACAAAAAAAATGTCTCGAATTTTTCTGGTACATATGTTGATGCAATTTTTTATTATTTTCCTTTGGTCATGTGATTTACCAAAAAAATGGCCCAATTAGTTGAGCTCTTTTTGGCGTACAATTAAATCTACAGAAAAACTGTAATCATATATGTTTATAAGTGTTGAATAATCATTGCATTCAGGATTTAGTGAAACACCGGTCCAGGGGAGATTTAAGAGTATTTTTGAAACTGTCCTATTTAAAATCCAGATTAGATTGTTACCAGCAATACAGAATTCCAGGCACATTAGAGTAAGCTTTTATTAATAATTTTCATGTTTGTTTTGGTTTTTCAAGAAAAGAAAAACAAAACAAAATGAGATGAAAGCAAAACAAATCAAATAAAAGAAACTTGAAGTCAAAACAAAAAATCTGAAGATAATCTGCGAATAATCTATAATCATTTTGTTGTACATAGAACATTAAAACTTTTGCAGCGCTATACTAAATCAGAACAAATGAGTTAAACTACAGGGTGTCCCACGAAACATGACAATAGCAAGACGACTTGAAAGTCGTCTTTGGTATTTGAATTTATTTGTGACATTTAGTCTTCTATCTACTTTAACATGTATGATTCTTGAAACATCTATCACATAATTCTCCTAGCCCTGGCATTTCCAAAAAGTGGTCTGCGTTTTTTTGTGCTTTCAATATTACTGGAGATATAAAGAGTTTGGTTCAGATTTCAATTTTGTTAAATAAAAGCAAAATTGTCGAAATCTGAACGAAATTCTTCATATCTCGGGCAATATTGGAAGCACAAAAAAGGCAGACCACATTTTGGAAATGGCAGGACAAGGGAAATTTGGTGATTATTATCTCTAGAAATTTACTTCTAAAATTAGGTTGAAAAATAAACGCAGCAAATTATATCAAAAATCAAGACGACATTCAAGTCGTCCTGCATACTGTCATGTTTCGTGGGACACCCTGTAGTTTTCTCTCGGTTCTCAAGTAACAAATTCGGAGGTTAATCTGCAGACCAGATAATCAGTTAAATTCATTTGATCTTTGATCCTTATATTTACATTATTGCTTTATTTAGATTATTGCGTTCTTTAGATTATTGCCCACTTTCTTTAAATTATTATCCGTTAATTCTGTTTAATTTATTGCCCCGTCTGCTAACTAATTGCCAACTCTGATTAGATTATTGCCTGCTCTCTCCAGAATTCTGCCCGCTCTGTTTAGGCTATTGCCTGTTCTGTTAAGATTATTACCCGCTCTTTTCATATTATTACCCGCAATGTTTAGATTATTGCCTGTTCTGTTTAGATTATTGCCAGCTCTGTTTAGATTTTTGCCTGTTCTGTTAAGATTATTGCCTGTTCTGTTTGGATTATTGCCCTTTCTGTTTAGATTATTGCACGCTTTGTTAAGATTATTGCCCGATCTGTTTAGAGTATTGCAACGCTCTGTTTAGATTATTACCCGTTCTGTTTTGATTATTGCCTGCTATTTTAGATTATTGCCCGTTCTATTTAGATAATTGCCTGTTTTGTTTAGATTATTGGCGGCTCTGTTTAGATTATTGCCTGCTCTGTTTAGATAATTGCCTGCTCTGTTAAGATTATTGCATGCTCTGTTTAGATTATTGCCTGCTCTGTTTAGATTATTGCCGCTCTCTTCAAATTATTGCCCGCTATGTTTAAATTATTACCCACTCTGTTCTGTTTAGATTTTTGCTCGCTCTTTTCAGATTAAAGCTCGCTCTGTTTAGATTATTGCCCGATCTGTTTGAATTATTGCCTGCTCTGTTTAAATAATTGCCTATTCTGTTTGGATTATTGCCCGTTCTGTTTCAATTATTGCCTGCTCTGTTTAGATTAGTAACTGTTCTGTTTGGATTATGGCCGGTTCTGTTTGAACTATTGCCCGTTCTGTTTAGATTATTGCCCATTCTGTTTAGGTTATTGCCCCCTCTGTTTAGATTATTGCCCGCTCTATTAAGATAATTGCCCGCTTTGTTTAGATAATTGCCTGTTCTCTTCAGATTAAAGGTCACTCTGTTTAGATAATTACCCGTTCTGTTTAGATTATTGACCTCTATCTTCAGATTAAAGCTCACTCTGTTATTGCCTTCATTGTTTAGATTATTGACCGCTCTCTTTTGATTATTGCCTGTTCTGTTTGGATTATTGCCCATTCTGTTTGGATTATTGCCTCTTCTGTTTGGATTATTGCCCATTCTGTTTAGATTATTGGCCGCTCTGTTCTGTTAAAATTATTGCCTTTTCTGTTTAGATTATTGTCCACTCTGTTTAGATTATTGCACACTCTGTTTAGATTATTGTCCGCTCTGTTTGGGTTATTGCCTATTCTGTTTAGATTATTGCGCACTCTGTTTAGATTATTGCCCGCTCTGTTTGGATTATTGCCTATTCTGTTTAGATTATTTGCCGCTCTGTTAAGATTATTGCCCATTCTGTTAAGATGCTGGCCCCCTCTTTTTAGATTATTGCCCGCTCTGTTTAGATTATTGCCCGCTATGTTTATATAATTGCCCATTCTGTTTAGATTATTGCCCGCACTCTTCAAATTAAAGCTCGCTCTGTTAAGATTATTGCCCGCTCTTTTAAGATTATTGCCTGTTCTGTTTAGATTATTGTCCTCTTTGTTCAGATTATTCCCTATTCTGTTTAGATTATTGCCCGCTCTGTAAAGATTATTGCCCCCTCTGTTCAGATTATTGCCTGCTCTGTTTAGATTACTGCCCGCTCTTTTTAGATTATTGCCCGCTCTGTTAAGATTATTGCCCGTTCTGTTTACATTATTGCCCGCTCTGTTAAGATTATTGCAAGTTCTGTTTATAATATTGCCCGCTCTTTTAAGATTATTGCCTGCTCTGTTTAAATTATTGCATTTTCTGTTTAGATTATTGTCCACTCTGTTTAGATTATTGCACAATCTGTTTAGATTATTTTCCGCTCTGTTAAGATTCTTGTCCGCTCTGTTTGGATTATTGCCTATTCTTTTTAGATTATTGCCCGCTCTGTTTAGATTACTGCCCGCTCTTTTTAGATTATTGCCCGCTCTGCTAAGATTATTGCCCGTTCTGTTTGCATTATTGCCCGCTCTGTTAAGATTATTGCACGTTCTGTTTATAATATTGCCCGCTCTGTTAAGATTATTGCCTGCTCTGTTTAAATTATTGCCTTTTCTGTTTAGATTATTGTCCACTCTGTTTAGATTATTGCACACTCTGTTTAGATTATTGTCCGCTCTGTTAAGATTATTGCCCGCTCTGTTTGGATTATTGCCTATTCTTTTTAGATTATTGCCCGCTCTGTTTAGATTACTGCCCGCTCTTTTTAGATTATTGCCAGCTCTGTTAAGATTATTGCCCGTTCTGTTTACATTATTGCCCGCTCTGTTAAGATTATTGCCTGCTCTGTTTAAATTATTGCCTTTTCTGTTTAGATTATTGTCCACTCCGTTTAGATTATTGTCCACTCTGTTGAGATTTTTGCCCGCTCTGTTTGGATTATTGCCTATTCTTTTTTAATTTATTGCCAGCTCTGTTTAGATTATTGCCCGGGTATGAGCAGTGCCTTGTTCTGGATGGTTTATGGAAGCCCCCTCCAATGCCAGGTGTGTAGACTACTTAATACACACAAAAAGAAAAGGAAGACGCTTCTCAAGTAATGATTTTAAACAATCCCAATAGCAACTGACAAACATCTTACTACTATTTCATCAAAAAAAATTGTTTACAAACTTAATGTGAAAAATGCGAAAGTTGCGCCGGAACGATTTCCCCAATTTGCTGATAAAACTAGTCATAGGACAAGCCAGGAGGATACGGCGAAAATTACTTTTTAAATGTCGCACTTTTAATGAAATATTAAAATATATATGATTTTTGGGTGGAATTAAACCCAGTGCAGTGCAAGGATAGGGTTGGACCAGTAAGATTTAAGTAGAACTTTCATAATCTCTGACATTCTGAGATGACAGAGGTGTTTTCAAGTCGGAGCTGAAAACTTTAGAATGGGATAGCCTTTATCCTGATCAATTAATTTATATAGATATTAATAACAAGAGGAGAACAAGCATTTTTTAATCTGGAGATTAAGAAAAAGAGGAGATTAAGCATTGATCTCGATATCCACCATTCTAAAGTTTCCAGCTCAGATTTAGCTTAACAACACATTGAAGCATCATTAACTGTAACTTGATACTGGAATAGCCGATAAAAATTGATATGATTTCTATATCTTTTAAGTTTAAATTGCACTAAAGGATTTGTATTTCTAACTGTTAAAACTGATCTTTGCAAAAAATGTACAGGCCACATGCAACTGAAGGAACTGAATTTTTGACAAGAACTCAAATGTTCCTAACTCTATATCTTTGTAACCTGATGGTGTACATCTTTGATTTTTCAAACATACACTATGTAATGTACAAGAATGCGTAGCTTGAAATATCAAAGGTCTACGACTTCAGGTTCCATAGATATTAATATTATTAGAACATATGAGTTTGTGGCAAAAACCATAAAACAGTTTCAACGCACAAGTTTTATTTGTTTGTACACTGTATAGTGTATACAATTCAAATAAAGAAAAAGAAGATACAACGAATTGCTATTAAAACAATAAATAGGATAATCTTATGAGGATAAAAATGTACTAAAGGAATTCTTAAGCGAGATGAAAAATCTTGATGTATTCTTTAACGAAGGCGGCAGGCCAGGGTTAAAGAATGCATCAAGATTTTTTCAACGAGTTTAAGAATTCCATTATTACATTTTTATCCTCATAATATTAATATTGTATCATATTTGTGAGGTTCCATGAACAAATACCCAAGAAATTATATTTTTAAAAGTTTGTGTGAAATACGACTATATCAATTTGGAATAATTGACATCATTAAAGGTTGTAAATACGTTTTTATATTTCACTTTTGCTCTTGTCCTGATTATTACTTTTTTATTTTTCTAATGTTATAATGGTAAAATTTTAAAAACTTTTATAAGTAAAAATTGGTTCTTTATTTGTAAATATGCATGTGGTGTGATTGTCTCTTTAGTTTGTTTGTTTACTAAGTTATTTGCATTTGCTTGTTTTTTTTTAACTTGATGCTATTTTTGGATCTAGCATGTTGAATGTGCCCTGAGTTTTTTAGATGGAGAGAAGGTAGAGAGTAGTAGTGGACTGTCTCAAACAAAAGCGTGAAATCATTTGCTGTATATAAGATCCTAAATCTTCTAAAAAGAGGAGAGAAAAACAAATTATCTAAAAAGAACTAGTTCATGAATCAAGATTTATTGTTTGTTTTCATTCCTATGGAGTGTTAAGACCCCACATAAAGTTTTTAAATGACTTGTTTTTATAAACATAACAGGCAATGTTTTTGATTGTGGTACTACTTCAACTCCAGCTATGCTGAGGTACAATTCAAACCCAGTTTTAGCTGTAGGGGGGGGGGGACAAATCGACCCCCATCACCTCTAAATTCTGTCTATTTTGTCCAAATATTACAATTGAATGTGGAATTTTGGAAAAGCTATTTTTGTTCAGTATCTAGTTATAAAGTGAAAAAACTGTTGATTGAAATTGTGAAAAACATGACACCCTTTCCATTTTAGAAAAACTCTGACCGTGACTATTACAAACATACAGATTTGCAAACTCTTACAAAACATGGTTTGCAAAACACTAAAAATTTTTTTGAATAAAGTAGGCAGTCGGACAGTATGCCTGGGACTAGACAGTTTGAATAAAGTAGGCAGTCGGACAGTATGCCTGGGACTAGACAGTTTGATGACAAGCCTAATATAAGGCTTAAAGCATTGTCCATAAGTTTTTTAAGGAAAGGTCAGAAAATTTGAACGATCTCTGAATCATTCTTCATGAGTTATGTTAATTATGCACAGGGGGAGCGGGAGGGGGTGGGGGTCCCTCTTACACTCTTGTGCCAGGACTAAGCTAGGCAAAGATTTGAATGGAAATTTCTGAATTAAGGTTTATCAATACTTCTAAAAATTAAAAGGTAAGTGAGCATGAAAGGAAAGTTTGCATGTTTTGATTTTAAAAAAGTATGTGAGGATGATGCTATGAAGTATAAAAAGGAAAGTTTGTATGTCTTAATATAAAAAAGGTAAGTGAGGATGATGCTATAAAGTATAGAAAGGAAAGTTTGCATGTTTTAATATAAAAAAAGTATGTGAGGATGATGCTATGAAGTATAGAAAGGAAAGTTTGCATGTTTTAATATAAAAAAGTATGTGAGGATGATGCTATGAAGTATAGAAAGGAAAGTTTGCATGTTTTAATATAAAAAAAGTATGTAAGGATGATGCTATGAAGTATAGAAAGGAAAGTTTGCATGTTTTAATATAAAAGAAGTATGTGAGGATGATGCTATGAAGTATAGAAAGGAAAGTTTGCATGTTTTAATATAAAAAAAGTATGTGAGGATGATGCTATGAAGTATAGAAAGGAAAGTTTGCATGTTTTAATATAAAAAAAGTATGTGAGGATGATGCTATGAAGTATAGAAAGGAAAGTTTGCAGGTTTTAATATAAAAAAGTATGTGAGGATGATGCTATGAAGTATAGAAAGGAAAGTTTGCATGTTTTAATATAAAAAAAGTATGCGAGGATGATGCTATGAAGTATAAAAAGGAAAGTTTGCATGTTTTAATATAAAAAAAGTATGCGAGGATGATGCTATGAAGTATAAAAAGGAAAGTTTGCATGTTTTAATATAAAAAAGGTAAGTGAGCATGATGTTATAAAGTATAAAAAGGTAAGTTTGCATGTACTAATATAAAAGAAAAGGTGAGTGTGCATGTTATTCGTACAAAATAATTAAGTTAATATCAATATTGATCTATGTTGAAAAGATCAATATAAGGAGCGTGTAAGAAAGAATATTCTTAAGCTATAGTAATAATTTCAATTCTTTACTGCTTAAAGCGTGTAAAAATATATAGTCTTTCATGCTCCGACCGTGTAATAATTTCCTTTCTTACACAATCTGAGCGTTAAAGAATGAAAATTCTACACTCCCAGTGTAAATATAAGCATTCTTAAACGCTAGGAAGCGATCAACATTGGAAAATGTTTCTCCTGAACCGTGTAATAATAGGAATTCTTACACGATAGGTTTACTACTATGGAACCGAACAGATATGATATAATACAAATTCTTTGTTTCCAGTTTAAATAATGAAAAATATGTAATTTGAATGACCCCGAAAGTGTAATATGATTTAGGTTTAAAGAGTGTTTATTTAACGTAGAGAAGTTTAACTACATCTACCAGATTGAACGTTTTAGTACCGTCCAGATCAATTAGAAAAGTGGTTCTACTAAGAATACATAGTTTAACTACTTCCAGAACTTTTATCTTAATTTGTTTAGACGACCTGTACGCTATAACAAAATATAACAATGATCTCGCCTGGATTATCATGTCCAGCAGAAACACAGGTAATCATGGATTGCCGATGAAATTTTCTGTGATCGTTAAATTTATGATCGTCATGATCAACTTTCTGTGTCACTGTTCGGATAAACTACGATCAAAGGTTGCTCATTTTAAACCAGAAAAAATATCATCTCAAGTAACGTTTTTAAAATCAAGGTTGATAATGCATTGGTTTGTCGCATTTTACAAATTGTGTCACATTCTATCACATTTTACCAAATGCCAAATTACCAAATGCAATTACAAAATCTGTTCCATTTTACCAAATGTGATCCATTTTACCAAATGAGTTCCATTTTACTAAATGTGTTCCATTTTACCAAATGTGCTCCATTTTACCAAATGTGTTCCATTTTACCAAATGTGTTCCATTTTACCAAATGTGTTCCATTTTACCAAATGTGTTCCATTTTACCAAATGTGTTCCATTTTACCAAATGTGTTCTATTTTACCAAATGTGTTCCATTTTACCAAATATGTTCCATTTTACCAAATGTATTCCAATTATACCAAATGTGTTCCATTTTACCAAATGTATTCCAATTATACCAAATATGTTCCATTTTACCAAATGTATTCCAATCATACCAAATGTGTTCCGTTTTACAAAATCTGTTATGTTTTATAAAATCTGTTCCCTCTTATCAAATTTGTTCAATTTTTCCAAATGTGTTCCATTTTATCAAATTTGTTCAATTTTTCCAAATGTGTTCCATTTTACCAAATGTGTTCCATTTTACCAAATGTGTTCCATTTTACCAAATATGTTCCATTTTACCAAATGTATTCCAATTATACCAAATGTGTTCCGTTTTACAAAATCTGTTATGTTTTAAAAAATCTGTTCCCTCTTATCAAATTTGTTCAATTTTTCCAAATATGTTCCATTTTACCAAATCTGTTTCAATTTACCAAATCTATTCCGTTTAACCAAATATGTTTAATTTAGCAAATCTGTTCAATTTTACCAAATCTGTCCCATTTATCCGATGTGTCCCAACTCCCAATTTGTACCCAATATGTCGCAATGCTCCCAACATACCCCGATGTACCCAAAGAGGTCCAATACAACTTTTGAATATTGGATCTACTGTCTACACATGCTATTAGTAATAAAAATGAAAGTTTGAGAAACACACAGGGTTAAAATTGAAAATTGCCCCAAACTATAATCCTTATATCTTCGAATAGAAAGAAAGATATGAATAAAATAAGAGTTAAATAAATACCTAATTTCACTAAAAATGTATTCATGTCCGATTCGAAACCTTTGCGACGGATAAATCTGTATTTCTGATCATTAAACAGTGTTAGCAAACTATTCCTGTAAACCGTATTGTAAATTATTAACTTGCAAATACAAATGACTTAAAATATTTCCCGAAAATCCTGAATATTCCAGTTGTCAAACTCGGTTTTAAAAATCCGAATAATAGTTAACAAATGATGACAGCCATTAATGTTATCTCTGACCAGACAAAAGTTTAAAATTAGATGTAGGTTTGAATCAGGCATATCGCTCAAAAAATGGAAGGTCTCTTAACTTAATATCGCATTTACAGTTCATTTAAAGGGACTGTAAGCGTAATTTCAAGGGACCTTCCATTTTTTAAAAAAAGGCATGTTAGATTTACAACGCTACCCTTTAAACCTTTGGGATTTGTTTGATCAAAAAATTCGTAGATATTCTTATTTATACTGCTGGAAGTTAAGTGCCGAGAAACCGCGGAAGTGCACACTAGCACGAAGTGTACAGTGTACACTGTAATCTCGAGTCGGGCACTTGATCTTCAGATATACAAATCACAAATCTACCTCATCATTGGTTTGAAGGGTACCGTTGTGAATCGGACATGTCTCTCTATAAATGGAAGGTCTCTTAATATTACGTGTACCTTAACGTATATAATATTAGTCTTTATTAAAGGAAGTCAAATGCATACTGACCCTGACTTTATGGGAGCTTGGAACTTGCTTCTCACCGGAAGAAAATGGTGGGTCGTCTTACCTTATCAGGCCAGTTTAGATTTGTGTCAACTATTTTTGTACCTAGGGTGTCCAAACAAACGTGGATATTAAATGACGACTTCCATATCGTCTGATAAAAAACTGAACAGTCAGATAAAAAACTGTACGGTCAGATTTTAACTGTTATTCTAAACATGTATAAACTGAGGTTGCAGATTTTAACTGTGATTCTAAATATGTATAGGCTAAGGTTGCAGATTTTAACTGTGATCCTAAATATGTTTAGGTTAAGGTTGCAGAATTTAATTGTGATTCTAAATATGTATAGGCTGAGGTTGCAGATTTTAACTGTGATTTTAAATATGTATAGGCTGAGGTTGCAGATTTTAATTGTGATCCTAAATATGTTTAGGTTAAGGTTGCAGAATTTAATTGTGATTCTAAATATGTTTAGGCTGAGGTTGCAGATTTTAATTGTGATTCTAAATATGTATAGGCTGAGGTTGCAGATTTTAATTTTGATTCTAAATATGCATAGGCTGAGATTGCAGATATTAACTGTTATAATAAATGTGTATAGGTTAAGGTTGCAGATTTTAACTGTGATTATTAATATGTTTAGGCTGAGGTTGCAAATTTTAATTGTGATTCTAAATATGTATAGGCTGAGGTTTCAGATATTAATTGTGATTCTAAATATGTACAGGCTGAGGTTTCAGATTTTAATTGTGATCCTAAATATGTATAGGCTGAGGTTGCAAATTTTAATTGTGATTCTAAATATGTATAGGCTGAGGTTTCAGATTTTAATTGTGATTCTAAATATGCATAGGCTGAGGTTTCAGATTTTAATTGTGATTCTAAATATGTACAGGCTGAGGTTTCAGATTTTAATTGTGATCCTAAATATGTATAGGCTGAGGTTGCAGATTTTAATTGTGATTCTAAATATGTATAGGCTGAGGTTGCAGATTTTAATTGTGATTCTAAATATGTATAGGCTGAGGTTGCAGATTTTAACTGTGATTCTAAATGTTCTGGTAAACACTGGGCGGATGGATCTAATTCCTATCCTTGGTTTAAACATATTCTACCACAAATCAGAGATAAAAAGTAATTTATTTTTTGATTAAATAATTCATATGTAAGGAGATTTTCATCTTTTCGGAATACAAAAACGATAATGTCGTCGTACTGCTAAAATATACCCCTCTGAGCCGAAATTAAATATTTTCTGAAAAATAAGATTTGTCGTTTAATCATTATGAATGATTTATGCATTTATATCAATGACTTATCCAAAGAGGCAATTAGTGATAATTATGTTTAAATACATTTTACTTAAAGGGACTGTACGGCGTTCAAGCATTTCTGAGTTCGAAACTTTAGTGTAATTAAATACTTCAGAAAACACTAACCTGAGCTTTCTCAAACAAAAGTTCCAGTCTCCGATTTTATTTGTTTTATATTATATCAATACTGAGAGTGAGTATCAGAATTCATTTGAGACATAAGAGAAGTTTTTCTTGTTTATAATTGTTCAGCAAGAGCGCAAATTCAATCTTTAAATTCTCCATGGAGTGTCCATTCTGAGGCCGAATTTAAAGAAGTTGACCCACGTTTCAAATTTCAGACGTGGCTCAAACATGGTTGGCTCTCACTTGAAATTATATTTAGTGTTTCGAGATTTGAGCCAGATCGCGCTCAGTTGGAACCGGTTTTCGGCGGTTCAGTGAAAACAGTTAAAATTTTTTGAATTCGGCCTCTTGATTCTGGAAGGATGATTTTGAGAATTATTTTTTTTTAAAATTATTTTATTATTTTTTTCTATTTAAGATATTATGGGAAGGAGGTTCTAGAATTTGTGCAACTGCCTGGTGAAGTATTATATTTACCGTATCAGATGCCGCACACCATCTTTAATATTGATGATAATATTGCTCTAACAGAAAACTATCTTTTCATGGATGCTCTGCCTGAGCTTGTCAAGTAGGATATTATATATTATACTATTTGAACCGTGTCTCATATTTGAACCGTGTCTATAATTTGAACCGTGTCCCATATTTGAACCGTGTCTCATATTTTAACCATGTCTCATATTTGAACCGTGTCTCATATTTGAACCATGTCTCATATTTGAACCGTGTCTATAATTTGAACCGTGTCCCATATTTAAACTGTGTCTCATATTTGAACCGTGTCTCATTTTTGAACTGTGTCTCATATTTGAACCGTGTCTCATACTTGAACCGTGTCTCATATTTGAACAGTGTCTCATATCTGAACTGTGTCTCATATTTGAACCATGTCCCATATTTGAACCATGTTTAATGTTTGAACCGTGTCTCATATTTGAACCGTGTCTCATATTTGAACCGTGTCTCGTATTTGAACCATGTCTCATATGTGAACCGTGTCTCAAATTTGAACCGCGTCTCTTATTTCAATCCCGCCTAAAGAAAAGAAATATGTCTGTGTTGTTTCTTAGTTCATGCTCATTGATTATTAACAATTGGTTCTAACAATCGTCTTCATATTCCACAGTTTTATGGGTCCCTCTGAAATATATCTGCCTAAGAAATTTGAACCATTTCACAAAGTTTTATGAAAATGACATGTAACGCTTTTTATTTTAGAGGGATGGCAATAAATATGATAAAGCCATTTATTCCAAATTGGAATGAAACATTGGCATTTAAGTAAGTTTAAAGAATTAAGAATCTTACTAAAGTTATACAGTACACAGGTAAATAAACTGTACAGCACACAGGTAAAGAAACTGTACAGTACACAGGTAAAGAAACTGTACAGTACACAGGTAAAGAAACTGTACAGTACACAGATAAAGAAACTGTACAGTACACAGTTAAAGAAACTGTGCAGTACACAGGTAAAGAAACTGTATAGTACACAGGTAAAGAAACTGTACAGTACACAGATAAAGAAACTGTACAGTACACAGGTAAAGCAACTGTACAGTACACAGTTAAAGAAACTGTACAGTACACAGGTAAAGAAACTGTACAATACACAGGTATAGCAACTGTACGGTACACAGTTAAAGAAACTGTACAGTATACAGGTAAAGAAACTGACAGTACACAGGTAAAGAAACTGTACAATACACAGGTAATGAAACTATACAAGTACACAGGTAAAGAAACTATACAGTACACAGGTAAAGAAACTGTACAGTACACAAGTAAAGCAACTGTACAGTACACAGATAAAGAAACTGTACAATACACAGGTAAAGCAACTGTACAGTACACAGGTAAAGAAACTGTACAGTACACAGGTAAAGAAACTGTACAGTACACAGGTAAAGAAACTGTAAGCGTAATTTCTAGTGAACCTTCATTTTATAATTGAGTGGCATGTCAGGTACCCTTCAAAATCTTTCTCTGATTACAGATGAATTAGATAAATTCTCAAAAATGTTATTGTACAATAGATGGCAACTTACATTTTATACACTCTCAGTACAGCCGACAAAATTATTAACAATAGTGATATTTTAGAATAACGTGCTTATCTTAGTGTAAAATAAGTGCAATTTTATGTGTTCTTTATTTTCTGTTTTTACACTTTTTTTATCTTGGAAAACATGTCAACTATTGGGAGAAAATTTCGTTTTCCTGGTTATATTTGACACTTTAGACGTTGTTTATAATAAGTCTATTTCCCTGTTGCCACCTAATGTATACTTGATAGTCTATTTGGATATCCTTATTTCATTGTGGAATTTGCCGATGCTTCAGAAACATTGAAAAAAACTGACAAAATTCAACACGGTACCAATGGGAATCAGACTTCTAGTCTTTGTTAAGGTTCAATTGGAATTATATTTTCACAATATTTAAGATTTCTATTTATTTATTTAAAGAAAAACCCAAAATTTTACATTTTTAATGTTTTAGAACTTTATATAATAAGTATGCTGATAAAATTCACCGAAAAGAAATGCGGGAAAATTATGCTGAATTTTCAAAGCTTACCAGGCAAGGTTTTATTAAATATTTAAAAACTAGGCTTTCAGGGCGAATAGCGCCCGGCTTTTATATCATTTGTGAACATTTTCTCCTTGAATACATTGTATAAAAATAATACAAAAGTTCGTGGATTTTCAAAATCTAATGAAAATCGAATTTTGTTGGAGGCAAAGGAATTGAGTTTTTGCCACAAACTTTAATTTTCCAATCCCTATATTTTTAAACCTAATGGTGTAAACCTTTGATATTTCAAACTTAGATTATTTGATCTAACACAATTCATAGTTTGAAATATCTCAGGTCTAATACATTGGATTGCAAAGATATAGGGATTATTAAATCAGAGTTTTGAAATTTTTATCATTTATAAAGCTTTCCTGGGAACATGTGCCACACAAAATTTTGGCCCGATTAGTTCAGCCGTTTTGACGTTTATTGGATACAAAGGGACAGACAAATATACAACAAAGTATATATATAGATTAGGTTAGTTTTTTTTTTATTTAACATCGTTAGTTCTGCAGTTGATATTGTTAGAAATCATTTGGACTGCAGCACCATATATTCATATTAGGAATTGGAAAACAACATTTTTTACTTTTTTTTGCATTTTAGGTTGAAAAACACATAGTTTTAGCAGTAGCTTAAAGATTACTTAGACTTTTTAGAATCATAACTTAAGTCTATAAACAGCCGTCTTTCTTTTTAATAGGTTTTATATCATTTTCCAGTGTACATGTGTATTGTTTAGAGTCCTACAATCCATTATATCCATAGAGAATAGAATATATATTAGAGTGGAATTTAATAGAAAAAAGTGTAAAACGGCCATTTTGTTGTACTGTTTCCATACTGCAGGTGTACTTCACATATTTATGCTATATAACCTTTTGGGCTCTGGAATATCATTTGATAGAAAATCTAAAATTAATGTTAAAAGAAAACCAAATAATTGACCAATGATCATTTCACATAGACTTTATGCCTTTCACTTTACAAACGATGATTTTCCGTTATAACTATAAATCAAATGATGTTTTTTATTCACCTTTTTCATTATAAAGTTTATTTAACAGCTTTAAAAAATTCGAAATTGAAATGAATAGTCTAGGGAACATACTGTATTAATGTACTCATTAATTCATACCGAGAGATTCTTTAAATTCCACTCTAATATATATTCTATTCTCTATGATTATATCATGTCCTAAAGAGATATGTCTCCTAGCCTCAGTCAATCAACACTTAGTTGAGAAAAAAGAAAGAGTCTTGTAAGCTTTTGTACTTTTCCTTAATCCTGCTTATTCAGTTTTCAAGAATTATTTACAAAATCCTGATAGAAATCAGTTTAAGAATAAAATAAGAGTTAGAGAATGGAGAAAAATGATTGAAAGACAAATGACTATCGAATAAATAATTGTAGGATAAATGATTGTAGGAAAAATTATTGTAGGAAAAATTAATGTAGGACCAATAATTGTATGACAAATAATTGTATGACAAATAATTGTAGGACAAATAGTTATAGGACAAATGATTGAATGACATTAATGATCTTAGGGAAAATAATTGTAGAATAAAAAATTGTAGGATAAATTATTGTAGGACAATAGATAGATCATAGGAAAACTGGTGGAATAAATCATTGTACGACAAAAATCATATCACAAATAATTTTAGGACAAATGATTGTAGGACAAATGATAGTATGACAAATGATTTTAGAACAAAATGGTTGGAGGACAAAAGATTTTAGATTTAATATTTGTTGGACAAATTATCATTATATAAATGAATGTAAGACAATTTATTGTGAGTCAAATGACTGTAGAACAAATGATTGTAGGACAAATGATGAATGGCAAATAATTTTAGAACAAATTATTGTAGGACAACTTATTGAAGACCAAATGATTTTGTAAAAAAGTGATTGTGGGACAAATAATTGTAGGAAAAATGATTGCAAGAGAAATGATTGTGAGACAGATGATTATATGACAAATGATTGTAGGAATGAGTGTAGCACAAACAATTGTAGGTCAAAAAAAGTTGGACAAATTATCATAGTACAAACAATTGTAAGACAAATTATTAAAGTACAAAAAATTGTAAGACAAATTATTAAAGTACAAACAATGGTAAGACAAATTATTATAGTACAAATAATTGTTAGACAAATTATTATAGTACAAACAATTGGTGGACAAATTATTATAGTAAAAATAATTGTTGGAAAAATTATTATAGTACAAATAATTGTTGGACAAATTATTAACATACAAATAATTGTTGGACAAACTATTCTTGTACAAATAATTGTTGGACAAATTATTCTTGTACAAATAATTGTTAGACAAATTATTCTTGTACAAATAATTGTTGGACAAATTATTTTAGTACAAACAATTTTTGGACAAATTATTATAGTACAAATAATTGTTGGACAAATTATTATAGTACAAACAATTGTTGGACAAATTATTATAGAATGTTTATTGACTGATGAGGATCGAGAGATCTGAAACAATTTGTATTAATAAATATGAAAACTGAGAAGCTGTTCTGATTATTGCTTTATAGTTAATATATATATATATATATTATTAAATTGTTCAGTGTTAAAAACTATGATTGTAATTATATAAAGCAGTTTTTACTACTTATAAATTGTGTGAAAATTTTTGAAAACTTTATTTTTTTCAATTCTGCCATCGGCAGAATTTTTGCATGATTGAAAACGTAAAAAGACCAAAACTACCGTCTAGGAAACTAAATATTTTAAGATTTGCGCAATTATTCGAAAATTCATTCAATTGTTTCTCCAGGCGTAAAAAACCGTTGCGCAATTATTGCACGATTTTCGTGCCCCTAATCAATTTTTTAGCGTAGTTATTAGAAGCCTAAGTTCTCATGGGGATTCACTCTGTATAAAGATATATAGCCTGGTAAAGGGAAAAAGAAGAATAACAAGTTTTTTATCTTCTGAATCTTCAAACCATTCAGTTTGAAGATGTCTCTCAAAGAGGTTAGTAATAACCAACAGTAAACAGTAAACAGTAAACAGTAAACAGTAAACAGTAAACAGTAAACAGTAAACAGTAAACAGTAAACAGTAAACAGTAAACAGTAAACAGCAAACAGTAAACAGTAAACAGTAAACAGTAAACAGTAAACAGTAAACAGTAAACAGTAAACAGTAAACAGTAAACAGTATAGAGTAAACGTAAACTGTAAACCATAACCGTAAACTGTAAACCATAAACAGTAAACCATAAATCGTAAACCATAAATAGTAAGCAGTAAAAAGTAAAAAGTAAACAGTAAACAGTAAACAGTAAACTGTAAACTGATAAACCGTAAACTTGAAACCGTAAAATTGAAAACGTAAAACATAGAATGTTTAAACTATATCATAAACCTTGAACCGTAAATTGTATATCGTGAACCGTTCATTGTGAGCAATAAACCGTTATCAGGTTAATTTTATTACTCATAGATTTTAGTATTTTTGCCGGTTCTGTGTTGTATACTGATAAAGGTTCAAGAAACAAACTCCGCTCCACTTAAAAAGGTGAAATAAACGATTTGTTAATTTGCATTTTCGTCACAGAACAGAAATTAGAATAGAAGGGAAATTAGCCAATCCCTCAGTATGTACAGGGTGTCCCACGAAACATGACAGTTGGTATAAATAGTTTAGAATGTCTTCTTCCATAATTTGATAAGTTTTTTAATACGAAAGACAATAATAAAAATATTATTTAAGAGTCATATTATAGTAAAATTAATTTCAAAGTAAAATATACTAGAGAAAAAGATTTTTTAAACGAAATAAACTGCAAACAGCCTTTAATATCTAATATAGTGTATGGAAGACGACATTCAAAACTATTTATCAACTGTCATGTTTCGTGAGACACCCTGTACTTTGTCAGTCCCTTTGAGCCTGAAAAGGAGTTTAAAGTGTACACTTTATTGAAATGTTTACAAATTATATACAGTACATCACACTACCCGTGTAAACCAAGTCTGTCTCACCTACTGACCTTTTTATCTTGTCAACATGATAGAGAATCTCCGTAATTTGATAAATTTAAAAGGAATATGCTAATATATTTCCCCCTCTTCTTCCCTTTTTCCATTTTCAGTCGAGATGTCTATTTTGGTTAAAAAAAAAGTTATACCTCAATACATCCTGTATAATTAAAATCTTTTCTCTTTGATTTTTGTACTTGAAATATTTGAACCACTTTGGAAATGTTCTTCAAAGTCTCTGTTTGATCCAGGTTGGGGATGCACAATCACCACTTCTCAGTGTCAGAGAATCTGTAGAACTTCATTTTCTGCAGGTATACATACTGTACACTGTACACTGCGTGCAGTGTACAGTGTAATTTTACAGTGTGCAGTGTACAGTGTACAATGTAGTTGTACAGTGTGCAGTGTAAAGTGTGCAGTGTACAGTGCACAGTTTACAGTGTGCAGTGTACAGTGTGCAGTGTACAGTGTAATTGTACACTGTACACTGTACACTGCACACTGTAAAATTACACTGTACACTAAACAGTGTACACATCACACTGTAAACAGCACACTGTACACTGCACACTGTAGACTGCACACTGTACACTGCACACTGTACACTGTACACTGCACACTGTACAATTACACTGTACACTGCATACTGTACACTGCAAACTGTACACTGCACACTAAACACTGCACACTGTACACTGCACACTGTACACTGCACACTGCACACTGCACACTGCACACTGCACACTGTACACTGCACTGTACACTGCACACTGTGCAATTACACTGTACACTGTACACTGTACACTACACACTGTACACAAGTGAAGTTTCTAAAATTACTTAAGTAAACAATAATGATCCTTATTCCTTTTTAGAACGGTGGTGGAAAACTTCAAGGTATTTCATAGTTTCGATAAGTTATTAAGATTTTTCACACACATTGATATCAATACCTATTTTATATTAATGGTGTAGTTTAAATTTGTTTTGTTTAAATATAGGAATGATATTAAAAGTATTCACTCTCATAATCTCTAACATCATAAACCTGCTATTTCAAAGAAATCTCGTCAGGCTTTTGATAATTAAACATTTTTAGGTTTTAATTCATTGCACTTAAATTTGTTGACATAAATAGTAAAAAAAACATTCTATTGTATATTCTGTGTTGAAAAATGTGCCATGTGAGCCTATTTTCTTAATATCCCAGCTGCCAGCAAATCCAAAGAATTTGCAGGACTCCCATCAGTTAATAATATTTCTTGATGAACAAAAATTGATTTTATTCAAAAATCAGTGTTGGTCATTTTGCCATATTTTCCATTAAACTATTCCATCAAACCCTCCAATCCTTAATCACTCCTTATCACCCGGACAAAACTAGTAAGATATATTATTAAACATGCAATAACATTTATACATTGTCATTTATTTTTACTTATCCTGCATTTGATTGCAGGTTTCAAATATACCAGTTAACGTGATTATTTGAAACTCCTGTGTCCGAGTTAAGGAGCCTGACCAATGAACCTATTGATCAACGAACCAACTGAACCAACTGACCAATGAATGCAATTAACCAACCTGCCAACCTAACATATTATTGTCGACGTTCACCTACGTTTCTACAAATTTGTAGGACATTATTTATATTTTCAGATTAGAATTGGAACACTGGCATTAGGGTATCGTCGTGAAGTAAAAAAATGGCTCATTTAAAATCAGAATTTATTGAGGAATGTTTTAATTTCTTATTTTACCATGCACTAAATATATATTCCTGATTTAAAGGGAGTGACCAGCAATGTAAGATAGTTGAACTTAGAATGTATTATTGTGGAGAAATTTTTTAGAATTCATTTGAGACATATAATACATATTAATCTATATATAAATGTGGCTTATCTGTCTGTTTGTTTGTATCCAATAAACGTCAAAACGGCTGAACCGATCGGGCCCAATTTTTTTGTGGGACAGCAAGGGACCACAGGGAAGGTTTATGAATGATCAAAATTTCAAATATTTGTCTCCATCAAAATGCGATCTTCATTAAATTTTTGAAAATCCACGAAATTTTTTGTGAAAATCCGCAAACTATTTTTGTTTTGTTTTACGATGTAAACAAAGAGAACATGTTCACAATTAATTTAGAAGATGGGCGCGAAGCGCCCTACAAGGCTAGTGATGTGTATATTTGCAGAGTTTGAGTGCAAAGTATTTACACATACTAAAAATCTAAATAACTCGTCTGCATATTAAATTAACTTTTATGTTTTAACAAGAATCATGAACCAGTCATAGTAACAAGCATTACAAACTGCACAAAGGATGTGACTTCAAAAACAACAGTCAAAATTTGAAATTAATTGAGAAAATATCTTCTCTCCGGTGGTTAGATTACCGTCACTTCACAAGCACAACGATATTCTCTTCCAAACCCAACTAAAATACAAATATTTAATCTCTTCTGAACCCAACTAAAATGCAATTATTTAATCTCTTCTGAACCCAACTAAAATACAAATATTTAATCTCTTCTGAACCCAACTAAAATACAAATATTTAATCTCTTCCAAACCCAACTAGAATACAAATATTTAATCTCTTCTGAACCCAACTAAAATACAAATATTTAATCTCTTCTGAACCCAACTAAAATACAAATATTCAATCTCTTCTGAACCCAACTAAAATACAAATATTTAAAGTTGAATGTTCCCCGCAGCTTTAAACTTATTTTTTCTTTGCCAAACAATTGAATATACCATTCACGAACTATTTTCAAGATAAAAAACTAACTTCACCTTTCAGATCTTCATAGTTAACCCTGTCCTGGCTGGGCTATATTTGTGCAATATAGGCTGAGAAGGGGGGAGATTGTTTCCCCCCCCTACGATTTTGTGTAAACACCCCCCCCCAAACCGTGAAAGGGGGAAAGATTTTTAGGTTGTAATTAAAGTCTCTTCCTTTGTGCGTAACTCTTTATATTTAAGATTTAACACTAAACTGCACTAACAGGAATGCAGAAATCACTGTTCAACAATTTAATTTATCCATTTTCATACACACAATTTTTAAACTAATTTATTAAGAAATTATTGTTATTCTGAAAGTATTTGCTAGTTGTTCCTTTTATATTAAATAACATGAAAATGTGCGACACATTTACCCTTGGGGAGGGGCCTCTCCAGACACTCCGTCAAACATCAAACAATCTTCTTGACGAGGGAAAAAAAAATTTATTTATCGAACGAAAATTTCGCGAAAATTGACAAAACCAAGAGAGAAACTAATTAATATTTAATCCATTGATGATAATTATTTAACCAAGAGAGAAACTAATTAATAATTAATCCATTGATGATAATCATTTAACCAAGAGAAAAACTAATTAATATTTAATCCATTGATGATAATTATTTAACCAAAAGAGAAACTAATTAATCCATTGATGATAATTATTTAACCAAGAGAGAAACTAATGAGTATTTAATCCATTGATGATAATTATTTAACCAAGAGAGAAACTAATTAATATTTAATCCATTGATGATAATTATTTAACCGAGATGAAAACAAATTAATATTCTATTCATTGATGATAATTATTTACCCAAGAGAGAAACTAATTAATATATAATCCATTGATGATAATTACTTAACCAAGAGAGAAACTAATTAATATTTAATCCATTGATGATAATTATTTAACCAAGATGAAAACTAATTAACATTTAATCCATTGATGATAATTATTTACCCAAGAGTGAAACTAATTAATATTTAATCCATTGATAATAATTATTTAACCAAGAGAGAAACTCATTAATATTTAATCCATTGATGATAATTATTTAACCAAGATGAAAACTAATTAATATTTAATCCATTGATGATAATTATTTAATAACTATGAAAATTAATTAATATTTAATCTATTGATACTATTGATGGTGGTCTGGGAGAAAACAGAGTCTTGAGTTTAGAGTGTTGAATTTAGAGTATTGAGTTTAGAGTGTTGAATTTAAAAAGTTGAGCTTAGAGTTTTGAGTTTAGCGTGTTGAGTTCAAAGTGTTGAGTCTAGGGTGCTGAGTTTAGAGTGTTGACTTATGGTTGTTGAGTTTAGAGTTTTAGTTAAAGTCTTGGGTTTAGAATGTTGAGCATAGAGCGATCAGTTTAGAGTGTTGAGTATTGGGTGTTGAGTATAGGATGCTGAGTGTTGAGTTTAGAATGTTGAGTTTAGAGTGGATAGTTTAGATTATTAAAGGGACCATATAGTCCGTATTACGTCACCAGTATCATTGTCATGTGATAAAGACGAAAATCATATGACTAGTTGTAAACCGATCAAAAGGATATAGGCTCGAAATGGGCGAAACATTTGAATGAAACTGAACGAATTTCGTTCGTTCATTTTTGCGAACTTCGTTGAACGATAATTTCGTTGGAAACCCTTTAAAAAAACGTACGTCTCAAATGAATTCAAAAAACTTTTTCCACAATACTACATTCTCAGTTCAACTACCATACATTGCCGGTCACTCCCTTTAAAGATTATTTTTTTTAATTATTAATGGGTTGAGGACCAAAAACTAAAAAGACAGGTCTTTTTTTTAACGACAATTAACTTACATGTATATTTAAGAGGATGGGGGAATTCATGGTTCAAAAGACTGGTTTGAAAAAGCTCATGTAACCAGGTATGAAACTTTTATTTTCGAAATATATTTTACACAGAGATTTTTAATTATTAATAATGAATTACAATGAGGAGGATGGGGTAGAACTGAGGTCAAAACATTTGTGTGATTATTCCATATCCACTTTAGTTTCAGTAGAAATAAATATTTCCATTTACTGATAGCGCCGATTCAAGGATTCATAACTCTAATTGGATAATGAGATAGATAGAAAGATAGATGTTACCGCCATACTATTTCTATGGGTTCAGAATAGAAAACAAACACATGACTGAACCCTGATTGGATCATGCGCTAATGGACTCGGTATACAGGAGTGTATCGGATATCCACCAATTTTTAACTGTTACTGATAAGTGTTTGTTCCTTCAATTTTAACTGTCCCTGCACTTCAGATGAATTAATTTAATCTGAAGTATACTGATGCATAATATACAGATAACAACTTAATCCCGGAATTCAAAACACAGAACTTTTGATCTCAGAATAAACAAAACAATTAGTTCTGAGGCCGAATTTAAAGAATTTGAGCCGCGGTTTAAATTTAAGCCGCAGCTCAAATATGGCTGGTTCCGCTTAAAGTATTATATTTTTCAAGATTTAAGCCGGCGGTCAATTAAAACCGGTTTTTGGAGGATTTGAGACGTGGCTTGAATTCATTAAATTGTCTGTCATTATAATGGAGATTTAGCGATTAAACTTTTAAAAAAGATTATTTACCGTAGGGAAAAGAGATCTCCTAAAAAGAAAAAGCATTCCTCCGAAGAAAATTCTTCTGGCGAAAAGAAGAAGAAGGGATCAAAGGAAAAGAAGTCAAAAGAGAAAAAATCTAAAGAAAGTAGCAGTTCTGAAGAGAGTAGCAGTTCAGAAGAAAGCTCATCTAGCTCTGAGAGCGAAAGTTCTGAAGAAACCACAACAACATCTTCAACAACAACCACCACAGCAACTACTACAACAACCACCATCACCACAACGTCAACTACTGCTACAACAACCACTACTACAAGTTCCACAACTACTTCTACTTCAACAACAACAACAACAACAACAACAAAAACAACAACAACAACAACAACAACAGCAACAACAACAAAAGCAGCAGCTTAACATAACTTTAGTGCTTAAACAAGACATAAAAGAAAAAAATTGGCATAGACACATCTCACATTTCTGAAATTTCTCAGGCTCGCAAATTTTACTTAAATTTAAAACTAAAAAGATATGTAAAAAAACGTTTTTTTGGACAATTTTGGCTTTCATTTTAACCATAAAATGAGAAATGCAATTCGACAAAGACTGCTGGCCCCTATTTTTTTTTCATATTTGGACTTCATGGGCCCCATTATAAACCAGGGTTGGTTGGGTCCAATGTGTTACATCAAAAATATTAAGACCTCCTCTCTATGTATGTCTATGCTAACATACATACGAAACATGACAATTGTTTAATAGTTTAAAATAATTTGATAAATTTTTTTATATAATAAAAAGACTAACAACATTTTTTATATGACAGTTATGTTATAGTAAAATTGATTTCACAGTAAAATTGATTACACAGTAAAATATATATGATTTAAACATTTTTTTAAAGAAATAAACTGCACAAAGTCTTATACAGTATGTGGAAGAAGACATTCGTCAAAACTATTCACCATCTGTCATGTTTCGTGGGACACCCTGTTGTATGTTAGCAATATATAGTAGAGGAGTTCTTGACTTTTTTGATGTAACACATTGGCCTATATATAAATTATACAGCATATATATAAGCGGATCAGAGCCTTATTATAGAAAAGAATCAATTTTAAACTAAAACAACGAAAACATGCAACATGTTCTTCAGTTTAAAAGGCCCCCTAGCCTAGCCGCAGCCCTCGTCCCAAAAATTGTCTTGACCTAACCTAACCGTCAAATAATACAAAAATAAACAGCCGGAGTATAGTTCCGATATTGCAATAGGTCGGAAAGTTATATAGTAGGTCAGAAGTTCAGTAAGGGCCGGGATGTTGCGTAATTCGTATAGACGATGTAAAATTACCAAATAAAGACGAATCTATGTAAGAAAGTCCCGGGAAAAAAAATTCTGGAAAAAAAACCTGGAAATAAAAACTTTGGAAAAAAAGTCCGAATTTTATGAAGTCCTTGGAAAAAATGTCACTGGAAATAAAGTCCTGTGTTTTGGATTCCTGGGACTTTTTTTCCCCTAAAATAGTATGGGGGCTGCCAATTAAGTCTCAGGAAATAAGATACCAGGAAAAAAAGTCCTGAAGAAAATAAATTCGAGAAAAAGAAAAACCTAGGATTGTGAATCATGCATTTTCACTTGCTAGAGGACTTTTTTTCCGAGGACTTTTTTTGTATAAAATCATACTGGAGCAAGAGAAAAGGTCCTAGAAAATAAAGTCTCGAATTGGTAGGACTAATAATTTCCGGAGACTTTTTAATAAAAGGACTTTTTTTCCACAGGACTTTTTAGTGTGAAATTTTAGAACTTTTTTTCCAGAAACTTTTTTCCTAGGACTTTTTTGGCGGTTACCGAATCAGGGGCGTAAATAAGGATTCTGTAGGGGGGGGGGGGGTAAAATTTTTTGAATGTGGCGCGCGAAGCTCGCCGAATTTTTTAACCCCCCCTAGATTTATTTTTAATAGAAAAATATCATGATGTATATCAAATTATTGGTTTTAGATAGGTTTGATTTGTATTTTCCACTCATTTCTGGCATTTACAAACTCTATCAAATAAAGGATTCATTTCTTATCTTTCAGCTTTCACCTTATTTTGTATCAAATTCATTATAGTCATTCATTTTACATAAACTAGAAAGATCTGTAAAAAAACTAAAATCTATTTTAAGCAACATAAAAATAGTTTTACTCTAAGAGGAAAAGGATGTTACTTTTTAAAATCTTTTGAAAAGCTACTCTGCAAAACTTTGAACAAATATTGTCTCTGTTTATATTCTAATTTCCAGAGGCGCAACTAGCACTTTGCTAGGGGCAAAATAATATTTTGTAATGATCTGGGGGGGGTTGNTAGAAAAAAAATTTAAATAAAAGTTCTTTTTACAGGGTTTGATGTCGAAAAAAAGGAAATTTTCAGTTGTTGCATGCAGATTTGGCTGTGTTCAATTCCAATCGCTTTTTTTCTAGTGTTTAAAAAAAATGTATACTTTCAACAACTGTAAAATTAACGATAAGAGTCAATTGTTTAATTACAGATATTTAATTACAAGAAATAATCATTTATATATTCTGAAAGAAACACATCAAAATACATATATAATTTTAATCATCTACATTGAAAAAAACCCAGATAATGTTACGTTTTCTCCTGAAGTTATTGAATTAATGATTGATCATTATAACCAACATTCATAATCGTATTTCATTTTCGATTTTAGAGAAGTTCTTTTAAAGAAGATAAACAGGTTACAGTTATTAAATATGATAATCAGTTAGAAGTTTGCCTGGTTCAGTCTCAGAATGTTCTCTAGATTTGGAACTGAGTTTTTGCCACAAAACTCTTTTGGTTTTATTGTTCCTGACTCCTGTGATAATGATATTCACCAATATTTCATTTTATTCTGCAGGAGAGGGTGCCTCCCCCCTCTCAGGTAGGTGCTAGGGTAGGGCGCGCGCCCGGCCGCCCCCCCTAGTTTCGCCTCTGCTAATTTCTAATTTATAAAATTTTCTTGTCGTCAATGTAGTATTGTTAACAAATTCAAGAAAACACGAAGACGATTACTACTGTGTAGCGAAGTTGACCGCGGAAGATTCACAATACTATAATACTATATCCGCTCCAAATGTGTCTCCTCATGTTCCCCCCCCCCTTACCGCCTCTACTTGTGGGGAACAGCGTCAGTTAGCTTTAGAATGTCGAGATGTGAACACCTCTGATCTGGAACTACTAACTCCTTCATACTGCCACCGATGTCTACTCTAGCAACAAATGCTGCTAATGTCTAAGCGTCCATCATGTCCAAATCCACAAAGCAGTTGCATGTCCCGGGGTTGAGAGGCAATTCAAGTTCCTCCCTACACATAATCCAGACTGCAAACCCTCCAGGACCGTCGCCTAGATGTGAACCCTTTGCTGCCAAGATGCTGACACCTGTGAGCTGACCATCATGAAGCTCCAACTGTTCCTTTCCTTTCAACACTATTAATCAATGTTATTTCATTTTCAACCGTTTAGATACTCCCAATTAAGGGCCAATATTTTTAAACTTTGCTTTTATTTCTCATTTCATGCTATTATTCAATAAAGTTACCGAATATCCCTGTTGTTCTTTTATTTGTGTCAACAAGTATGTTTTAAAATCCTAAATAAATCTAATATGGAAATGACATTATTTAGAAGTTAAAATGTATTCTTCAAATTGCCCATACCCTTCTTTTCTATTAAAAAAAAATATCTTATTGTAATGACATTAACTATAACTTTAGAATTTAGAATCATTTAGAATATGTTGACTTAAAATCTGAAATATCTGAAGTATCTGCACACTTAATTTTTTTTTGTTTAATCTTAAAATCAACCTTTTTTTAAAACAAATTCTGGGGGGGGGGTAATTATCCCCAGGATTCTAGGGAGGGTATTTACCCCAAGGATTCTAGGGTGGGGGGTAAATAACCCCAATAACTCCCCTTATTTACGCCAAGCTGTACCTCGAATAATGCCAGCTTTTTCCATTTTTGATCCTTAAAAGAAAATATATTATTATTTTTAATAGACTCAAAAGATTCTAATCAAGAAAAACATTAAATATTAAAGGAAAAAATATTTTGTATACTGATTTCCTAACATAAACTGCAATGGGGTTTTTGTAGTCTGTACGTGGGTTTTATGCACTCTACATTTTTATTAAGTCGTATTAACTTCTTTAGGCGCCAGACCGGGGTTTCTCTGGATAACAGTACTAACGTACCGGTGTAATACATTGAGCGGACTCCTGCATGGGGTGGACTCCTCCTAAAGTTTTAACCATTTCAACACAATTGCTAGACAAAAAAGCAATATTATGACATTTTCCGATATTTATTAATTTACTTTGATTTGATCGATTTGAAAAGAAGAAATAATCTTTTTTGCCTAGGCTCTCAAAAATTGGTTGAGTAAAAAAATATTTTGAGCTTTTTCCCGAAATTTGGGAAAACATGTATTTGATATTTAAATCACAAATTGGTTCCTCTGTACCCCGCCCCCCCCCTTCCTCTCCTAGTCCCCTTACATTTTCTCCCTGTGGCCCCCTATTTTTTAGTCTGTGCTAAAAGTCCGGTGAAACCGTGAAAGCCGACACAGTACACTTATACAACAGTTAAAAATCCTCCTTGCTGTATAGTGTATAGTGTATACTACTCTAGTAGTTTACAGACCGCTCGAGCCTTAATGCAAGAAATCGAGCAGTCAGCTGAAACTAAATTTCAGGCAATTCAAGTCTTAATACTTGGATTTTAGAGTGAAACCTAATGATAAATTATCTGGTATACGTTATTTTGGTTATAAACCTTCCAAGGCCGTTACAACAGACATAGTTTGATAGAGGCTAGACAAATCTGATCAGCTGTTTTTCCACTCTGTTCCTCTCTAGACTCTAATACTCACAAGTACGCAATTCTGGCTTGAAACTTCTAGACGTTAGTTTTAAAGGTGACTTTTATCTAATTATAAGAATAACTATTTGTAAAGCAGCAGCTTTTAAAAAAAAATTCATTTTCAAATGTTTGATAAATATAAAGTTTTGAAATGAAACATAAACGAATTTGGAATTATGGGGTCTGTCCTAGTATACGATTTTTGGACCCCCCCTGCCCCCTCCCCACCCTCCTATCAATTTTGTACATGACCATTTATTTTTCAGCAAATTTATTATTATTTATTTTTTTGTTAATTAGGGTTAGGTTAGGTTAAGATGAAAACTTTAGAATGGAATATCCTTAATCCCAATCGGTTAATTAATCTGGAGATTAATAACAAGAGGAGAACAAGCATTATTCAATTTCGAGATTAAGAAAAATAGTAGATCAAGCATTAATCCCGATATTCACCATTCAAAAGTTCCCAGCTCAGGCACCTTCTAGCTCTTCAATTTTGAGTTTTAAGAATAGATTCCTTGTTCACTCCAATGAAGATTTCAAAGAAAAATTAAATCTTGCTTAAACACATCTTCCAACTTCCATAGTCATGGGTTTGACATAAAAGTGACCATGAAATCCCTGTAAAAAAATTTCTGCTTGTGTAATTTTTAATAATTCCTGTCTGGAATTAAGCCTGGTAATGAATGGCTTCCATGCCACTCGGTTAGACACGTTAGACAGATTAAATATCTACGTCACAACTTTAATCCTTTATCAGCATTCAGCTTGCCTGCAGTAGCCTTGTGTTTTTTGTTTCTTCCATACATTCAATAGATCTGTAAATGTATTAATACTATTTGCGATAATGTAAATTATATCTCAGAAATGCAAATTTAAAAATAAATTTTCAAGCAAAATCTGAGATGAAATTTTTTGAATGTAATCTGAGATGTAAATTTATGAATGAGATAGAAATAAATGAATGAGAATTAAAAAGTTGAAATTGAAATTTTTGAAAAAATTAGAGATGGAAATTTATGAATGAGGTCTGATATTAAATTATGGAAATTTTATTTAAGAATTATGATATGACATTTTTAATGAGATTTTAACTTAGAATTTTAAAAAAGAAATTTAAGACGTAAACAAGATCTTGATTGAAAATTATGAACAATATCTTGATTGAAATTTATGAACAAGATCAATTAGATTGAAATTTATGAACAGATCTTAGATTGAAATTTATGAACAAGATCTTAGATTGAAATTTATGAACAAGATCTTGATTGAAATTTATGAACTAGATCAATTAGATTGAAATTTATGAACTAGATCTTAGATTGAAATTTATGATCAAGATCTTGATTGAAATTTATGAACAAGATCAATTAGATTGAAATTTATGAATTAGATCTTAGATTGAAATTTATGAACTAGATCTGAGATGGAAATTTATGAATAAGATCTGAGATGGAAATTCATGAATAAGATCTGAGATGGAAATTTATGAATAAGATCTGAGATGGAAATTTATGAATAAGATCTGAGATGGAAATTTATGAACTAGATCTTAGATTGAAATTTATGAACTAGATCAATTAGATTGAAATTTATGAACTAGATCTTAGATTGAAATTTATGAATATGGTCTGAGATTGAAATTTATGAATAAGATCTGAGATGGAAATGTATGAACTAGATCTGAGATGGAAATTTATGAATTTGATCTGAGATTGAAATTTATGAATATGATCTGGGATGGAAATTCATGAATAAGATCTGAGATGGAAATTTATGAATAAGATCTGAGATGGAAATTTATGAATAACATCTGAGATGGAAATATATGAATAAGATCTGGGATGAAAATTTATGAACAAGATCTGATGATAGAAATTAATGAAGAAGATCTGAGATTGAAAGTTATGAATGAGTTCTGAGATGAATTGAATGTGATTTAAAGATTGAAATCTTAAATGAAAATAAATGAGCGAGAAAAAGTTAATCTAGATTTCTCATTTTAAAATACGTTTTTTTTAAATTTAGTAATTTTAGATATTGGATTGATTCTGTTTGGGATGTAGTTTCAAATTCTGTGCTGAAAGTTATTCAAAAAAAAGTTTTATGCCTTAATTTTCCAACATGGTCATTTTAAATCAACATTTTATGTTATTTTAAAAAAATCTTAGGTATTTAAATTATGGAGGACTAACAGAGAAGTAGGAAGTAATGCTGTTTAACAGGAGTCTATATTTTACCAGAACCGGGTGGGTCGGGTGGGACGGGAGATTTGATGTGAGAAATAAGAAATACGACATTTTTATGTGTTTTTAGTCAAAAAGGTCATCGAACTTGGGAGAATTTACCCTTGAAATTAAGTAAATAAAAAGAAAGCCAAAAAATTTGATAGTTTGCAGTACTTCACATTTTGCAAAATTATTTTATGATTTTCATAATCAAATTCTGTCAGTAATGCTAAATTTGCGGTTATGATGATTGTATTGATTTCCCTTGGAATGACCGGTTTCAAACTACTCTCCATATATAAACTGTGTTTTCTTTAATTCTTTATTCAGATGATGTTAAACTTGGTAGAAGAGTTTGGATGTTTAACTGAAATAGATTGAAGTATTATAGCAACAATATAACATTGATAAGAACAATTTTTATAATGATTTCATATAATTACTTACACGAATGTCATCTATTAAGAAAGAAATCAAAGTAAGTTTACATCAGCGTCCATGGTTNATATTTGTCTCCATCAAAATTCGATCGTCATTAAATTTTTTAAAATTTTGAAAATCCGCGAAATTTTTTGTGAAAATCCGCGAATTATTTTTGTTTTGTTTTACGATGTACACAAAGAGAACATGTTCACAATATATTTAGAAGATGGGCGCGAAGCGCCCTCTAAGGCTAGTAATATAAACAGAATCCCAGCGAACATATATTTCTTAATTTTTAAAATATAAAAGTTTCTCAATATTGCCAACTTCAAAAGAGGGGTCTAGGCCAGAGAGAGAATACTAATAGACCCAAATACAAAAAATGAGGCCCATATTTTAAGATTGGTGGCGAAGCCCACCTAAAAAATGTTGTGCCTAAAAGCAATTTTTTTGGCTTAATTTTGATTTTTTTTACTAAAATAGCTGATTTATTGCTTCTTTTGATTCAAATATATTCCAGCATAAATATCAGAATAGAAAATTAGTCTCCAACCACGTTCAATTTCCATTTCCATTTTAGAAATCCACTTATTTTTTTTACAAAATCTGCAAACTTTTTGTGTTATTTTTTTACAATATGTTTAAAACATAGAGAAAATGTTCACAATTAAAATAGAAGAAGATGGCGCGAAGCGTCTTGAAAGCCAAATAAATTATAATATTCATTAGTATAGAATCCATGATAATTGTTACAGTTTCTACTCAAGGGAATAGATTCAGACACCTCCATGTTTTAAAACTTAAGTTTACTATATCAACCTTTGTAGTAAATGCCGTACTCTTAAAACTTCGTCCAGAACTGTATCAATCCAGGTACAACTCGTCCTCTATTAATGTCAACCGGGACACAACTCTCAAGCGATCAATGCCTAACCATGGGTACGATCTCATCGGCTCTGAATGTCACACAGAGACACGAGCGTAGCTTTCAAACAAGCTCTTAATCGATCAGTTTTTGGTATAACGTTGGCACAGTTTTATATCAATTTCGCATGTCAGGAAGTGTTTAGGTTTCAGCCTATTCCCCCTTTAAATTTTTCGTAACAGCCCTTTTAAGATGATTTTTTTCTACATTTTACGTCACATATTGGGATTTGGGACAGCTCTAGAATCGGTCAAATATTCAATATAAATAATATTTTATAAACAGTCCTTCTTTTATCCTTTTTTTTTGCAATGTTTGTAATTATTTTCAATAAAACTTGTTCTTTAGCTGTCCTTGCACATTATTGGTCAAACTAAAATCTAGATAAACCCTTTTCCCCTTTCCTTTGCTCTACGCTCATTGGATAGAAAATTAAAATTATTTTATTTTCAGGTTTGGTAATGAATCATGTTTGTGATCATCATATATCTTTTCCTGCTCGGATTCCTCCTGCTGTTCATGTGTAACTGCTGATACTGATCCTCCTGTTCATGCGTAACTGCTGATACTGATCCTCCTGTTCATGCGTAACTGCTGATACTGATGCTCCTGTTCTGCATGCTGCATTCTTTATGCTGGTTCCTGTTCATGTGGCACAATTGATACAAACTCCTGTTCCTATGTAACTACTGCTTAGGACATTTTTTCTAGAACAATCGCTGTGTTCTCTTTCAAGGTATTGATATTACTCCCGATGCCAAGTATTCTTAATAACCAAAACATTCCAAAACAGCATTTTTATCTTGTGAATTATTGATATTTCAAAATTTAAATGTATTTGACATATATTTTTTATAATTTTTTCTAGACATAAATCTGTTAAAACTGCAGAAAATTTGGAACGAAAGTTTACTTGCTTGTCTGTTGGTTGTATCATAAACGTCCAATTTTTTATGGCTACTAAAATGTATGGAAAGTCAAAGTTAAACCTTTTTTTTCTGAAAAAAAATGTTATAATATATTTTTGAAAATGAGCATGGTGTCAATATAAATGGATAAATCCGCGAAACTTTGAGAATGATTAAAGATGACAACTTTCAGATGAACAGTTAAAAGCTAAAATTGATTGTTTCGTAGAAAAGGGGGCGCAATGTACCGACCTAAAAGCCTAGTATTTTAAAAAATTACCCCCATTGAGATATTATATTTTAGTTTCGTAAGTATTCAACAACTCTGATGACATAATATTTTATAAATGAAAAATCAACTCTACCGTTGAACGTTGAATACTAAAAGTACATATTTCATCTTCGAAGTTTCAAGGTCCAAAACCGAGACATTTTAAACTAGCCGGTGTTTCCCAAAAAAAAATTTCATCAAGCATAACAACTTTATTCAAAGGAAGAGAAATATTTTAATATGATAGTGCTAAAAATTTCAAAATATGCAAAAATTGACGTAACTTTATCGGTTGTTTTAAAATGGGGATTTGAAATTACATATTTGGATTATTGATTGATTTTAATAATTTTATTTATTTATTTATCTATTTATTTATTTTATTCATAGAATAAATGTAAATCAGAATGTTGGATAGTTAATTATGAACAATCAATAGTCAACAGTGTTCACAAACAAATATTTTCTGAATTAAATACGCCAGGTCCCACACAAAATTCGGACTTACTCGGTTCAGCCTTCTGTGTTTTGGGTAAAAAAGTTACCAATTAGCAATTCTCGAATTTTATTTTATTTCAGGAAAAAAAATAGGCATCACAATGGAATTTAGGAACAGTCCAATTGAATGCTGAATAACATTTTTTTAAAAAAATAATATGTAAAACAAATTTAATAATTTATAATGTAATATTGTAATCAAAAAAATTTATGAACATTGCATCTAAATAATTACAGATGGCATATATAAGAAAGTCGTAACCTTCATTGACTTTCATAGGGGGTTGAAAAAGATTTTACAACTAGAAATGTATCTGTAATTCATATTTATTTTCATTAAAGAGACAAAACTCGAAATTTCAGTGACCTACCTCCCCCCCCCCTTACACTGCTGAAAGGTTTCAAGTCAAAACATCTTAACTTTTTCTTTGGAATATATTAATAGGCAGTCTACTGAATTTTAATCTCAATTTTCAGGAAATTTCATATAGGAATTTTGAGCAAATCCATGTTTAAGATATTGTAGGAATCAAGTGCATTTTCAGGTTGAAAAACGAATCTTTAGTTTCACGACTTCATAAAGCTGATTTTGTTATTTTTTGCAATATTTGAACCGTTAATGGCAGGGTCCCCAAATTTTGTGAATTGTCCTTAACAGTCTATAAGACATGTTGTAGCAAAAAATCAAAGCCATAACTAAACTGTATAACTGATAAAGTACTGCCTAAAAAAGGGTTTTTGAAGTGAAATCCTTCAAAATCACATCAAAAAGACTTGTTCAGGCCTTATATGGTCAGTCAGGAAGTTGAGCCAGAGCTTTGAATTGTTACTACAATATGTCTTATGACTGTTCATCAAAATTAAAAAAATTTGGGGACCCTGCCATTAACAGTTCAAAAAATATCGCAAAAAAAAACCCAGAAGCAGACGCAGTATATCAATTATTTAAATCTTTATACGAAATTCCCCCCAATTCAGTTCCCTTGAAACCTTTATCTGTTAAATATTTTGAAAGATTTGTCGTTTTTTTTTGGTTTAAAAGAGTACGGGTTTACATCTTACAATTTCTAAATGTTTTCTTGCAGTAGAAATGCGCAAGTCAATTTGTAGAGAAACCACAATTGAAAATGATTAAAAAAATCATATATATTAATATATATTTTAAACTTAATTAGACGACACTTTTAAGGTTACACTATTTCAAAGTTTGCTACTATTCTAATGTTAAATGCAATGTAAATTCAATGGATTGTATTGGATAGAGGATCTCTGCGTCTAATTTCAACCTTGAGGTTTCCTTCCTTAAATAGTTGCTTGCTACCTATTACAAGGACATTACAGGTAAATCTTCCAAACTTATAATTTTCAAATTTTGTATTTTATCAAACGTAAATGGTTTACTCGTGTTCATTTTCCCATTTGTATGCAATGTACACTCGTTGCTCGTTTATAGCTAGCTATTTGTACATGTGTCCATAAATAAAAATTTTTCCATATACATTGTTTCCAAACGACATTTCTTGTATTTTAAATTATATATTTTTTTTCTACATTGGTGTTACCATCTGCAATTTTTTAAAATGGATTTTTTGATGTTTGCAATATCTCAAATTATATATACATTTTTTAGATTTGCATTTTTCCATAATTTATAGCTTTACCAATGGCTGTGTTCCCGTATGTGAATATATTTTTTTCTGATTTAATATTAAACTATTTTTTTTGGTCCAAAATTCAAATGTTGTCCAAATGTACAATTCTTGAAGTTCCTGTTTCTGAATGCTAGTTCCCAAATTTACACTTTTTCCAATGCATATTTTTCAAAAGGAAAATTGAAATGCCCAGATCAACTTTTGCAACATCCGGATGTTAAAATTCTGATTGTATAGGTCTGTACCCGGATTTTAAAATAATGACCTGTAAAGTTCTTGATCCGGATATATAAATGCTGATTGAAAAGTTCCGGATCGGATTTTAAAATACTGATTGTGAACTTCTGGATCCGGATGGTAAAATAATGACTTGTAAAGTTTTGGATTCCGATGTTTAAATACTGATTAGGAAGTTCTGAATCCTCAGGTTAAAAATGCTGATTGTAAACTTCTGCATCCGGATGATTGTGAACCTCTTGATCCTGATTTTAAAATAATGATCTGAAGTTCTGTATCCGGATGTTAAAATACTGATTCTGAACTTCTGGATTTGATTTTAAAATACTGATTTTGAACTTCTGGATCAGATTTTAAAATACTGATTCTGAACTTTTGGATCGGATTTTAAAATACTGATTCTGAACTTCTGGATCGGATTTTAAAATACTGATTCTGAACTTCTGGATCCTTATGTTAAAATACTGATTCTGAACTTTTGGATTGGATTTTAAAATACTAATTCTGAACTTCTTGATCCGGATGTTAAAATACTAATTCTTAACTTCTGGATCCGGATTTTAAAATACTTATCTGAACTTCTGGATCGGATTTTAAAATACTGATTCTGAACTTCTGGATCCGGATTTTAAAATACTGATTGTGAACTTCTGGATCCGGATTTTAAAATACTGATTGTGAACTTCTGGTTCGGATTTTAAAATACTGATTCTGAACCTCTGGATCCGGATGTTTAAATACTGATTCTGAACTTCTGGATCCGGATGTTAAAATACTGATTCTGAACTTCTGGTTCGGATTTTAAAATACTGATTCTGAACTTCTGGATCCGGATGTTTAAATACTGATTCTGAACTTCTGGTTCGGATTTTAAAATACTAATTCTGAACTTCTGGATCCGGATGTTTAAAAAATGACTGTAACTTCCGGATCCGTATGTCAAGATCTGTCAAGTTCTGAATCCGGATTTTAAAAGATAACTAAAAACTGTTTCAGACCGGAAATCCTCCCACCGGATCCACTCTTCACACACAGACCAAGTTTCAAGCAGACAGTAACATCAGCTCTTCAAATATATTAAACAGGTACACTATACACTTTGCATATTACTTTATTACTTACATTTACTTCACTTTGCCCTGTCAATCATAAAATGCGATATTCAGAGAAAAGAGTATTATTAATAAATTGTAAACTTTTATTTTGAATGTAATTTTGCTTTAGACAAGTATAAATGATGAATATATATTAAAAATAGCTGGTTTCTTGTTGCAGGTCAATGTTTAAACCAGTTTTTTAGAAAGAAATGTTATGGGTGTGATCCATACCATGTTTCGAACTTATACTGCAGTATTTGAAAGAAGAAAAAAATGAAAAACAAATTCCTTTAGATTTGAAAGTTTGCCAGTGTTCCATGGACTAGAACAGTTCAGAAAGAAGGTTGCAATCTCCACCAAGGAATGACTTCAAGTGTATTTATTACATGCTTTTTATCATTGATTTCTTTTCGCCTGGGTTGTTATACTTTTTTCGGTTTTCATTAGATAAGTGACCAAGGGGGAAAGCGCCGTAAATTGAAATTAGAACAAAACTAAACAATTTCTAACATTTCAAAAGTTGACAAAATTATTAAGAAACAGACGGATCAAAGTTGGTTGAAGATCTTAAAATAGTTTAAATGAGTTATTATTATGATAGATAAATAGTCTTGTTGTTTGTTTGACGCCAGGGTTCCGAATATTTGTATGAAGATTTGTATATGCGAAGTTGGGACTTAGCCAAGGGTCTGTTAGGTAAGTGTTATGCGAGCCAAGGGTCTATTAGGTAAGTGCTATGCGACTGTTCGGCGCCAAAAATGCATTTTACTAAATTACATCCAGGGATATGTAGTTTTCTCAATTCTAAAAGTTTTTTTTTTTAACTTAAAAAAGACGAAGAATTTAAGAAAAACTTGTTTCTCAATCTTTCCCTTACTCTTAGAAAGATTTATATTAATATTTTAATCATTTTATGTGGAAAAATTAGGAACTCAATTTCTCGTCATGAAACTTTTCTGACTAACGATATTTATAATGTTGCATAGTAATATTAAATCCCGTGCCTTAAATGCATGTCCTAGATTAGCTTGTCTACACCTTACAAACTGCAAATTTTGACAGTTTTTTATTTTGATTCTCTTCTGAAACCTTGTTTTGATCGGAGGTATACTTATCCTTCTGTTACAAATTGAAATTTGAAATTTTAATATTCGATTTTTGGAAGAGTCCCTNCCCCCCCCGCCCTCTCCACCTTTTTTAATCTGACTCATAGCCCAATTAATTATTAATTAGACTACAAACTGTTCATCCAGTTTTTATTAGGTATCTTGGGGGATGACTGGACTAACAATAAGATTTGTGTAATGAGTGACACCGGATTAAGCCACGTGATCATCACGTGGGCCTGCTGGATGACAGGGAACGTGGTTATTCCACTTCCGGTGAATGTCTCCAACGAGCGGCTTGAATTTCTTATTCGTGACAGTGGAGCTAAAATAGTTCTGACAAGCCAGCTCCAGGTACTTATTGACCTTGTTTTTTTTATTTTATCGTCAATCAGAGGTCTCTCTTTTTCAACATGTAGGAGAAATGTTAGGTGAAAAAAAAAACCGAAAAAACCCGATTTCTACACTTTTGATCGTTGAAATGCATTTCAAGATCTGTTCGTAATTCTCAAGGGTTTAATATATCTATATATATTATATATTAAGTAGTAATCTCTGTTTGTATGTCGGATTATAACTAATGAAGCCCTTGACCAATTTGCCATAAATTTTGATTGTGGAACTCGGGTTATTTTTACCAATATGCTCACTTTACATTTGTCGACGTTGAATACCATTCCCCATCTCTCTGCCCATTTATGGAGTTCGTTGAGTGATTCTTGCATATCTAAAATACATTGATCATCAAGGATTATTTTTGCAGTTTTTGTGTCGTCAGCAAACTTTTTAATCAGTGTTACTAGATTCTGTATTGGATCATCAAGATCATTTATATAAATAGTAAATCCAACCGGTCCCAAGATGCATCCTTGTGGTACTCCAGATTCAACTTCCATCCACAAAGAATATTTACCATTCAAGACTACTCTCTGTCTTCTGTCACTTAACCAAGATTCAATCCAGTTCAGAAGATTTCCATCAATACTATGTGCTCTGAATTTTGTTACAAGGCGTTTTTTAAGGACCTTGTCAAAGGCTTTTGCAAAGTCTATGTTTAATATTGGGAAAACATAGTTTCCAGGCAAAATTATGTGTACTTTGTTTAAAAATGTTTGATAATGATAGAACCCCTTTCTTAGGTTAATGTATCAAAAAGGGGAAAACTTGGTATTTTCCCTTTCTGAATCTTGGACTCCGTATTTTTGAAAATTTTCAAACCTATTAAAAACAAAAAAAAAACTTTATTATGTACTAATACTTTGGTTTTCAGAGAGTCTCCATAAACGGAGCTGTCTTGGGCGGATCGCCTAGTATAAGTCTTCTCCCTAGGGTGACACGGTTCGGTCAGCCCATGGATACGTTTCGGCGGCTAAGAGCACCGACCCCTATTTCATTGAATGATGGGTTGTCCTTTAATAATGATAATAATACTTTGACTGAGTATTCAGTACTTCAGGTATTAGGAATTAGATCCCGTACTCACATTTTCCAATTACAGGTTGATGCATTAAACACGATAACAAAATCAGTTGGATTGAAGCTGATAGCACTAGATGACAGCTGGTGGCAGAATCCTGAATCCATCGAATCATCAGACGCTAGATTACCAGACTACTTTGTAGACAGTTCAACTCTCAAGGTAAAGTCGGGGGTGTATGTTTTATTAAAACTAGCTGAAATGCCCGGAGTTGCCCGTGGAAATTTGTGAAGAAAGACTTTTTTAAAATATGATTATTTAATAAGAAAATTCGATTGACCTCTAAGGCTAGAAAGAAGGGCGCGAAGCGCCTTGAATTTCTAGTTTTATAAAAAGCTGTAAAATTTATGTTTTGGGACAATTTGAGACACAAGATTTGCAAATATATGCAGCAGATTTCTTTTTCTAATTTAGACTGGCACCTAGCCATTGTTGGTTTGAAACAGATTGTTTTTTTTACCTAACATAGACCATATTTGGCTGTTTTGTTTAATCACTTGGCACTTGTTTGTTAGTCTAATGGGAATGTTGTATAATATTTACTAAAAAGATGACACTTTTTAACTAGGCAAGTAATGCTATGATATTGTACACAGCTGGTCGAATAGGGAACCCTAGGGGTATTATTTTCTCTCATTCAAGCCTTTCCAGTCAGGTAAACTTCTCTGGGAATTTTGACTTTTTTACTTTTGATTATTTTGCAGGGTCTAATTCAACTACAACTTTCCCACACTTGAAACTAGGGTTTCCAATGCGCCATTGCACAATAATAGCGCAAAACCTGCTTTTTAGCTGGCAAACTTATCTGTAATAATTCAAAATTCGTCTTGTTGCATGTCACAACAAGAAATCGTATTGGTAGGACAATTAACTATTTTCCAGCGTCTCTGTTGTTATGTATATCAGAAGAATAAGACACATTTTGCGATAACACTGTGAATTTTCTCTAGTTTTCTGATATTTAACTTTAAAATATATTTGTTATTAGTATTGAAGACAATTTTCAATAAAATTTTATCAAATTTTCCTGAAATTAAATTAAACGTTATTGTGCAATGTGCATGGAGCCTTCAATCTTCTTTCAATCTTTTATAACTTTCCAGTCACAAGAATGCAGTATTGGGGCTCAAAGCGAAAAGGCCATTTCCAAATTTTTCAAAAATTGATTTAGTTCAAGAATTTTGTTTAGAGAAGTTTCTGAGTACGTTGGTGTAATGTTGCGCGTTAAAGTTATTATTTTTTAAAAGTAATTATAAATTGAACTCAAAATAAATCAATACAAGTTGCAATTGATACAATTTTTATAAAAAAAGAGATTTCAGAATACACTCACACACACCTCCTGACCCCTGAAATACCCCACTTTGGGGGGGGGGGGAGCATGTTGATCAGTCCAACCCGAGATCAATTCTAACCTGCGTTATCCCTGATAAATGTTTAGATTTACAGTTTAATGAACAGCTTGTATGCACCTCTTAGTTGCGGGGCAAAGATTGTTACTTTGGATTCATTTGATCCAGGAAGGGTAAGTTGTTTGTTCTTATAATGGCATTGTTAACCTAATGTAACAGGGTGAAGGGGGAAATGATTTTTTATTAATTGGGAAAAAAGGAAAAACTGGACAGTTTTTTTCATTCTTTTGATCCTTTTTTCCAAAATTTTTTTTACCTAATAAAATTTTTTTTTCACAAATTCAGCGAAAAAAAATGTTTAAAAATTTCTCCTTTTAGAGAAAAAAATGATATTTCAAAGAATGGAATTTAAAACTAATGAGAATTATGCAAAGAAACTTTAATGAGATGTCCTCATGGTGCAATTTTAAATTATGAATAAATAAAATATTCGAATTGTCAGGTTTGGTCCCACCTGCTGGGTATTAACAGCTGTAGACCGGTCAGTTTATTCCCTGGAACTCCTAGCATGTACCTGGAAGTAAGTTTTAATAAGATTTCTAAAATAATATCCCTTCAAATCTGATTTCAAAGATGGGTCTCATGTATCTCACTGTAATAATGGTTTCTACCCTAAGCTTGAAAAGTTGTTATTTTTTCTTAATTTTTTCTTTTTTTAAGGTCTATTTTAAGATTTTTACATGGTTTTTTTTTATAGTTATTGATGTGAAGAGAGTTGAAATTTATTTACATATTAACATGTTTACATGTTTACTCCATTATATATATGCTTTTTTATATATTCTATTTAGTTATTGAAGAAAGGAGATGAAATATGGAGAGATAAAAAAACAAAGGAATATGTTAAAACAACTTGTGTAAAGAAAGTCAGGTACTGTTGTCACGTGCCAGTCAGCTATATTTGATATCAATAGAAAGTTACTATTCTATTAATTCAATTGGACAGATTTTAAACGTTGCAAATTTATATGAACTGGGCTCTCTTCTATTTTAACTTTTAATCGTTGCTCTTTTATCTTTATTTTTTTTGTAAGTCAAATTTGTTCAATTATTGAGATTTTTTTTTTAAGCAAAATATTTATTTCATTTACCATATTTCTTGTAAATGGATTACAATTGTTATAATAAACTGGTTTTCATCATAATACAGTTTAACTTGTGTCATCATTTCAACGTTGCACGTTGTTACATATGGTAGATTTAAATTTCAGATATTTCATTTGTGCAGATTAATATGTGACTTCTTTAAGAAGTATAAACTCATAGATAATTATATGTTCGGGTTATGACACAGGGTATATATAGGTTTATTAAAGACATTTTAAAGGTTTTAAGAATTAGTGTTTCTAAAAAATCTAAGTTTAATGGCGAAAACCGGATTCAGATTGTGTTAAATACTGTATAATGTTTTCGGACTTTGACTGGATCTTTACTTCAATTTTTGAGATCTATAAACCTACCCTGGGTTATTGTGACGTTTTGACGATTATCTCGTTTACAAACAAAATAGACAGACAAGCAAACTATACTGATGTCGAAGACGATGCTTGGTCGCGTTAAACAAATCCCACAAGATTCAACAGAATTAGATAGAACGGATACGGGGCATAGTACTGATAAACATTTACACGTGTGATATCGATATTTACTCAAGTTCTGAACCCTCTAGTAATAAGTTATAAGAAATATGTATACTGTTTTATGCGTTTTCATTAGAGTTTGACTCACGTCCTCTATACTAATAGATAAAATGCTAAATTTATGGGAAATTGGGCGCTACAAAAACGACTAAAACAATAATAAAAGTATTGAACAATTATACAAGAAATTAATTCCAATAAAGGAATATGACTTCAATATTGTTGAAGAAATAATTAAAAATATTTTTTTTATAGAAGAACACATTCAGAAATTTATAAACAAATGTTTTCATTTGCATCAATAAAGATAGCTCTTCCCATACCTCGCTTCGGACTGTTTGGTTTGGCAACTTTTTTTTGCAGAATCTTTCCTACTTTCTGAAAGGTTTTACATCGGTATGTTTGAGGATATCTACTCGATATAAAGCAACATTTATTAATACTTATTTTGACTCAAACTCTTAACTAAATGAATATAGAAAAAATATGCCGGTTTAAGAAAGTTTTAGATAGATATTTGTAATCATCCAGAACAAAAAGTTTAATCAAAATTAAACTTTTTTTGGTTTATTGGACGTTTTCAAAAAACTGCAAAAAAAAATCATTTCTGACACCCCTAGGCTTAGTACGTCAATATAATTCACCAAAACCATACTGCAGTCCTTCAATTATCATACAGGGAAATTTTCATCTTTCTAAATATCCCAACGAATGATTTGACAGGTTCTTTAAATTAATTTGAATGTTTTCAGGTTGACAGCCTCCAGTTCTTCATCACTCTCAGAGGAGTTTAATTCTCAATGGAAATCTTTGACAGGTTCTTTGTGTTTTATTATTAGCTCCACTTTGATAGTGTCTAGCGTGGAGAGCCTACATCCTAGTGCTTACACAATTTTAGACATCAATATCAATATTTGGACACTTGCCGATGTCTATTAACGTATTTTGTTTGGGCAAACACTTAAAAAAATTATCTTTGTCTCAAAGAAATAATGATTGTTTGACAATTACGAAGAAAAAACTACTTTGGCGTCTTCCCCTTTTAACAAATCATTTGAGAACTAAATTTATTTATGTAAACTAATAATTTTAAATTTTTTAAAATTGGGTTTGATGTCTAAAATTGTGTTGAAATGATTAAAAACATAGGGGTAGGCTTTTCATGGAGGACAATGAGCATTTTACCAGAGTTAACCCCTGATTTCATAAATTTTAAGTATAAAGATTTATGTTTAATGTTCACAGGTCATTGCATATTTATAAATAAATAAATAAGGTTGGGGTTCCTGATTGCTACCTCTAGTTTAAGTTTATGCAAGCTTGAAAGTTTCTTTAAAAATTTTATACCGACGTCCAACATCCTTAACTCAGCAAAGGAATCTTATGCTATCAGAAAAAAACATTTAATTTTTTTTGTCAAAATCAGGTTTGTCAATTTTATCCCGAAAAAAGCCCCATCTAATCCAATAAGACATGCTAGCCAGTAATCAATTGGCTTAGCCCTATTTTTGCTAAACCTTGTATGTCAATAATTTTAAAATATATTAGGGCACAATATTCTTCACAACTACATATCTCCTGAGGCAGGAACAGTGTTATCCAATAGAATTGGAGGCTCTGTTAACATACCAGGTACAGTACATTACAGTACAGTAAAGTACAGTACAGTACGGTACGGTACGGTACGGTACGGTACGGTACGGTACACCCCCCCCCTGAAATAAGCTTCACAGCTCTAATATTCACATTTGAAAAGCCCTTTTGTATTTTCTAAAATGTTTGTTATTTCCAGTCCAATTTCGAGATCATACTAAGACAAGTTTTGATATTCTCCTAGGAGATGGGGCTAATGGTGTCACAGGTAAAATAGTAATTTATTCCCAATTTTACTCGAAATTATTGTGTAAGCGTTTTTTCAACAATGCCCGAATTACAACAGTACCCATTAAAGATTCTGTCGTCTTCTGAAAATTAATTTTAATAAATTCACCATTGCGTTTTAAAAGGAAAGTCATTTTTGCAGTTAGCTTGCAAATAAAAATAAACAGTTAAAAGAAATAAAAACTTGAATATCTAATTCATCATTGATCAGACAAAGCTTCCAAGAGTACTGTTGTAAATCGGGATGGAAATTGATCCGTAAGAAATGAAAATTCAATTTGCTGTCCCTATTTAGATGCAGGCCTTTAACAAATCTTACAGTTTTCATTGGTAGTTTTTAAAATAAATCATTAATCGCATACAACTTGTATTTAACAGTTATTTTACCTTCCGCTTTTGCGAATTACCACAACAAATGTTGGCATCATAAGTTCTGTCGTTCATGACATTTGTGGAGACGTGCTTACTGCTTATATATATATAGAAGTTAAAGCTTACTAATCATTAACACATGAAAATTCTTTAAATATGAAGGTAAAAGTAACAATAAAAGGTACAAAAAGCTTTAAAGAGAGTCTATTCTTCCGATATTTTTAATAAAATCCAATTGCCGGTTTTTATTGATTTTACTTTTGTTTCAGTCCATGAGGAGAATATACAGGAGGAAATGGGTCCAGGTATACTAGGAGAACTACTAGTCAAGGGAGACACTATTGCTAAAAGGTAAAAAAGTAAATATAAACCTTAAAACATTGACTTACAAGCGATTCAAGTTTAGTTGGAACAAAAATATGAAAAATACCCTAAAATATTAAGTTTTTTTTATTTATTGCTGATTTTTTTGCATGTATTTTTCATTTTTTCTTATTTTGTTTTTCATTTCATTGGTCTTAAGCAAAATAATAAATCGGGAAGAGGGGAGGGGGTATTATTAATTATTTATTATATTTATAAGTTTCTGGAATGATGGGGAGGAGAGGGATGTATTCAACTATGATGGTTGGATATTTATTGATTATATAAGGTTCTGGAATGATGGGGAGGAGAGGGATGTATTCACTGATTCAGCTATGATGGTTGGATATTTATTGATTATATAAGGTTCTGGAATGATGGGGAGGAGAGGGATGTATTCAGCTATGATGGTTGGATACCAACTGGGGATATCCTACTCTACGAAGCTGGATGCTATACTGTAAAAGGTAACTTATTCAGTTTAATGACTTAATAGTTGTACGGTACAAGGAAAATAGCAAGAATAAGAACAGTTTGATTATTGATGAAAATACCAGTTAATTGAGATCGAAACTTTAAAATGAGGTTGAGCTAATCCTTAATGGTTGGTCACGATATTGCATGATCTGTCAGCAATTATATTTTTGAAGAAAATCGAATTTGGGGGAATTCCCCAGATTCCTAAGCATTTTGGGATTTCTGGAAATTCCCCAGATTTCCCCATATTCCTAAAGCATTTTGAGGGCGATACATTTTTGATATTTTGGAACTCTCCCAAATTGGCCAATAGCAATTTTTTTATGGCCACAGATGGAAAATATCCAGATAGAGATGGATTTTTACTTTCTCAAGGGATGAAAAACTAAAAGTTCCGCTCGCATAAAATATTATTAAAATTATTAAAGGTATGGTTCTTATACCATTTTGTTTGTTTTGTTCAACTTCGTATTTATATTTTTTATTTATTTCAGGCAGATTAAATATAAAGACAATCGAACGAAATGGAGAGCTTGTAAATGCTTTAGAAATAAAGAAGAAACTATTAAGGTACTAAATGATATCTTAATTATAAAAACATTAACTGGCAGGTTTTCTCTTTTCTGAAACTTCAATCCAATATTTTTAAAATTCCCCCCCCCCCCCTTCAAATTTCTTATTTTTATTTAATTCACCAATAAAACTAGAAATTCAATCATTCGTTTTTCAGTAATCCTGATATTGACGATGTTACAGTTGTGGGTCTTGGGGACACAGATGTAAGTAGTAAAATATTAAAGGGACTGTAAGCGTAATTTTAAGTCGCCGTGGATGCAAAGATGATAAAAGCCGATTTACAACGGTTCGCTGGAAATCTTTTTCTGGTCAAGCATGAATTAGATATCAATGTTTTGTTGATTAAAGTTAAATTGTTTATTTTTATTTGCGGGTTTCTGCTAAAGTACTAATGCATTTCTTGCTTGTAAGAAGCAATGAAGAAATTTATAGACAATATCACTTTGAGTTAGAAAAACAAAAGTATCTTCCATATTTTTTTATCAGGTTAAGGTTTCAAGAGCTCCGCTGTAAATTGGACATTGTCATCTTTGAATGAAGCGTCACATGACATTTTGCTCACAGTCACTTTATGTCCGATATTTTGTGTTATGATGTGCATTGATGAACGGTTGGATTGGTTCTTTGACTTTTTATTCGCAATCGATAAAATCAATATTAAAGATTGATTGATTAATTTATTTTAAAACTGTTAGGCAGAGCAGAAGATTGCAGCTTTGCTAGTTCTCAATAAAAACAGGAAAATGGATTTGGAAAAAATTCTAGAATGGTGCAACAGTAATATGTCCAGGAATATGATTCCTTCAGGTTAGTATGTACAGTAAGGGTGATCAATATTGGAATTGAGCCAACCGTCCACCAGAGGTCGCAGGGTTTTCACTTAAGAAAACTATTGCAAATAAAATAAGAATTCAAAATCGTCCAGAAGGTTGCGATTTGACGATTTAATACCAGAGAATTCATCGTAACGCCACATGTTTTCATGTCACACATCATTTTCTTGGAAATTTAATGCCGAATTCAAATCAAAAGTGTTTTTAAAAAAATTGAAAATTGAGTGAGTTAGAGCTAAAAAACTTATCAAAAACATTAACAAGTTAAAAATCCTGAATTTAGTATCGTTATTTGGCCATAAATTCTGTAGATTTTAATATTTTTAAAGATGGGTTTCGAATCTGAATTCAGCATGACATTTCCAAGAAAATGATATGTATCATATTTATTTATTTTTAAATATTTTTTTTTGGCCTTACGGCGATTTCTCCAATAATAAATCATCAATTCGCAACCCTATGGACGATTTTTAATTTTGTTTTTGATTACAATATTTTTTATAAAGTAAAAACGCAGCTACCTCAAGTGGGCGGCTGGCTGATTTCTAAAAAAGTCACAAATCAATCACCCCTAATGTACAGTGTACACTCACTCCCATACATTAAATGAGTAAATTCTAGAATGGTGCAACAATAATATGTCCAGGAATATGATTCCTTCAGGTTAGTATGTACAGTGTACACTCGCTCCCATACATTAAATGAGTAATTAGAATGGTGCAACAATAATATGTCCAGGGACATGATTCCTTCAGGTTATGTGTACAGTGTACAGTGTACAATCACTCCCATACATTATATGAGAAAATTCTAGAATGGTGCAACAATAATATGTCCAGAAATATGATTCATTCTAGTTAGTGTGTACTGTCAAGAGTGTACACGACATTTCATGAAAATGGCTTTTAAAGGTTTTTTTTGCATAACATAATCAGAAGGCACATTATTTTGGTTCTAAATTTGGATAAAATTTAAAGGAAAAGAACAGTGGTGGGAAATTGCATATCCATTTTAGACTATCCATTGTTAAAGGAATAAAAAACAGTTTAGCTTAAAGAGCCTTTTAGGCACGGACTCAAAATAGATTATCAAGTACAGAAAGAGGCACTGAAGACTAACAATCAGTTCCGCTGTATTTTCATCACTTTTTACTGACATTTCAATTTTCAGTGTCGGACAAAATGTGTTTGGAACTAAGTATAATTTGACACCAATGGCGTCATTTTTTTAATTACTACCACGTGACCTATTGTACTTGATAATCTTTTGCATGGAAGTACTTTAACTGTTGACTCTTTAACTTTTCTTATTTTGATTGATCATTATTTACCTGTTTTGTTTTAGTGCTGAAAATTGTGGAGAACATCCCTAGAAATAGAACAGGTCATGTTGACAAGATGCCTCTTTTCAACCAGTTCCCTAACATTCCTGTTCTATGCTTTTTTGATTCAAAGCTGTAAATCATGTTTCATCATTCAAGAAGAAAGAAGAAAACATTGCCATGATTTAAATCTTCAAACGGTTCTACGATCACACCAACAGTTAACTTAAACTACTGTGCGAGTGAATGAAAAAAAGTAGTAGAGAAAATCGGAATTCTTATAAAATCAACTGAAAACAATTGTGAAACAGACTGGTTCAATCATAAAACAATTTAAATGGTTTCAATAGTGACTAAATATGTTCAAATGGGTCAAGAATAACCCACTTCCAAAGGATTTGAGGGTGGTTAAACAGATCCAAAGGCTCACATTTGCGTGAACTGATCCCGAAGTTACTATTTTCAAGTTTATGGGACAAGAACATATCAATGTCAAATGTTGGATTAATGACCTGAAATATCCAAAGGTTTTCATTTAAGGCCTTGATAAAGAACCCCCTGCTATTACTGATTAAAATTGTAATAAAATACGTCCTAACACATTCTTTCTATGGATTAGATTAGAAAGTAAATGTTTCTAATGATTGATTTTTTCAAAGATTTTCTTTTGATGATTTAAAACAAGAATGTCATATTGAAATTGGTGTTATTCAAAATGGGTAATTATATCAAAAGGTTAACATATTAATGGTTTTGTCCAATTTTGTTCAGATCAAGAAAATAAAATCACTGTCAAAATGTCAAAGCTTCTAATATTGAATGGATTGATAACAAACCTTCCTGAACCAATAATAATCAATTGTTAATGGTTCTAATAGTGATTAAACATGTGAAAAGGTTCCTGTTTGAGGCTTAAGGTTCAAGAAAACTTAATTTTTTTCCCGGTTGTGATTAAAGAGAATGAAAGATGTTTTTTTTGCTTCAAGATTATAACTTGCAATTCAATAAAATGACGTAGATAATGTTAGTTATGGTTTTTAAATCCAAACTTTCCATCGTTCTCATGTTGTTTTGACTTTCTCTTTCTCAAACACTATCTAAGTCACAATAAAGTGCTTATACTTTATAATGGTTGTATAAACGTAGATAACAGTACTATATATCTATTTTTTTAGAATTTTGACTAAAATTGTTTTACAAAATGGTAACCGTGGCTTTCTACAGCTTTTTTGTTAACCTTTTAATTTGAAGTTTCAATAACTGTTTTAACTGTTTGTGAACGATGCTATATACGGTTAATATTTATACCAATATCATATAAAACATCTGCAAATTATATAATTTAAACATCTGCAAAAGTGTAATTCTGATGTGTTAGATATTTTTTCTATGAAAATAAAAACTTTCATTTATAATTCTTTTTTAATAATAAAATGTGAAGTTAAAAACTGAAATATACTTTCATTTATATAGAATATTTACATAATAAAATACATTCATGCTTGTTTGCTTTAAATAGTTTATAGATCATGTTAAATCTGAAGAGCTGTTGTAACCCGTTGGATCGCAACATTTTTTTGCTTCCTAGATCTGGATCCTCAAAATTTTGCGCATCCACGGATTCGGATTCAAAGGGAAAAATATAAACCAAGAAATGAAGAAAAAATATGCCCTTAAAACCATAATTTTAACTGTTCATGAAAAAGAGATTATTTTTTCTTTTGTCTGAATGGTTCATCGAGTTTTAGCCAAAATGAGCAAAAAAAGATAATTCGATAGTTCAGTTTTATTCAAAATTTCAGTAAATTATAATGAAATCAATGCGGAAAGAGACTGTACGCGTAATTCAAGTGACCTTCCATTTAAAGAGAGGTATTCCTGATTCACAACGGTAACCTTTAAAGAGGGTTATTTCTGATTCACAACGGTACCCTTAAAAGAGTGGTATTTCTGATTCACAACGGTACCATTTAAAGAGAGGTATTTCTGATTCACAACGTTACCCTTCAAGGATAACGAACTTCTATAATTTATCTATAGAAACGCTTGTAATTGTTGAACACTTAGTTTGCAAACTGTTTTTTGTTTCAGGGATTTTTACTTAACCCTATTCCTGCTGGGGGGGGGGTCAATTTGCCCCCCCCCCCCCCCTGTAGTTATTTGTACATAACTCAAAAAGTATTGGTCTGAGGCTGTTGAAATTTTCTGACTTTTCTTACATACCCAAAGCCCTCCCTTTAGGCCTAAAACCGGGCTTTAATACTAACAGCCTGAGTCCTCAGGCACACTGCCTGAATGACTGCTTTTGCCTGTAATAAACTAAATCTTTGTTTTGACCCACTTTCACTCGTCAGATTTTGATAAAATTTAGCTTTTTGGAAAGCCTATGATACAAGGAAACGGATTGCACAAGTTTTGCGAAAAAAATTGCAATTTTTTTGCAAACAACCTGTCAAAGGAAATTTGCACATTTTTAGTTTTTCTTGATTAAAAATCAGGTTATTTAAAATTTTGCATAATTTTTTGCATATTTGGTATGGTCAAGGGCTTTTCAAAATGTATAATTTTTCATTTTTTGGACAAATTTTTTTTGCAAACATTTTTACTATGTAACTGGATTTTGCGATAAAAATTCAATTTTTGCAAATTTGCAAATTTTTTTGCAGATTCTAAAAGTAGAGCACAAGAGCTTTCTAATGATGTATCATTTGTCATATTTGGACATAAAACATGGGATTTAGAGGGGTTTTCAAGTACCCCAGCAGGGATAGGGTTAATAGAAGCGGCAGAATAGTAATATTCACATTCAAAGGAATTTAGTTTTCCCCACAAAGTACCTCTATCTTTGGAACCCAATGTCGTAGACCTTAGATATTTTAAACTATAAACTTTGTTAGATCATGTAATCTAAGTTTGAAATATCAAAGGTTTGCACCGCCAGGTTGTAAAGATGAAGGGAATGGAATATTTAAGTTTGTGGCAAAGACTCAAATCCTTTGTGAAAACCTCAGAGTATTCTAGATTTTCAGGAATAAATGTGGCGTCATCTGTATTGAGTTCACAATACGATAATGTAAACTCCAATTTTACGGGTCATTTGAATTTTTCCCCTAACTTAAGAGATTAATACACTAAGATCTCTGTCCTCGGTGATCGGTCAATGGTTCGAATCTAGGGACGTCACTCTTTAAATAGAAGGTCACTTTAAGCTATGCTTACAGTCCCTTTAAATAGAAGGTCACTTTAAGCTATGCTTACAGTCCCTTTGAATAGAAGGTCACTTTAAGCTATGCTTACAGTCCCTTTAAATAGAAACTCACTTTAAGCTATGCTTACAGTCCCTTTAAATAGAAGGTCACTTTAAGCTATGCTTACAGTCCCTTTGAATAGAAGGTCACTTTAGGTTATGTTTACAGTCCCTTTGAATAGAAGGTCACTTTAGGTTATGTTTACAGTNCTACATGTATCTATCTGTCTAAGTATATATCCTACATGTATCTATCTGTCTAAGTATATATCCTACATGTATCTATCTGTCTAAGTATATATCCTACATGTATCTATCTGTCTAAGTATCTATCCTACATGTATCTATCTGTCTAAGTATATATCCTACATGTGTTTATCTGTCTAAGTATCTATCCTACATGTATCTTTCTGTCTAAGTATATATCCTACATGTAACTATCTGTCTAAGTATACATCCTACATGTATCTATCTGTCAGTTTCTACTCTACATGTATTTATCTGTCTAAGTATATATCCTACATGTATATATCTGTCTAAGTATCTATCCATATGTATTTATCTGTCTAAGTATATATCCTACATGTAACTATCTGTCTAAGTATATATCCTACATGTATATATCTGTCTAAGTATATATCCTACATGTTCTATCTGTCTAAGTATCTACCAAACTACCTGCTCTCTGCCTTGACTGTCAGTGTATATATAAACCATGCAGACAGTAGAGCTAACTGCTAAGTTACAATGTTAAGCTTTAGAATTAACGTTATAGAAATGTTCTCCAATGCAAGTAAACAGTACACAGTCGACAATATAAAGTAGAATATAAAGTATAGTATATAGTATAAAGAACACATAAATATTTAAGGACATTAAATATTGTAAACAGTTTTGTACGTAGTACACAGTAGATAAAATTGAGTACCAATATCACAGTCCATATTATACAGTTCATTAGTACACAGTAAATCTGAAAATTTATCCACACACTTTTAAAACGCGATTTACAGCAAGTACACATGCAGAACATTATAAACTTCAGTACAGAGTACGTAGTATTACTGTATTAAGTACACAATAATATTGAGTACACAGTATATAATATATATTATATAGACAGTAGAAAGTATAAGAGTACACATATCATTTATGATATTCATGCAGAGTACAAGGATATCAGTACAAAGTTCACTCTAAATCTAAAAAGCTATTGATTTGATTAAAGTGATTTACAACCAAACCTTTAAATCTTGCATGCTACAATGGTAGGCAATTATATCAATACAATGAAGACGACTTTCGATTTCAATCTTTAATAAATTATTAAGAGCTGTTAGCCTGTTAAGCAGCATGGATTTACATTAATGTAAAAGTCAAGATAAGCTGGCAATTAATAAAGCTTCCCTTTGATTACTTGTAAACTTGTAATTTGAAAAAAACCTGTTAACAATTAAAACTCAAATAAAAAAGTCGTTTTCATTGTATTGATATAATCGCCTACCACTGTAAGAGAAACAAGCTTAATATTAAAGTTTTCCTACAACAAAATATCTTATTAAGAATTTTGATTTGATGAAATCAGTCTTAAAGTAATTTAAAAACTAAATTCGCCTAAATATTAAGTTGCCTTTAGAGATAATATTTTTTAATGATGGGTAAGAGTAGCTGTTAAGCCCCCCCCCCCTCATCTATGTCAGAGCGCTAAGTCCTTAAGACTATGTTCTAACTTTTAGTCAGTAGCCAATCCTATATCTTGCACATTTTTGTCCAAAAATTATCGGAATAATCAATAATTTTTTTTGACTCTCTAATACTAAATCCTACTTTTTTCTTCAAACAACTGAAATAATTCTTCCTCATCTCCGTTTATAGTTTAGTGGAGACTTCATTAAATATTTAAAGTTATGGATCGTTAAATTCACCCTGAATCTAGTGGAGTACATCATTCTAATTTGTAACAAATTTATTTTAATCTATAAAAAATTTAATTTCAATTTATAACAAATTTTATTTTTATCCATAACAAATTTAATTTTATTTATAAAATTTTTTTATTTAATTTATAACTNGGGATTCCAACACCCCCTTTAATATTTCATTTTGTTAAGAAAGGGGACTGTAATACATGTCAAAGTCAAACTTTTCAACGAAAATTTTATTTTTGTCTCTGCTAATTCTCTCTTTTGAATGTTTTGAATGAAATACTTTATCAAAACTTTCGGAAATCAATGGATGAGAAAAGGTTAAGCTTCACACAAGAAAAGAATAAGCTTAAATTAATCCGTCAGTTTTAAAGCTCTGTATGATGTTGTTATGACTCAACACTTCCTGATATAGAAATTTTACAATTATGGTTTTGTCAACCCACGCATATGTTTTATTCATTTATCTCTATCTCTATATCTTTCCATTTAACTCATGGCATCCTTAAAAAGTAGCACAGTCATTTTCTAATTAAATTCTGTAAAACTGAAGAGAAAATTAAGTATTTTGTCGAAATCGCGCAATGTTACGCCTAGATGGAAAAATACTTTGCGGATTTTTGACAGTTAACTTCCTGTATGTTGGTGGGGGATGAACCTGCCCACGTTACAGTCACCGGTAAACCAGTTCTTGATGAGTCACAGTGGGCAAAAGATAGATAGATATATATTTATAGTATACCCTTAATACTTCATTTCAAGCTTCACAGGTTTGCTTAAATTCATTGAGATTTTCCCTTTTTTTGTTCTTTTAATGGAGTAATACAAATGCTTATCTTAATTCAAAAATCTTTAAAAAATATTAATAAATTCAAATTTATAAATGTGTACTAATTGTTAACAAACTATCACATTACTGAATAAAATTGCTGGATTTTATATCATTTTGAAAGTATTTTTGTAGGGCTATTTTTGTCTAATATATGTAGATTGAGGAGCCCCCCAACCTTATACTATCAACTATACAATATACTATACAACAAATACGAATGGGTTTCTCCCTATTTTTTTTTGCGAAGCAGGTTAAAGCAAAATTTCGCGAAAAAAACGAATTTTTTTTTTTTTGAGCGAACGAAATGCGAAAAAATGCCAAAATTTACCCTCCTTTTGAAATCCTGATGGCAAGGGTATGGCATGCAAGGGTAGGATAGGCCGGATATGAAAATGCTTTATAAAACTTCTCCTCATTGACAAGAGTAAGGCAGGGGTAGGATAAGTTTGGTTTAAATGAGTATGCGCTATAATATTTCTCCTCTATGGTGGTAGGATAGGCCGGTTATAAATGAGTATGCTCTATAATATTTCTCCTCTATGGTGGTAGGATAGGCTGGGTATGAATGCGTATGCTCTATAATATTTCTCCTCTATGGATGGTAGGATAGGCCGGGTATGAATGAGTATGCTCTATAATATTTCTCCTCTATGGATGGTAGGATAGGCCGGGTATGAATGTACCGGGTTGTGTTCAAGGATACTGAATAATACGGTTTCTTGCTTCTTAGTACTCAACGCCACACCTGGAGAATCAAACCAGTTTCTTAACCTCACTCCTTTAACCAATATACATATATACTTGATTCTTAGTGATAGATTGTCATAAAGGATTCACAATCTTAACCGGAAACCAAACCACTGCGGAATAGGAAGACGACATCTGTTGTGCATTTAAAGCTGGTATGAAGCCAATAGTTTTAAAAGTTGCTTTTATATAGCGATAGCAATACCTGTTTTCATGTTGATTGAACTATTTTAAACTATTACTGTATAAAGTAAGTCTAAATGATTTCTTCCTTTTCCGTAGTATTATGGGTTCCCCAATATTTAATAAAAAAATTGCGTATATATCCTACAGTGAAAAGAGATCCAGACAGCTATCAAAAATGTTCATCAACATTTTGGATCGGGTCGACTTTGATGTGTCGTAGCGCCTTCACCCTTTAGTTTTACTTTTCTAACTCCCTTATGTTTTTTGGCCAGTTACCTTTCGTCGAAAACGAGTACTGAGTTGTTTGAGTAATACCGTTCATATTTTGGTTAATAGGGAATGGGACTTCGCTTCCACTAAACGATTGTTGATTGGTTTTTGTTATTATAATAGGACGAAACTAGATAAGGAAAATAATGTCATTTCTTTGAGAAATGCGGGAGAGATAATGTTATGAAAAGTCTTAAAAGAAATGATAAATTTCTAAATAGCAGACGGGTTCAGTTAAAAATTAAGGCTTCTGTAACATTTTCTCCGAATATCGTGACAATATTCTTATAATTATTCAAATATTCAAAATATTTTTAGCTTTGAAGAAATTTCTAATTAACGTTTTCAACAAATATTTCATGATTTTACTTATGTTTTGTAAACTTCGTGTTTTTAGTGCTTAAGTAATTGTCAAGCTAGTTGCTAAGGTAAAAATTTAGAAATATTTATTTCCGCTAAAATATACGAAAAATATCTTTTTTCATAAAATATAAACAAATAAATTTAATTCTCTGATAAAAGCTAGATAACAATGCATAATATTACCAAATACCAATACCAAATTTATTGTTGTAGTATTTATGGATCAAATATTTGGGACTTGGGTTCCCAATGTGTTTCAAAATTGCATACAGCATGGAATACTGCTATTAGAATTCTTTTTAATGTACCTAGAGATACGCATAGGTACTTGATTGAAAGTATTTCACAATGTTTACATGTAAAAACTATGTTAGCTAGCAGATCTGTGTCTTTCTATGAGACCATTGAAGCAAGTTCTAAGCTTTGCATTAGATATCTTTCTAATTTATGTAAAAATGACCTTAACTCAGTTCTTGGCAGAAATTTATTTTCTTTTGCAAATGAATGTTCAGTAAATATTTCTAATCTTAGTAAAATATTAGTTAAGAAGCAAATGAAATATTTTGATGTCCCATTGGACCATGCATGGAAAGTTTCGGTTTTACAAGAACTTTTAAATAAAAGAACGAATAATTTATTTGTTGAAGGATTCGATGATTACGTAATAACTGAAATGATAAATATGTTTTGTAATGAGTAAAGATCAATATCGCCTATTTGTGCATAATTTTGCAAATTTTTCTTTTTTTCTTTTGTAAAGCTATATATTCAAAAATGTATTTAAACAAATTTAAACTACACCATTTATATATGTATTTATATCTTTGTGTGTGAATAAATCTTTATAATAATAACCAAATATAGGTAAATTAAATTTAGTACAGTGGGAAAATAGTGCTATAAAGAATCTTGTATTTGCCATTTTTTTAGAAATATCTTTAAAGATTTTGTGATTTACATTGTTGCAACTAATTTTTTTTGTGAAAATGTTCAGAGCTGGATACCTATAGTCCCGTTGCTTAAAGGGACTGTAAAGGAAAATTGAAAGGGGGTATAGGCTAAAAACTAAGTTACTAAGAAGCTGATCAAAACCCTTGCGAGTTCTATCTGATGTTCCTGTCTCGAGAAATTGATATAAAACTGGTAACGGGATACAGACAGAGACACGTGACAATAATACTGCACTGCCATAGGTGAGAATTCTGGTCACGTGATACGGACGAATGAATAATTATATGTATACTAATTATCAATTTAATCTATTAAAAATGAAAAATTATTAAATTCAAATAATAGATTTCGCAAGGCTTTTGATCAACTCCATAAGATACTTAGGTTTCAGCCTATACCCCCTTTCATTTTCCTTTACAGTCCTTTTAATCTAAATATCCAACCTGGATTTTCTGCTTATTCCTGTCTTTTGGATATCCCTCATGGGTTCCCACTAACGATGAGTTATCTCAAGAATTGTGCACACAATTTACCCAGCTTCTGATTGGCTGTTTGATTTATGCAAACAACACTATGATTGGTTAAATTTTAGACACTTTTCTAGAAGAAAAAAAGGTTAAATAAATCAATCTATTATATCCACAATTCTAAAGTATTCAGCTCTAAGCACTATTTTAAAAAATAATTCATAAGCAAATTACAATACCTGTTACATCACTTCATAATTTAAAAAAAGAGAAGTCGGGTTTTTTCTAATTTTGATTTTATCATTATTTGTGTGATCTTAATTATACTTTCTATTGATTGTCAAGGTTTTGTTTGTTCTTTGGATTTTTTTTCGTACTCTAATATTTGCTTTTATAATCTTGTTGCGTACTTTAAATGTTTACAGTTCCAGCAGTAGTTTATCTTTTGACACATGTTGATACTTTTACACTTCAGTCTCAGTCTTATATTTGGTTAAATCAGACTTACAGCTAGACAGATAAACAAGTTCACAAGGCATTGCTTCTTCATATGTTGAGCCACGTGGATAAGATTTCAAGAATTTTAAAATATTTTTTATAACGGAATGGACATTCTATTGACGTCTTAGTACTTTTCATTGACCTGTTCATGTTCCGGGTTCTAGACATGAATAAAATTATTATTTGGTTCTGCAGATTTACGAATTTGTGATTAATGATGTGCTTTACATTAGTTCGTTTTTAAGGTCGTTTGTTGTTTACACTTTCTTTCAGGATCAAAATTGTTTTCTAAAATTCTTATGTTAAACATTTGACTTTAGTATGTCGAATCTGACCCTGACAGAAGATATAAGCTAAAAACGACCAAAAAACATTCTAAAAACGAACATGTTGTAATCTTTGTAGCCTTCGTTTTTGGATCTTTTTTAAATTTTTATTCTTTTAGGAGAAAGATAATGCAAAGTTTAATAAAAGCAAACTTTGACACGATACTGTTTTGAAACGTTGGAAGTTTTAGTGTGTATAATCCAGTTAAGCTTAAAAACAGGGTGATTTTGAACCTTTTATTGTACAACAATTGCACGCAGATATCTTTGAATATTTAGTTTATTCTAGTCAGGTTCAAGCTGAACAAAAGAATGTTTAGAACATTAAAATAACATAATTGAATTAATAGTTTGGAAATAAAAATACACACTTTAACTGCATAATCTCGGTGTTCTTTAGCTCATTCCATCTTCCAAAAACCCATCTTGGACTTCACTCCTCTCCTTGGACCATATCCTTAATTTGGGTTCTTCTTTGATTCATGGTTTCAAGTAGAGTTAGACTGACAATAAAGTGAGCGTACAGGTATATTGTGTACACTTGGAGGTGTGACAGGCTGGAACTGTACAGTGTACAAGTTCCGTTTCCTGTTTAGGGGTGGGGGGTGTCGAGTTCTGTAGATTTTTAAATTTATCTTTGATGGTGGCAGAGGAGACTTTNGGGGGGGGGGGGCGGGTGTGAATTTTGTAGATTTTAGAATTTCTTCAATGATGGCAGAGGAGACTTATCCTTTCATTCTGGTCTCCGTAGGTTTTACAAAACTATGGAGGAGGAAGACTAAAGTCTAGACTAAAGTTATTTTGAACGTTTCAATGAACATGAAACAAAACAAACCCCCATTTCACTTGAAAAGTTGATTTTCAAGCTAAAGTTAAAGTGAAACATTGAATGCACACAATATTGCTTAAATATTGTCTTCATTTTCTTCAATGTAATGGACCACACTGCGTGTTCAAAAGATCTTAAAAGGTTTCATAAATCAGTAGATTCATGCGGAGAAGAATAAATTGATTGCTGATTTTGAACAAGTAACTCATTTGTTGGGTTGATTGGTTGATTAATGGATGGATAGATCAATTGCTTCACTAATGTTTTGATTGAATGATTGAGTATGATTATTTTGATTGATTGAATATTGTAATGATGGAGTGATTAATTGATGGATTGGTTGATAGATTGATTGATATCCAGGATATGGATGAGTACCCGGACCCAGCTACTCAAATGTTGGTTGGACTCACCTCACCTGTCACATCTTTTGTCAGGTAGGAACATTATAATCACAAAAACATCTTAATTCTTTAAAAAATCCCCCTCCCCACCCGCCATTCTTCTTGAGATAATTCTACCGCTAAGTTTGCTCAAAGCTTAACTATGAACTTGAAATGATTTTTGTCTTAAAACTGAAATCACATGCATCATTTGTGAAATATTGCAGTACTTTAAATTCGTATTTTAGCCTCTCTGATCATGATCCGGATCTTTTGCTGATTTGGATCCGGATCCGCATCAAAAAGAAATGTATCCTGAGGATGGTAAAGATTAATTATATATTTTTTTAATTTAGAACCTTGTTGCGTCTCCTGGAGTCGGGAACAGCTAAACCTCACTTGAAGCATGTTACAGAACTCTTCAGCTTTCTTCTAGACTTTACAAAGCTAGGGGATCAAGAGGCAGAGTTCTTATTAACCATACAGGTAGATAACTCTTATAGACTTTACCAAGCTAGGAGATCAAGAGGCAGAGTTCTTACTGACTATACAAGTAAAGAGATCATCTAGACTTTACCAGTGTTAGGAGATCAAAGGGTGTTCTTACTGACTATACAGAGGTAGAGAACTATTCTAGACTTTATAAAGCTAGAAGATCAAGAGGCAGAGTTCTAACTGGCCATATAGGTCAAGAAGTCTTCTAGACGTTATCAAGCTAGATGATCAAGAGTTCTAAGTGACTATCCAAAAAGAAAACTCTTCAATGAACATTAAGACGCATAAATCTACCATAATATCTGTCACAAATAACACCTTAGTGATAGTCCATGAAATCGGTCATAAAGTGAAGTTTTACAACTGCTCAAAATCTCTAGATCTTGTTAAAGATTTTCATATCGTAAAGACTAGGCACTACCTTTTATACGTTAAAATGTCGTTTTTTGCTAAAAAACGTTAAATAAGTTTTTCATCATATTCCTCACCAAAAACTTGTTTTGAAAAAAAATTTGTTGTTTGAAATGCATAAACTTTAATATCTATTCAATATGCTCTATCTTATAAACAGTTTGGCTTGAAATTTTTTTGCCTGTTTTAACATTGTACATTTCTTAGACCATGCTTCCCTTCATTCTAGTTATAGAAAATTATGCTTATCTCAATCTTTTATATATTCATCTAGTAAATTTATTTTTTGTTCAAATGTGTAGAAACACACCTACTACAATTATTCTGAGAAGTACAAATTGCTCTAGTTTAATAACAGGTGTTTTTCAGTTTTCTTTTAGCTTCATAGTGATAAACAGGGGTTTAAGGGACTGTAGTTTTAGTTTCAAGACATTCTATTTGTAGAATGGCATGTCTGATTGACAAGGATACTTTGTTCTAAAAAGGTTAAAGAAGACATTCTTATTTGTTGAGCTGTTTGAGTCGGAGCTGTTGAGGTTGCAGTGTAAACTTCGTGCTAGTGTACAATCTTGGTTTCGAGACAATTCAGTTTTTGAGTGAAAAAATAAAGAATATCCTTGGATCAGACAGTTGGTTTAATGGGCTCCATTGTAAGTCAAAGAATCACTTTGGACGGATTACTGAATAACGCCTTGAAACTACAGTTATGATTGACTTAAGACCTGAAAATGCAATTGTTTTCTACCATTTCTGGTGATATATCTTCTATTATTAATAATAATAATAATGATATTAATAATCTTATATAAGCCTACAAAAGGGGCCTGAACTGACAAAACTAAAATGACAAGCCAAAAAACCTGAAATTGCTCTAAGTGCTAAACTATGGAATTTTGTATTTCTAATATTTGGCCATTCTGAACATTTTTCTACTCATCTTGTACTCTTGGACATAGTGAATTTAGAACACACCATTGTTTTCAAATGTATTTTGGCATATCTAATTAGTCACCCACATGAAGGTTATATTCAGTACTTGAAACTTTTTCAATAACATATTCTGAAGGTTATATTCAGTACTTGAAACTTTTTCAATAACATGTTCTGAAGGTTATATTCAGTACTTGAAACTTTTTGAATAACATGTTCTGAAGGTTATATTCAGTACTTGAAACTTTTTCAATAGCATGTTCCGAAGGTTATATTCCGTAATTGAAACTTTTTGAATAACATGTTCTGAAGGTTATATTACGTAATTGAAACTTTCTGAATAACATGTTCTGAAGGTTAAATTCCGTACTTGAAACTTTTTGAATAACATGTTCAGAAGGTTATATTCCGTACTTAAAACTTTTTGAATAACATGTTCTGAAGGTTATATTCCGTACTTGAAACTTTTTGAATAACATTTTCTGAAGGTTATATTACGTACTTGAAACTTTTTGAATAACATTTTCTGAGGGTTATATTCCGTACTTGAAACTTTTTGAATAACATGTTCAGAAGGTTATATAATAACATGTTCTGAAGATTATATTCCGTCCTCCTTATTAACTTATGTATTTCATAATTTTTTGTTAGCTAGACAAATTTAGCTCCAGATGTGTAATGTAAGTGAACAACTGCGAACCATGAAATAAGCTGATTTCTCCTCGAGAAGGAGATTAACTTATTCCTTATTTATAAGATTTTTTGATTTTCCCAAACAGTGAAGAATTATTTTTTCTGCAAAAATTCAAGCTCTGCTAAAATGTTAACATTTTTTCATCTCAAAATTTTTTAGGCCATAACCAGCTGTGTAGAGTTCTACCTCAAAACTATCGGAGGAAACCAAATTCATAAAAATGCATTATTTCATATTTTTTCGCTTTCTAATATTAACAATTTTAACTGGTTTTAATTATTTTTTTTTGTTTACTATGACCTGGTTTGAACTGGTTCAGTTTACTTTGACCTGATTTGAACTTATTTCGTTTACTTTTACCTGGTTTGAACTGGTTCAGTTTACTTTGACCTGGTTTGAACTTATTTGGTTTACTTTTACCTGGTTTGAACTTATTTGGTTTACTTTGACCTGGTTTGAACTTATTTGGTTTACTTTGACCTGGTTTGAACTTCTTTGGTTTACTTTGACTTCCAGTTTTAACCGGTTTGAGTTTACTTTGAGCTGGTTTGATTTGGTTGGGTTTGGTTCAGGCTTGGATCCTGAAGTTGATATATCAGATGATGAAGAGGAGGAAGAAGATATCATTACTCTGCCGTTAGGTAACGAAGTAATTGAATAAATTGTTGGACATCTTAATAATTATACCATATATCTTTTTTTAATGTTTTATTTGGTGATTACTCCTTACTACTCCCCCTGATAATGGAGTAGATATGAACTAACTCCCTTTGATTATAGTAGGAGTAGATGTGAACTAATTCCCCCGGATTATAGTAGGAGTAGATATGAACTTACCCCTTTTGACTATAGTAGGAGTAGATATAAACTTGCTTCCCCTGATTATAGTAGGAGTATATATGAACTAATTATGAACTAACTCCCCCAGATTGTAGTAAGAGTAGATATGAACTTACTCCCCGTGATTGTAGTAGGAGTAGATATGAACGCTAGTAGAACAGCCTCCTTGGACAAAATGATCACCTTGATTGCTGTACTTGTGGAGAAATCCAGGGGACCAGACAACCTCATCCATCTTCATCCGGTAAATATTGGAAAATATTCATCTGGCTTAGATATTGGAATATATTTATCCAGCTTAAATATTGGAATATATTTATCTGGCTTTGATATTGGAATATATTTATCTGGCTTAAAAATTGGAATATATTTATCTGGCTTAAATATTGGATTAAATTCATCCGGCTTTTATATTGAAATACATTCATCCAGCCTAAATATTGGAATAAATTTATCTGGCTTAAATATTGGAACATATTTATCTGGCTGAAATATTGGAAAAAATTTATCCGGCTTATATATTTTAAATACATTATTTGGCTTAAATATTGGAATAAATTCATCCGGCTTAAATATTGGAATAAATTCATGGGCTTAAATATTGGAATAAATTCATCTGGCTTAGATTTTGGAATATATTAATCCAGCTTAAATATTGGAATATATTTATCTGGCTTATATATTATAATTGATTCATTTGCATCCAGAAGTTTTTAATATATTCAGATTTATTTGGTAATTATTTGAATATATTCGTCGTCATCTAGTAATTGTGTGAATATATTCATCACCATCTGGGGAATAATGAAATATTTTATCTTTATCCGATGAACATTGGAATTTATTCATTTGTATTGTATACACTATACAGATATCATTTTAGACAACGTTGAACTCTTTGACCTGTGGCAAGTTCCCAATATTTCTCTACAATATCACCAAGGAGAATATAAACATACGACAGACCTGCAACCTTATATTCTCCTTGACCAGGTATAATAGATGCAAACCTTTAAGAAAAACATGAGATGTTCAATGTACAGTGCAGCAAGGATTTGAAACCCCATTCGAAAACTTTGAAGCTGTTGGCAAATACTCATCAAATCAATTCATGGATTGAAGAGTTTGCTTTGAGCTCCAACATCAAAAGTCCAAAATGAAGTTTGAATTTTCATCCCAGTCCTATTTTTTTAATATGAAATATAAATCTATCAAATTAGATTAGAACATGCGGTTCTGAGCCATGCATTATGGCTAGAACATGCCTAAAAACAAGACTGTTGTCCATTTACAAAGATGACATTGTCATTACATAAAACACCTTTTGAGAGAAGTACTATACATCTTGACAACCTAGTATCTTGAAATTAATAATGTTCATCTATCTTTAGACATAATCCCTCACTGGCTGAAAGTGTGGCAGAGATGGTATTTCTTGGTGTAAAGAACCAGGAGCACTCCATTCACTTCTTCAAGTAAGTGATCTTATATCAAATGAAATATGTGCTCCAGACCATTAAAAGTTGTGATAAAAATTTAGCATTTAATGATGTAAGGTTTAACATTCAGAGAATAGGTTTAAACCATTAAAGTTGAATGTTTAGCATTTAGTGTAAATCGTTTAGCATTTAAAATTTAGCGTTTAGTGTTTAGCGTTTAGTGCTCAGCAGTTAGCGGTTAGCGTTTAGCATTTAGCAGTTTGCAGTTAGCGTTTAGTGTGTAATGGTTAGCGGTTAGCGGTTAGCGTTTAGCTTTAAGTGTGTACAGTTTAGTGTCTAGCATTTAGCTCTTGCGTAATGCACTTAGCATTAGATGCAAATCTGTTAGTAACCCTCTTTGTGTTTTGTCTTTAGGCAAGCATAATTATCAACAAAGCTATAAGGTGTTTGTTCTGGAACTTTTAAATTAAACTTGAAGTGAATTTCAATTTTGATTTGATATGGTTTTAAGACAAAATAAAACACCATATTTAATTTGATTATAGTTATCCAATATTTAGTTGGTTCAACATATTTAGTCTAATTTTTTCTGTAAATAAATTAAATGAATTCAGAATATATAAATATTAAGATTATTGACCATGCTGACCGAACTGTCAAGAGGACCTACTGGATTATACTGAGAATATACAAATATTAAGATTATTGACTGTGCTTACCAAACTGTCAGGGGGACCTACTGGATTATACTGAGAATATATAGATATTAAGATTATTGACCGTGCTGACCGAACTGTCAGGAGGACCTACTGGCTTATACTGAGAATATATAAATATTAAGATTATTGGCTGTGCTGGCCGAACTGTCAGGAGGACCTGCTGGATTATACTGAGAATATATAAATATTAAGATTATTGACCGTGCTGACCAAACTGTCAGGAGGACCCTGAGAATATATAAATATTAAGATTATTGACTGCTGATCGAACTGTCAGGAGGAAGTGCTGGATTATACTGAGAATATATAAATATTAAGATTATTGACCTTGCTGACCAAACTGTCAGGAGGACCCTGAGAATATATAAATATTAAGATTATTGACCTTGCTGACAGAACTGTCAGGAGGACCTGCTGGTCTACCCTGTTACACAACCCTCATCATGTGCAGGGTGTGGGATCTAGCTAAGGTAATATACTTCTCATCATTCAATCCACCCATTTAAAGTTTGAGAATAAGTTGCTGGCGTTTTCGCTCCTCCCCTGCTTCCTAATCATACACTTTAACAGATAAAGCTTGTTAATAAGCACCATTTATCCTGAGGGAACCTTTGACAAGAACCAGCTACTAGATGGTTTAATTAGTTAAAGATCATAGTTTCTATATTTCATAATTCAATAATGATACTTCAGATTGGCAGTGTTAACAGAAGACACATTTTTTGATCATGTTTCAAAATAATCATTAACTATTGTAGTTCATTAATTGATAATATTTTATTTTATCTAGGCTTGTCCCCAAGCTGCTCTGGACTGGCTATCTATTCAAGTCACAAGAAATAAACATGCTCAAACCTGGCTTCTCAGCTCAATGGGTAAAAGTTTATCTTATTTTATCTCAGCTGGGAACTTTAGGATGGTGGATATCTTGATCAATGCTTGACCCTCCCTTTTTCTTAATCTCTAGACTAACCAAGTCTTGTACTTGTATCCTGAAAAGTGCATAAAATTCAACCAATCAGAGTCGCGTTTCAGAAGCCGGGAAATTTGAAATTTTGCGCGCCATTAAAGATTACTACACAGAAACGGGGGGGTCTCTCTAATTTTGAAAAACCGGTTTTTGATTTTTCTGTTATATATTCAAAAACGAGTGGATTAAGCAAGAAATTAAAAGTGTCCACATTTGATATTCTGATTAAGAAGTTGGGATTACAGGTATCCCATTCGAAAATTCCCAGCTCAGATAAAACAATTCTTTTGCTCCCACTTTTGCCCCAATTATTTGTATTAGTATAAACGCACTTGAATTCTTGGAACCAACTGTAAACATGTAAAATCTATGACTAGTAAAAATATAAATTTTGTGTGAATATGTGTACCATTTATATGTGATTACCAGATATATTAAAACTCATTTTTATTGTCTAAATATGGAAAATATCTTTGAATCAATGTCTATTTTTAAAGAGTGGGCTTATTAGACCACCATCAAAGGGCACAATTGACTGTCTAGATAGTTTTGTCCGGCATTCACAAGTATCACATTTTTCAGGGGACTGGGTGCAACAGTATTTGATTGGACACTGTCATGGAAAAGTGAGAAACTCAGCAGCATTCCTTCTTGTTTCTCTAGTTCCCAGCCTTCATTTCAGACAGACCTTTCGGTAGGTTTTATTTTTTATTTATTCATTGAATCTATGGCATGTTTGTTGGCTGACTTGTCCTGTTTTGTATTTTACTGACCAATGATACCTTAACAGTGGGATGTTAAATTACTTAAATCTCCCTTGGGACAATTACGTAGAAAATCATTGCTTTGCGCTTTGCAAAGGTTTTGGAGTGAAAATCGTTCATTTTCATCAGAAGGATAATGACATTTTTCTGCTCTGGATGTTTTGTAAGCAAAATTGGTCTTGGAAACCCTTGGTAAAGTAAAATTTTCTTTTAAATTAGTTAAAAGTGATTATTACGAACTTCACTGATTTGATAAACGATTTGTATATTTAATGATGTTTAGGACTCCCCGGGGTACTGGCTTACAGATCCGTGAGTCCGTGGAGAGTAATGATGGTATCCATATAGTCCATCGTCTCTTGGACTTCCTCCTATCCTTGTTGAAAACCTGCAAACATTATATTGATATTAATATCCATGGCAGCAACAAATTAGTCTCATACTTCCAGGTGGGTGTACATTTTGTTATGTTTTCATATATTAAACAACAACAAAACGCATTGTTGAGTTTATTGTCATACTTTCTTTTGGACCAATAACAATTAATCATACACAGATGGATTGGGTAGCCAATCAGGATAAAAAGAAAACGCACAGTTTTACTGCAATCTGTACTGCTACTAATGTAGGAGGCCAGTTCGGTCAAGTTCTTGATTTTGGTCTCCAAAAATGGGGAAGGTTTTTTTTGTTTTCTAGAATTCACTGACTGATGTTAAGATCTAATTATGCATGTTTGAAAATCACCCCGAAATAACCTGGTTCCTTTAGAGGGTTAGTTCACTTGAGAACATATTGTTTTCATGTGTTTTTTTATTTCCATGGCATCTGTGCTGATGATTATAAATGTTTCTAGGTGATGAACCATTTACTCTTGGGAAAACCAGAAAAGCTGCTTCTTGGGAAATACTTTCAGGTAATATAGTTATTTGTTATTACTTACGCACAGAGGTATGGGAATTTATTTTTAGGAAGGATTTCTTTCTGAAATAATAATTATTTATTTATTGATACTTTAACTTATCATAGAATTATTGTTTTCAGGATCTATGGTGTCTATTCCACCCAAAGCTGTCTGAACCCAGTATTCCTGTACACCCTAATAAGCAAGCTCTTCTACAGTTCTGGTATTCTTCTCTAGTAGACTGTAGGGAGAATATACAGCTAGTACTCTCCAACCCACAGGTAGATTTCTAATAAGCAAGTTCATCTACAGTTCTTGTATTCTTCTCTAGTAGACTGTAGGGAGAATATACAGCTAGTACTTTCCAACCCACAGGTAGATTTTTAATAAGCAAGTTCATCTACAGTTCTGGTATTCTTCTCTAGTAGACTGTAGGGAGAATATACAGCTAGTACTCTCCAAACCACAGGTAGATTCAGCACCAGGATTGCGACCTTATGGAATAAACTTCCAAACAAAATGAGATATCTCTCCGAAGAGTAAATGGGCTGGGGTGAAAGCTTGGGAATTATGCAAGCCCAGGCCCATGGTAGCCTGACCTGGGCATGTAGTTACTAGGCTACGATGTTTACATTCCTCCTGCACCTCTAAGGCTCACATCTGATTACAACAGGGGTTCATGAAAGGTTCTAAGACCTACCAGCAAGTGATAACATTTAAGTCCCAATATTAAACCTTTTAAATGTTATTTTTTTTTGTAATAAATGCATTTCAGTTTTTCAGTTGGACTAGGTGATCCTTATTTCAGATTGACATTACTCCCAATTTAGACTTTAGGAGATGTCATGTAATCAATAAATCAATTGTGATTAAAATCGGTTGGGAAAATTTCATACTAAAGAATTTATATTGTAACAGAAGGCCAGACTGAAACACCAGGAATGGGGAAGACTTGAAACTCCAATCCACTACTGGAGTCTTAGGCCATCCCTGCAACTTATGATTTGATTTGATTTGATTTATAATGTTGGAGTTAAAATTAAACTATTTAAAGCCTAATCAATCTAGAAAACCTAAGGGGCCCAGTTCAATCCCATCAGAATCGAAGATGGAACTTCTTCTTTATCTTTATTTTTTTCAAAAGTCTAATTTTTTCTTAAGTTTATTCTAAATTTCCGCGAGCAACGCTGGGCACTTCAGCTACTCTTTTAATATTAAGGTTGTGAGGAACCTAGCATTCAACTATATCCTGGCAGATCATGAAGATGCTGAAGTTGTAGCATTCAACAGAACAATGCTTCCTATTTACTATGGTATTCTCAGGTAGTGTTTCAGTGATAACCAGAAACTTTTAGGAAGTCAACTTTTAGACACAAGTTATGACTATTAATAGTCCAGTGAACATGTGGAACAGCAATTGTGCAGTCTAAACAGATGCATTTTACTTAAAGTAATTGTATGATTTACTAGTAAAGCTATTTGCTTTGAAATTCAATTTAATATTGCTTTAATGTCGTCTTCCTATTGTACAGTTTTCTGACTATTACTGCATTATTTTGATTAAAAACATCTGTTATTTATTCCAGATGTATTTTAATCTGCATATTCTCGGCATATGTAACACAATTATTGTCTCAATCTCAGACATATGCTGTCAGAGTAAGAGACCTCAGTAAGCTTCTCCATCTCCTGCGTACTGAAGCAAAACCATATCTCATCCTTGATTTTGTAAATTCTCTTAGGGTTTAAGACAGGCATTAGGCAGAAGGGTGACCCATAAACTCTGATTTGATTTAAAACAACAGCTTTGCTCTAATGTTAAAATCAACTTTTAGAAGTATTGTTACTTCTTGTACCTCTCATAGAAAAGGAGACCGGGCTGGATCAGGATTAATCTTACCTGTAGGCGGTCTGGGTTGCTTTAAATGGGTTGACACAAAACCTCACTAGATGGTCAACAGATGTTATTCTAAACTCTAATCTTTAATTGTTTAGGATGTGTTGTGCTGAGAACCGTAGTTTCTGTCGAAGTTTGGCTCAGCATCAGAATATACAATGGGCGTTCAAGAATATATCTCCATATAGTACTCAGTACACAGCAGCAGGTGCCGTACACATATATATATATTTAGCAATTTATACTCAATAAATTCCAATTGATCAATAGACGTTTTAAAGGCCATACATTATGATATTATAAACTGGAAATACAGCGCGACCAATCTTTTCTCAAAACTGAGTTGAATGCGTTTTTGAGAAAAATGTCAACACCACTTCTAGTTCCCTGCAAAATATATCCAGATCCAAAGATCAGCCAAATCCTAACAGAAAAAATGGTTGCTCGCATGCATAATACAAATCTCGACTGAATGGTTCATCTAGTTTCATAATAATAATAAGCTAAAAAAATATTAAAAAAATTTAATTACTTCAAAAAAAAAATTCTTGAAGGAATTATTATACCCTGGATCCATTTGTTTAGGGTGGATCCGGGATCCAAGCACTAGGGTGGATCCGGGATCCAAGCACTAGGGTGGATCCGGGATCCAAGCACTAGGGTGGATCCGGGATCCAAGCACTGATTCCTTTAAAGCAAAAGTAGATATAGTCAGATATTGAAATTGTGTTCTTCTAGTTGATGAGTTAATGAAGCTAGTAGAAGAGTTTGTGAAAAGGTTTCCAGATTCTACTGAACAAGAAATTAGGGAGATCAGACTCTTTAAAACTCAGGTGTGTAACTAAATATAAATTGTATTTTGTACATGTCCAGGGGCCGAAACTTTTGCATGGGATAGCGCTTATCGTTAGCTACTGAACTTGATGTCCCCGGCTCAAACTTAAGATTTAAATCGATGAATCAGGGAAAGCTGTCCTCCCTGGCACCAATGAGACATCCAACATATTAGTTTTACCAGTTGAGTTGGAAAGAAGTCAAAGAGAACAGAATATATAATAGAGTGGAATTTACTAGAAAAAAGTGTAAAAGGCCATTTTGTTGTACTGTTTCAATACTGCAGGTGTACTTCACATATTTGTGATATATAACCTTATTTATAGAAAATCTAAAATTAATGTTAAAAGAAAACAAAATTATGAAATATGCTGGTTTCATAATTGACCAATGATCATTTCACATAGACTCTATGTCTTTCACTTTACAAACAATGATTTTCCGTTATAACTATAAATCAAATTATTTATGAACATTTACATGATTTGTACACTTTGAACTCCATTTCAGGCTGAAAGGGACTGACAAAATTCATACCGTGGGATTGTCTAAATTCCACTCTAATATATATATTCTATTCTCTTTCAAAAAACTGTTTTATTAAGGTTGAAACTAGGCACCAAGGACTAATGTAAGCCAGATAAAAGTTCGTCAAATCAAGATGGATTGATTGATTGATTGTTTGATTGACAAATCAAGATGGGTTTCAAAGTATCCGTCTTGAAGCACCGAGTTCAGAAACATTAAATTTGTAAAATCCAAAATCCATTGAAAATTGAGCTTTAAAGCAAAAAAACAGTTTTTGGAATATCAAAAAACACATAAATGGACGGTATTCACTACTCAGAGGTTCAAGATACCCATATCAGCATGGAATCGAAAATCTACCTTCCCTTATGATCTGTTTTTTTTAAATGGTTGAATTAAGGAATAATGAGTTTTGATTTTTAAAAGTTTTTTTCTCATACAAATGTTGTGTCTAATTTACTGTTGTATAATTTTTTGTTTGTGGAAAAAGGATTTGACACTTACGATGAAATAGTTTCACCCTTAGCTTGAGCACTAAAATCACTGGTTTAAGATACAAAAGTTTGGCTCTCTGGATAAATCCATACCAAAAAAAAAACAATTGCTTAGCTAAGTCGTTAAATCTATTCGTAATGTAAATGGTCGTTAGAGGGAAAAATTACATCTTGGAATTCGATGTTAGGGTTGGATAAACGATGTAATTGTAATATGCAGTTTCTTTTGAGGGTCTGAATATAGAAAGCTTTACATATTGGATGATTAATTAAATGATCCTGAAACTGAATGGATATTTGAGATGGTCGGCACCAGGCCAGTCTCGGGTTGCAAAAATGTTCGGATTTTCAAAGAATACGATTTGTTGCCAGTCTCGGGGTGCAAAAATCTTGAGAAAATGTTCGGATAGGTAGGCTCTCTGCTGTTCCTAAAATGTGCTTGCCAGCCGGATGGCTTCACGTTCGAGGGTGCTAGAGCGTCCTAAAATTAAATTGATGGATCAATTGGAAATTTTAGTTCAATGTTTTCTTGTTGTAAATTAATGATTGAAAGATTAGATGTTAACATTTCTTTAAAGTCTAAGTAATTGATCAAGAGTCATTGAAGTTTGAATGATTTTTGAGTTGTTTTTATTAACTAATTTATTAATGAATTAATTGATGGATTTTTTCTTATTATTTTTTTCCAACCCTAAATTTTAATTTTTAAAGATTCTTTTTTATGATTATTTCTGATTAAACTGCAAAATATATTCTTAATATTTAGACTTTGCAACTTTACCTGGGTATTCTGGATGGGAGGTCGTCTTCCGTCACCTTGATCTCTGCTCTTAGGAACACATCAACACTAAACATACAGTCAGAACCATAAAACTTTGGAATAGGAAGATGACTGTTGAGACTCATGTTATGATTGTGAATAGTAAAACATAGCAATTGTACAATGTACAGTGTACAATGTAGAGTGTACAATGTACAGTGTACAATTTACAGTGTACAATGTACAGTGTACAATGTACAATGTGCAGTGTACAGTGTAGAATGTACATAAACCCATTTTAGTTGATAAGTTGAGTTTGAAGCTACTGGAAATTTATTTTCTTTAAAAATTCAAATATACAAAAGATTGTTTAAGTATTTTCTTCCTATTCCCACGGTATCATGTTTGGTATAAAGTTTTCCATTTTTTACATCAAAATTCTATTATTTTATTCTATTCAAGATTCTGAGATTTAAGTTTTATTCTCCAAGAAGGTTTTCTTTTACATCAATAGAATGAAAAGATGAATGAGATCTCCTTATCTTTCGAGCAGAAAATTGAGAATTAAATTAATTGAACATATTTATTTTTCGACAAATAGTTTTAAATTACTTTACATTGTATTGAATGTGTAAAATGTATAGGATTCTGCTTGAAACTGCAGAAGATAGAGTTTTTGCAGTTTGTCATAATGCACTTTCTCTCATCTTTGATGCATTCAATATTCTGCATCTTATGCATCACGAAGCAACAGCTTGTCACGTAACTCAGGTAACCTGTAGATCACCTTCATGATTTGTCTCATCTTTGATGCATTCAATATTCCGCATCTTATGCATCATGAAGCCATAGCTAGCCATCTAACTAATAGCTTTATAGGGAGGTACTGACTCCATTCGTGGTTTTAGGGTTGATATTAAAAATAAATAAATGGTCTTTAATTAAAGCGCCAAATAAAGCATTTCATATGTAAATTTTGTTTATATCCCAGGAGATCCGTGAACTGTTGAACATATTCTTGGATTTGATTAGAACAGTGCGCAGCTCAAGTAAAAGCCCTGAGCTTCATGCAGTAACATCAAGGTATTTTTAGGCATTTTTTCTCTCTTAGCATTATATGTTTTTACTATATCTTGTGTCATTGTATGTCGTTTCATATCTTGTCATTTTTTACAATGTCATTTAATATCTTTTAGAATGTCATTTTATGTCGTGTCATGTCGTAGAATTTGACATCAGGCACTTCTTGTTTTTTCCTTTTCAATTATTTCAAACGGCTTGACCAAATTGGCTAAAAAATTTAAGGAAGCCCTGGGGGTAACATTGGATAAATAAAATTTGCTTTTTTCTATAAAAAAATGTTTTTAATCTTTCAATTTTTTTTTGCAAAATCATTTTTTAAATTTTTTTTATTTCACGGGCAACGTTGGGCACTTCAGTTGGTAACATATAAATTCCTACTTTCTACATCACTAAATATTGTAAATAAATAAAATTTCAAATAGATGGAAGGAGATGCCTGAGATGACAAGTAGACTAGTTACACTCTGTAATTCATTCACTCCTTCAGAACTAAAGGTTAGTCCATCATTTTTTCCAATTATCATTATTATTACTGTTATAAAATGTTAAAAGATAATTTTAAGATGCCTAAAGGAGATGTTACTGCTATGGCCTAAAGACATTGTATTATGATTATTACTTTTATAATTAATTAGAAGACTAGTGTAAGCTGCTAAAAGGAAATGTTACTGCTCTGGCATAAAGTATTATTATTATTACTGTTATAATTACTTAGCAGACAAATTTAAGCTGCCTAAAGGAAATGTTACTGCTTTGGCATAAAGTATTATTATTATTACTGTTATAATTAATTTGGAGACTTGTTTAAGCTGCCTAAAGGAAATGTTTCTGCTCTGTCATAAAGTATCATTATTATTACTGTTATAATTAAATAGGAGACTAGTTTAAGCTGCCTAAAGGAAATGTTTCTGCTCTGTCATAAAGTATCATTATTATTACTGTTATAATTAAATAGGAGACTAGTTTAAGCTGCCTAAAGGAAATGTTACTGCTGTGGCCTAAAGAAATGCTTTGCCACATGGTTCCTATGTTCCACAGGTAATGGTTTTGAATAACGTTAACAGCTGTTTACATTATTTGTTTTTCAGACGTTTTTTGGTTAATTCTTTTACATTTCAAAACTAACGTTCATATCAGTTTGAATGTTTTCAACATATTTTTTAATTGCCAAGTTTATTGAAACACCCTGTATTATATTTATTGAAACACCCTGAATTATATTTATTGAAACACCCTGTATTATATTTATCAGATCTCACATTGCGTCCTCAGAGACGGATTCCTCCATGATCGGACCATTCTTCCCTCGCAGGTTGTACTATTAAATATTTTTTTTCTGACATTTTTTTAATAAAAAAATTTAAATCATTTTTAAGTTTATTCTCTTCACTCATAGGTTTATTTAAATACAAAATTTTAACAATAAAATTCCAGGCATCGTAGAAATCTGCCTGCTAAGGCAGTTAGGCCTCCGAGGCCAATGTTGCAGTTAACTGTTCCAGCTTCACAGCTCGAGGCCAGCCATGGACAAGATCCAGAATATGATAAGTAAAGACCATTCATTTAACTTCCCCCCATTATCCCTTTATCTATACATCTTTCCATATATCTATCTTTCTCTTTATCCCTTTATCTATACATCTTTCCATATATCTATCTTTCTCTTTATCTATTGTACCGAATTCAGAATATAAGAGGGGGCATTTATTTATTTATTTATTAAAAATGTTTCTTATAATACGATTTTCTGTCCAAATACATAACTAATTATCTATCTTTCTAATTTCCTATCTTCTAAGAAAGAGTATCTGTTATTATTTAACTAAACTAATAGTTTTACCTTTCTATCTACCTACCTACTTATACATATACATCTACCAATTTATTTATCTACCTATCTATCTACCTACTTATACATCTACCAATTTATTTATCTACCTATCTTTGGCTGTCTGCGTCTTTCCATGTAGTCATCTGTCAATTTTTCTATATATTACTGTCTTTCTATCTATTTTTCTATCTATATAGTATATACTTATCTGTCTATCTAGAGCTTTGCATTAGTATTTCTGGAATTTCCATCACCTGTTGGATCTAATGTATCTATCTATCTATCTATCTATCTATCTTATCTCTTTATCTTACCAAATATTTATCTATTTATTTGTTCATCTATTTTTTATCTATCTATCTATATATCTATATATCTATATATCTATCTATCTAGAGCCTTGCATCGGTATTTCTGGAATTTCCATCACCTGGTGGATCTAATGTATCTATCTATCTATCTATATTCCTATTCATCTATCTATCAATGTATCTATCTATTTATCTAACTAAATATTTATCTATTTATTTGTTCATCTATTTTTTTATCTATCTATCTATATATCTGTATATCTATATATCTATCTATCTATCTAGAGCCTTGCATCGGTATTTCTGGAGTTTCCATCACCTGGTGGATCTAATGGTTCGTGTTGCAGTGAATGAAGAATCAGTTACCAAACCTCTAATAGGTATATTACGCACATTCAATTCAATCAAGCAATCACACTTTTTACGCACATTCAATTCAATCAATCAATCAGACTTTTCACGCACATTCGATTCAATCAATCAATCAGAATTTTCACGCACATTCAATTCAATCAATCAACCAGACTTTTCACGCACATTCAATTCAATCAATCAATAAGATTTTACGCACATTCAATTCAATCAATCAATTAGACTTTTTACGCACATTCAATTCAATATTAATCACACTTTTTACCCATAAAATTCAATTGAATCTAAATTTGTTCAGTTAGAAGATTGGACAAGGTAAAGACTAATAACATTCTATTGGGAGATGATTTTTCTCATAAAAATGTATTACACAAAAAAAACTTTATTTTATAGATTTGAGCGCCATTGTCGGGTTTGACGGTGTTCCTCTTCACTTCATGCTCTTCCCTAAACTCTGGCTGGATATTTATAATTCAAAGTAATTCATTTATTCATTTATTCATTTATTCATTTATTCATTTATTCATTTATTCATTTATTCATTTATTCATTTATTCATTTATTCATTTATTCATGTACTCGTGTACTCGTGTACTCATGTCATTTTGCATTCTGTTATCTTGTTATTATGTCATTTAGTCATGCAGTCATTAAAAGTCAATTATAGTTATTAAAAGTCATTCATGGTTATTAAAAGTTATTTATAGTCATTAATTGTTGTTTATAGTCATTAATAGTTGTTTAAAGTCATTAATAGTTGTTTATAGTCATTAATAGTTATTTATAGTCATTTTGTCATTTGGAGTCATTGGTGTCTATCTATCTATCTATATTTCCATCTATCTATCTAATTATCTATCCATCTATCTATCTATCTATCTATCTATCTAGGAATATAGAGGAGAGCACCTTGAATAACAGTATTAACCTACTAGTTGAATCTACAGCGTTCATGGAATATGTTGACGCTGTTCTTCTTGGTAAATACTTTTAGATTTAACCCCTTATTCTTATTCTCACTTTTTCCTTCAATATTTTCATTTCATAATTTGATTCAATGGTTGCTTGATGATTTGTTAACTTTTTCGTTTATTTAGTTTAGTTTTCTTTTGTTTTAGATTTGATTAAAATTTAAGTTTTTATGTTCTAACGAACTAGCTTTTTGATTAAAATCGAATAATACATTATTTGGTGATTGCTTATTTGAATAATTGATTATATTTAATTGATAATAATAGATGATAATTGATTGATTGATTTATTGATGATGAACGATTGACTGTTTAGATGAGAGATCCTGTTTGAACAATCAGTATGTTTTCCAGTTCCTGGTTATCTTCTTTCCAAAGGTCTGTACACTGTACAGTTTACAATGCAGGGGTCTGTACAATTTACAGTTTACAATGCAGGGGTCTGTACAGTGTACACTGTACAATGCAGGGGTTAATAATTTCTTGAAAAATCATTTTTTTTTCATTTTATTATGACTCTAGAATATATATGACATCTGAAAGGTTACCAAATATATACTATATATGGTCTTCCACAGATCAACCAAAATTATTAGTTATGGGATAGAATGAAATGAATATGGTTTGGTGGGAATGGGATTGAATTAAATTGAATTACATAAATGGGATGAGAGGGTGGGGAAGGGAAGTAATCGTCATTTTATGGGATGAAATCAATTTAGAATATGGATCACAAGCTCTACAAAATCGCTAATTGTTCAAGTTTGAAACTTCCATAATCCTGAATATCCCTTATTTAGGTGAGCGCTCAGGTACTCAATGATCAAGTAAATCATGTGCTCAGCTCTGTGCGCTCTCTCCTGGACCATGCGCACACACTAGATCTTAACAATCTACAGGCTGTTAAGGGCGCTGTGGGAGACGTGCGCGCGCTTCAACTTGTCACCGGAACCGAAGGTAGGAAGAAGACCGGAACTGAAGGTAGGAATAAGACCGAAACTGAAGGTAGGAATAAGACCGGAACTGAAGGTAGGAAGAAGACCGGAACTAAAGGTATGAAGAAGACCGGAACTGAAGGTAGGAAGAAGACCGGAACTGAAGGTAGGAAGAAGACCGGAACTGAAGGTAGTAAGAAGACCGGAACTGAAGGTAGGAAGAAGACCGGAACTGAAGGTAGGAAGAAGACCGGAACTGAAGGTAGGAATAAGACCGGAACTGAAGGTAGGAATAAGACCGGAACTGAAGGTAGGAAGAAGACCGGAAATAAAGGTAGGAAGAAGACCGGAACTAAAGGTAGGAAGAAGAAAGGGGAGAAGGAAAAATACAGTAAGAACCAGAAAACTGTGGAATAGGAAGACGACATTATTGTAATGTTTTACGTGTTTTTGTTGTTCAAACATGGCAAATAGTTTCACTTGTAATAAATTGAAATGCACTGCACTGCAGAAATCTTTGAACTATCTGAAGTTATAAGTTCAGTCTAACAGTCCTCGTCATATTCCAGAGTTTTCTGGTTTAACGACATAAAATAAGTGAAATGGGTCTGTGTACACTGCACAATTGTTGCAATCATAACTTGAATCTGACAGTTGTCTTCCTATTCCACAGTTTTATGGGTTTCACTGTATACAAAATTTAACATTACTTACTCTAGGTAGAAATACAATATGTAATATGGAAAACTGAAGTGCCCGGCATTGCCAATGGAATTTTTTAAAAATCTGAAAAAAAAATTTCTTTATTAGAAAAGGAGGTCATCTCTGGTTCCAGAATCCTGATGTTCTTGCAGATTTTATAATATTCTTTCAGGGATTCTCATCCGTTACAACATACATTTTGTTCAGGATTTTCTGGAAAGCATCTTCTACCTAGTTTACTGATACTCCGGGAAAGAGTGAACAGACATACAAATACGTCTCCAGTCAAACAGACACCAGTGGACCAAGGAACATTAGGGGGCCAAGGGGCTTCAGGACCTAAAGAACAAGGTTTAGGGGTTCAATCTTCGTTAGGTTAGTTTTAAATGTTAAAAACTTGAATTGTTTTTTATCGCAAATTTTTTATTGGAAGAATAGATACTTTTCAAGGAATAGTCAATGGCGTTTGGAATTAAAAAACTTTTATTATTCTTTTAATTATTATTTCAGCAGAAATGATAAAGATATATCTGAAAATTTATCAATTTCAATTTTGTTATGTCTATACAAGGGATTTGTTGTCAGAAATTTATATGCAGCAGAAATAATGAAGGAAATCAACAGTTTCATTTATGTACCAAATAAATTACTATTTAAGGGAGCAGCATATTTTTTATTTTTCAGAATCTCAAGACGAGAAGGGAGAGAAGGAGAAATATCCCTTGGAAAGTGATTGTATGAAAAAGGAGAAGGGAGAGAAGGAAAAATATCCCTTGGAAAGTGATTGTATGAAAAAGGAGAAGGAGGAAAAGGCAGGACCCTCTAGGAAGGTAAATTTTAAACAGTTTATTTTTCTATCAGAATACTTTTTATATATATGTATATTACTTACTTTTGTCTGATGGATATTTTACTTTTAATTACTAGCCTAAAATTATAATTTTCCAATTCCTATATCTATGCAACCTGTCAGCGAAATGTTTAAGTTAGCCTACATGCAAAGATGGCAATGTATAATTCATGCCTGTACCCTTAAACCTTCTGATAAATAATGTTGAAGATATTGTTGTTTTTCCAGATTTCAAATTGTATATTTCTGATAACTCTGAATTGTTTCCGTGCAGTATAGAAATGCGCAAGTCACTTTTGTAGAGAACCCACAATTGAAAATAATTAGTTTTCAAAATTATAAACATCGATATCTAATGCATTCTTTGATCAGACAAAGCTTTCTAGGACACTGTTATGAATCCTTTGTTGCCATCCTTGCATGGAGGCTCACTTAAAATTACGCTTACAATCTCTTTAAATGGAACGTTTTACTAGAAATTGCGCTTACAGTTCCTTTTAATGGAACGTTTTACTAGAAATTAAGCTTACAGTCCCTTTAAATGGAACGTTTTACTAGAACTTACGCATACAGTCCCTTTGAATGGAACGTTTTACTAGAAATTACACTTACAGTCCCTTTAAATCAGTGTTTCGGATCCATTTCATTTTGATGCGGATCCGGATGCGGATCCGCATCCGTGATGATGGATCCGGATCCGAGGTAACTTTTGATTCTGTGAATCGGATTTTCCCTATTAAATGTTATGCAAGGTTATAATTTATAAACTATTATTTATTATATATTCCGAGTAATCCTAAAGTTAAAAATGTCGTCATTACTATTATATAAATGTAAACATTAAATTATTAAAGATAATTTTGAAAAATTTTCGTCATGTAAATAATACATTTACGAACCATTTTGATTTATTTATTCCATGGTTTTGGTTAATTTTTGGCGCTACCCGGATCCATATCAACGTTTCCTGATACGGATCCGGATCCGACCAAATGATACGGATCCGACCGAATCCGGATCCGGATCCGTTTGAAACGCTGCTTTAAATGGAATGTTTTACTAGGAATTACGCTTCCAGTCCCTTTTAATGGAACTTTTTACTAGAAATTAAGTCTACAGTCCCTTTTAATGGAACGTTTTTCTAGAAATTGTGCTTACAGTCCCTTTTAATGGAACGTTTTACTAGAAATTGCGCTTACAGTCTCTTTTAATGGAACGTTTTATTAGAAATTACGCTTACAGTCCCTTTGAATGGAACTTTTTACTAGAAATTAAATCTACAGTCCCTTTGAATGGAACGTTTTACTAGAAATTACGCTTACAGTCCCTTTGAATGGAACGTTTTACTAGAAATTACGCTTACAGTCCCTTTAAATGGAACGTTTACTAGAAATTACGCTTACAGTACCTTTAAATGGAACGTTTTACTAGAAATTACGTCTACAGTCCCTTTATTGTAATTTGTTCAGCGAGGAAACGAGAAGCTGATGGACACGTTACAAATCCTGTTCTCTAGTTGTGATTCTTTGATCAACCAGCTCCAGAAGCAGGTGGAGGAGGAGCAGGAGGAGGAGAAGGAGGAGAGCACCAAATCAAACGAACACTCGTCGTCACCAGCTGGTCCAGACCAAACCAAATAAGAAAATTAATCCTATCATCCATTTTGGCATTATCAAAGGTTGTTTTGTATTTTGCTTCAGTTTCGCATGACTTGTTAAATCCAAAGCCTGGTATGATTTTCTAATGAAAGTTTTGTAAATTATTGTTTGTTTAAAGATATTGTGATTGTTCAAGAGTTAAAAACTGTATAAAAGTGAAAGATTATTTTCAGATTTTAAAACAATGCCGCCATCTTGAATTTTTGTTTTGAAATTGCGGGAACTAAAATGCGTTTAGCTCTGTCACTGACCGCCTTGGCGGTTTTAGTCGGCGGGGCTCCGGATCCGGGGATTTGGACTTTTCCGGATATCACAGATCCAACTTCGTATACAGGTAGTATTTTTAATCATTATTTTTTATTTGTCCTTATAGAAAACCTCCAATTTTTAGCTTTAGTCAAAAGTTATAAACTGATTAGATAATTATTACATTTGTTTGTATCTAAATTCACTTTAATGTGTTTAATTAAATTTTTTTTTACACAAAAAAAATGTCACTCTTAAAAGACCAATAATCGGAAGATAAAGCCAAAAAGACCAATGATCGGAAAGTAACGCCAAAAAAGACCAATAATCGGAAAGTAAAGCCAAAAAACCAATACTCGGAAAGTAAAGCCAATAAAGACCAACAATCGGAAAATAAAGCCAAAAAAGACCAATAATCGGAAAGTAAAGCCCCCAAAAAAAAATCGGAAAGTAAAGTCAAACCAAACAAAAATTGTATTTTTCCTATTCAGATCATGCTCGTTTATGTATATAATAATCCAGATCAATTATTATTTTAAGAGTTATTATAATAATCCAGGTCAATTATTATTAATGAGTTATTATAATAATCTAGGTCAATTATTATTAAAGAGTTACTATAATAATCCAGGTTAATTATTATTAAATAGTTATTATAATAATCCAGATCAATTATTATTTTAAGAGTTATTTTAATAATCCAGGTCAATTATTATTAAAGAGTTATTTTAATAATCCAGGTCAATTATTATTAAATAGTTATTATAATAATCAAGGTCAATTATTATTAAAGAGTTATTTTAATAATCCAGGTCAAATATTATTTTAAGAGTTATTATAATAATCCAGGTCACTTTTTATTAAATAGTTATTATAATAATCCAGGTCAATTATTATTGAAGAGTTATTATAATAATCCAGATCAACTATTATTTTAAGAGTTGTTATAATAATCCAGGTCAATTATCATTAAAAAACTGCTCACGTTTGCTAGGTTTAATCAAACAGCTGGGATCATTTTATTTTAAAATCCATATAAGGGAAATGTACGCAGGCTTAATATTTTAACCAGCAATCTAACGAGGAGTATGTCCGATTCACAACAGTACCCTTACTCCTTTATCTGAGCAACAAGAAGTAAGATTTCGTCGTTTTTATGTCTTAAAGTGATTATTTTGGCAGGGTTATTCCTTTTCTCTGCCAAATAAATCCGCAGATCATTTCCAACAAAAAAAGCTCAATTGAAAATTTTAATTTTTAGAAAGAACCCTAAGAATATCACAACAATTTTCGCTCAGATGATGGTGTTAATGTACCGTTGTTAATTCGCAATACAGATCTTAAAATTGTAGGTTCACTTGAAATTATGCCTACAGTCCCTTGAATAAAAGAAAAGTAAAATATGTGTATCTTGTTAGACAAAATCAATAATAATAAACAATCAACTTTCACTCTGTAGAAATCTATATATCTATTTATTTAAGTTTTTACTTTTATTTAAATAAAGGATTTAGAAATAGATAAATTAATAAAAAAAATTATCAATGTATTACTTTTTAAACAAATAAATTACTGTCAAGATCCTAATTGTTTAAAAAATTTATAGAAATCTTATTTTACGTGTTTTCTGTATATCACTGTAAACCAGGAAGAAGGAGAAAGTCGAACATATGCGACATTACTGATACAACTTTGTAACCTCGTAGCTGCAGGGGGCGGAAACGTCATGTTTTGTGTGTCTGTACCAAAAGAGTGTGTGTAAGTAATACCGAACCGAAGGCGTTTACTGTAGGTAACAAAGAATCTCGGTATTTGTACAGTCTAGGAGAGTACATTTGTTTATTGTTAATTGTTTACTTAAAAATAAGTTTAATATACATGTAGTATATTATTTATATATTTAGGTCAACACTATAAGCCAGATTTTCATGCAAAGAATGAAACAATGGATTAAAGTTTACTATAAATATAGTCGTTATTCAAGCTTAATTATAATTGACAACATTGTTCTGCAATTTCCTTGACTGTAATCATGTTGTGTGTCTGTACCAAAAGAGTGTGTGTAAGGAATACCGAACTCGTTTGCAAAGCAGTGCGACTGGCTTTCTCATGCCAGACCAGCGCCATTTCTTTTCCGTTAATTCCTATTCCATTATTTTGATCTTACGCACACGTATGAGATAAAAGTAAATGATATCAATTAAAAAAAATTGCTTTTCTCAATAGCTCTTCAATAAAAGAACTTATGATTTAAAACGAGAAATCTACTTAAGTCTAACGTTATATAAATTCAGGGGATGGAATATCCGAATATTACGCAAATGCCGCACCTAATTATACTGTGCACTTCGTCAAGCCTGATCCTATAGGTAACTAAATTTGCAAAATTAAAGATTTTCTTATTGGATTTATAATTTCAAAAAAGTCTATTTTTCCAGATTATGATTGCGGTTCTTCTATCCTGATACAACCATTTGATCCTACCACTCCGGTAAGCTATTTTCCTAATTTGTATTTTGAGGCCAGACCAATTTAGATTGTTGAAGTTTGTTTTCTGATTCGCCACTAATATTTTTCATGAACCAAAATTTTTGTCATGCGCCATCCTGTTTTTAAAATGCTGTTACTTCTTTCCTTGCGCCACCACTTTTTTATGCGCCACCTTCTGGCGCAACTATTTTTTGTTCATGCACCACCTTTTTTACTTTGAGCTTTTTTACTTTATACTTCATGCATCAACATTTTTTTTGAAAGCACCTCTCTTTTTCTTCATGCGCATTTATATTTTTGCGCTGATATCTAACAACTTATAAATTACTTCATAGTGAAAGAAACCTTAAAACGTTTGTGAGAAAGACTTTCCGATGCGCTCAATTTTACATTTAGAATGACATTAGATGAGTTGTGACTGTTAAACTTTGTATATGTAAATTTTTTTCAAGAAAACTGAAGCACTGCCTTCCCCACAACCTCACCTTTCTAAGGTGATCATTTGATTCGAGATTTTAGATTTAATAACAAAACGTTCTACAAAATATGAGTCGTGAGTTTTTTCAATTATTTCCGTATGCAGAAATCAAACATGACCGATTCACATCGGTACCCTTGAACCCCTTATCTGTTAAAAAAATGACGATGATAGTTTTGTTCTTCTAATCGGAAAAGTGTTTAATTTAAATAAGTTATACGTACCTTGTTATACGTACCTTGTTATCCGTACCTTGTTATACGTACCTTGTTATACGTACCTTGTTATACGTACCTTGTTATACGTACCTCGTTATACGTACCTTGTTATACGTACCTTGTTTCCTGCAGCAGAACTATTACTTTTGTAGAAAGACTTCATCAGTCAGTTTTGTTTTTATAAACATTGATAATGTAAATATAATTCATACTTGATCAAACTGTTCAGTGTACCTTTGTGTATCAGGCATGTCACTGGCTCTACACATGGAGGGTCACAAATTTGAAAATGCATACAATTTTATAAATGAAGGGTCACTTGAAATTACGTAAACTGTTTCTTTAATGTAGCGGCAAGTTGTTCCTGAGTCCCATCACAACCCTGGTGCAGTGTCTAGTGTCGGGGCTGTAGATGCTCCTCAGTATGTTATCAAACATGACGGGGTCTACCTTCTAGTTGTCCTCATCAGTTTAGTAGATCAGGGACTAAATTTAATAAATTAAAGTAGTTGAACTACATAGACTACATAGGGGCTTGGTCTTGATTTTTAAGCTTATTTAATATTATTTTTATTATCACTATTATTATTATTGTTGTTGTTGTTGTTGTTGCTCTTGCGCTTGCGCTTGCGGTTTATTAAATTGTGTCCAAGGAGATTCAAGATCAGATTAATCCAAGTCAGCAGACCTTTCATGCATCACTTCAAGTCAGGTAAAATCCGCCAATTTTGAACATAAATCCCGACGCGGCAGCATTTTTTAATCTACGCACTTAAAAAAAATATTATTTAAATTATAGAAGCAACCTATATATATATAAGAGATAGATTTTTCTTTTAGAGAATTGCTTTATTCTTAAGCTTGGCAACTTGTTTTTAAATATCCTTCAATATTCATACATTTATAGAATAAGCTTTAAAACTTCAAATTGATATAAACTATGGCAGAGGTTATGTAGGTTTTTTAATCTCGAATGGAACAAATTTTAGATTTTTTGATGTAGAAGTCCGCAGATAGTCAAGTATAGTTACAATTTAATGTTCAGTCTTATTTTAAGAGTTACTTGAAGAAAAGTTATCAATCATTTTATTTTTCTTGGTTTCCTTAACTCAATTTAAGAGTAAGAATTCTGAAAAGCTTTTAACGTAAATTTTATAATTGCTGGTATTTTTATTCAGAGAATGATTGTGGACAGCATTTCATGTGACCTTCATTTATAAACTGTTATGTTCGATTCACAACGGTGCCCTTGAATCCTTAGTCTGATGCAATAAGGATATCTATGGCATACTTGCCAAATGAAGGGGTCACTTGAAATAATGTCAACAATCCCTTTGATGACTAGGTTTCTATCTCCGACTGCTGGTTACCTATCCCTGACTGACTGGCCGATGCTCCCCTTCTACGGCCTCATGTGCGGAGTCTACGTTGTGCTCGGCCTCCTCTGGTTGATCTTCTGCTCTATCCACTGGAGGGACATCCTCCGATTGCAGTTCTGGATCGGAGGCGTTATATTCCTGGGGATGGTTGAGAAAGCAATGTTTACCTCCGAATATCAGAATATTAATAATAATGGGGAGGCAACACAAGGCAGGGTTTCCACTTTGTTTTTAGGGACTATGAGCGTAATTTTAACTTTTTAAGTTACCCTCCGTGCAAAGATGACAACGCCTGATATACAACGGTACCATTAAACGCTGTGTCTGAACAAATATGATTGAGATATCAATGTTTTTAAAAATATATTTTCGATTAAAGTGGAAGTGGCTCATCCGATAAAACCACAAAATATATTGAATAACAGTACAAAGTTTAGCCCCTAGTTTTTTACATTTTATTTTACGTACACTGAACTCTAGTGTTGGAAGACGACTTTTAGGCTCTATTAATGACTTTAAATAGTTCAATAAAGGTGAGACACAGCAATTGTGCAGTATAAACAGACCCATTTCACTTAATATGTGGTTTTATAAGTTACTAGTAAAACCATTTTCTTTCAAACAATATCAAATACACAAGTAAACCTCAATTCATGGATGACAATGCCGGATTCACAACAGAACCCTAAAAGCTTTGTCTGATCAAGTTTGAATTAGATATCAATGTTTATAACTTTGAAAACTGATTATTTTCAATTCTGTGTTTTCTACAAAAGTGACTTGCGCATTTCAACTGCAGAAAAACATATTTTATAGATCAGAATCCGAACACTTTCAAACTAAAAGAAACAAAAATATCTTTGATAAGATAAAGGTTTTAAAGGCACCGTAGTCATCTTTGCAGAGAGAGGAGTTACGCTTACAGCTCCTTTTAACCCCTCTACTCCGCTCAAATCTATAGAAAATAATTGAAACCCCTGTACTCCAGGTTTAATAATCAGTGCTGAACTTATCTCCTGTATGAAGAGAACCCTGGCCCGTATGTTGGTGATTATAGTTAGCCTGGGATATGGTATAGTTAAACCTCGTCTTGGTCCTACACTCAACCGTGTGGTTGCCACAGGTGCAGGAGGAGTTCATCTAGAGTTTTCAATATTGTTCGTACAGTCCCTGATTTGATTTGGTTTGGTTTGGTTTGGTTTGGTTTGGTTTGGTTTGGTTTGGTTTGGTTTGGTTTGTTTGATTTGATTTGATTTGATTTAATCGGCACATCTTAAAATTAATGACAAAATTTTGTCAAACAATATTTTAACAGAAGTGTCCAGGAGAGCGTGCAAGGCCAGAGGCTGTTTTAACCTTGCCCTCCTGTTATGCTTTTTTTTTGGAGGGAGGGGGTGAAATAGGTGTAAACATGTTTCCCCAGATTAAACCTAGATGAACTCCTGGTATAGGTGGACTCTACTGTATCTTGGCTAGTATTGAGTCTGTAACTAGGGTTATCTATCCTAAGAACGATCCTAGTAATATAACCTTGATGTCCGCTGTCCCCCTGGCGGTGATAGATGCATCTATTTGCTGGTGGGTGTTCAGCGCTCTCATACAGACAACTAGAGCACTGAGGCTCAGGAGGAATCTGGTCAAACTTTCAGTTTATAAGGTAGTATTAATCAAATAGATTCTAGTACAATAGATGGCAATGTAGAATTTGTACACTCTCAGTACAGCTGTATTCTTACGTCACAAGTGTCAACTTAGTTTTTGTGTCCGACAAAATTATTTATAATAGTGAAAATTTTAGAATAAAGTGCTTACAGTAAAATAAGTGCAATTCTATGTGTTCTTTATTTTCTTATCTATTTTTCATTTTTTCATTTAATCTTGGGAAACATGTCAACTAATCTGTGAAAATTTAGTTTTTCTTGTTATATTTGACACAATTGTGACGTCGTGTATCATTGGTCCATTTCTCTGTTGCCACCTATTGTACTTGATAATATATTTGGTATTAATATTTTTTAAGTTAAAGGGAAAACAGACGCAATTTCTAGTAACCTTCTATTTCAAAAATGGAATATCCGATTTACAAACACAACCCGACCTTTTAAACCATTATCTGAGTAACATTGAGGAAGATATTGTTTTTTAAATTTAATTTCCGCGAAAATGAATTACGCGAAACAATGCGAAAACGATTCAATTTGCGAAAATTGATTCTGCGAAAGAAAAAAATTCCGCGAAAACCATAAGTTTTTTTATCAGCAACAATTTATCGAGCAAAAAAACTTTCTCTTCAGTATTTTTTTTTGCAAAGTTTTTGCATTTTGTTTTCCCATAAATTTTCGCATTTGTTATTTCGCAAAATTTTCGCACTTCTTGTTTTGCGGAAATTTCGCATTTTTCGCCGATTTGCCTTATTTGCTGGAAACCCTACTTGCAAAGGTTGTTAGGGGTGTTGTTGTGAATCGAAGCTATTTAATAAATCACTTGACGTTGAATTTGTGTCAACAGTATCCTTAACAAACCAAATAGGAGAAAAATGTCCGTTAGCAAGACACTCTAAAAGGGGGGGGGGGGTTCACTCCCAACATGCGGGAATGATAAATATGAAGAAAATTAGAACTTACATTTTTATGATATATTAATGTAAATGAAAAAGAAAATTTAGTTTGAATGGGAAAAAATTTTACATCTTAATTTTTAAACTTAAAATTTTTTTTACAATATTTTTTAAAAAGTTTTATGATGTCAGATGTAAATATTTTGACTTTTCTATATTTCTTGTTCTTCATTTTCTTCTAGTTCATTCATCTTTCAATCATATTTCAGCTAATTTGGAAGAAAAAAAAGTTCACACTCTTTGCAGTTTTGCTGCAAACTTTAGAACCAAGTTAAGGTGCCTCCTTTCCTATTTCCTACACGCATTAGATGTGTCAGCAACTGAATTCAACAAACACATATTTCTAATGCATATTCTGTCAGGCTGAAATAAATGGTAATGGAAGGGGGGCGTCTTCCAAGCCTCCGTCTCTAATATTTGTCTCCATTCCCTAACGGTTTTATAATTATATATGATAATGGGGAAAAATTTAATTTAAGTGAAAACATAATATTTAATAAATTTGAGCCGCGTCAAAAATCCGCCAAAAACCGGTTTCAATTGAGCGCCGGCTTAAATCTTAAAATAATTAATACGATTTTAAGTGGAACCTTTGAGGCGTGGCTTAAATTTAAGCCGTTGCTCAAATTCTTTAAATTCAGTCTGGGGATTATCAAAGTTAATAAAAACTGCCAGAACTAATTAAATTAGAAATAGAAAAACAAAGATATCTCTGTCTAAATATAGACTAGTGTCTTAATGTTGATGAAGGATCCATTTTTGAAATATTTTGTTTTCAGCATTTCACGAACACCCTCGCATTTGCTGTTCTGTCCAGTATTATCTTCATGATCTGGAGTATCAAATATCATAAGGTAAGATATAATTTCTATCTAGAATTTTAAATAATAGAAAGTTTTTCCTAGGGACCTCTCTAAAATCTACATGGAATGAACTGGACAAAGTATGAATTAGATATGTACTGAATAATTCCCCTGTTTCTAGAAGGTTTAAAAACAAAATCTAGGGTACAAAATATTTGAAGGAGTTTTCCTTGACAAATTGACATTTTTTGCAGGTTTTAGACAGAAGTATGAATCAAATACATACCGAAATTTCCGCCTGTTGTCTGTGTTGAATGTTTCAGCTAATGGAGATTCTTTAAGTTCTCTTAGACAAGTTAATAAAGACCTCTATCTGATCCATCTTTGCAGGTGTTAGACAAAGATCCCCATTAAGTATGAATCAGATACATGCCGCAAAATCCCCCTGTTGTCTGTGTTGAATGTTTCAGCTAATGGAGAGTCTTTAAGTTCTCTTAGACAAGTTAATAAAGACCTTTATCTGATCCATTCTTTGCAGGTGTTAGACAGAGATCCCCATTAAGTATGAATCAGATACATACCAAAAAATGCCCCTGTTGTCTGTGTTGAATGTTTCAGCTAATGGAGAGTCTTTAAGTTCTCTTATACAAGTTAATGGGGACCTCTATCTGATCCATTCTTTGCAGGGTTTGACAGATGTACCCATTAACTTGTCTATAAAGTTTAATCCAGATACCTACTGAATAATTAAGGTTGTAGAATGTTTAACAGACTGGAAAGATCTCTGGGTGGATGAAGCTTTCTGGCATCTTCTCTTCTCAGGAATACATTTATATATTCTTTATTTATCAAAAAAAAAGACATTCGTAATTCGTATATATATGTTCCCTATAGCCGGCCAAACGGCTNAGTTAGCTCACACCCCTAATTAACAGTTGCTTTCAAAATAAAGAGGGGGGGAGTATATTATTTATGATGAGGGTTATATTTAGTATGTATGGGATTATTTTTAAACTTTTCCAGGAGATGATGATTATTCTTCTGATGAAGAGATATTGTATAATGATGCCTGGGAGGGGATGAAGATGAGAGGAAAGGGATCTTCCAGACCTGATACCCCCTCAGGTTTATTCATTCATGCATTCATCCTTTCACCTATTCATAAATTCATTCATCATATCATCGTTTCATTCATTTAATCATCCATTTTATTCTTATTTTCATTATGACTAAAAACTCTTTTTCTTTCTTTCATTCATGTATTTATTCATCCATCCAGAACTGATGCTTATCTTTTATTTATTTATTATTGATTTTTTCATTAACTCGTCCATTTTTTCATTCATTTTTTCATTAATTCAATCATTTTTATATTTATTTATTCATTCATTTATTTTTTCATTTATTCATTCATTATTCATTCATTGACGGAATGGTGAATGGATTGATTGATTGATTGATTGTTTGATTGATTGATTGATTGCTATGTTTAGGTGCTGACCCTGAAGAGGATCCTCTGGCCTGGGTTGAGGAGAATATTGCAGGAGTTGAGCCTGCTCTTCCTGCTCTAGACTCGGAGGTTAAATCACTCACTAGCTAACTCATTAACTCAATCACTCACAAGATTGCTCAATCACTTAGTTACTAGTTTGATCACTCATTCGCTAACATTGACTTTTTGATTATTATCCAACCATTGACTTAATAACTGACTTGCTTGCTTCCTTCCTAACTTTGGCAATACATACTCTATAACTTCAAATCAAATCATATCAAATCATTTATTTCTGCAGAAAAAAAAAAACAATATTTACGAATTAATTTTTAAAAATCACAATATGTAAAATATTATTTTCCGCAGCAGGCGGACTCAATAGCCTGGGGCTGTTTTAGCTGAGCCCCCCTGTTAACCAAATTAACTTACTCACTTGCTGACTGACTCAATTACTCGCTCACGCATTTACTTACTCACCTAATCATTCACGAACCCAATTATTTACTAACTAACTATCCTAATCTTTGACTGAGTGACTGACCACTAACTTACTAAATGACTAATTCACTGACTAACTAAATGACTGATTATTTAATTTATTTTACTAATAAATATATTTTCAGGAGGAGATTGAGAATACAAAGCTTGAGATTTCTAAGCTAATGTAAACATGACTGTTTGTAAACAATGCAGTACAGTTTAAAATTCTACATGTATTCTCTGCAGTACAGCTAGAAATCCTACGTAAAGGCATTTTTGTAAAGCTGTAAACAATGCAGTACTGTTTATAAGTCGACATTTAAACAAAACAGTACAACATCTTAGATACAGATATTGCAGTACAGTTTAGAATCTTAGATATTGCAGTACAGTTCAGAACCATAACTGTAAACATCGTTGTTGTTTTCGTATCGTATGTGAACACGGAAAATATTTGATGTAAAACTACTGTACACATTACAATTACTGTACTGTATATTGTACACCACAAATCCGTTTGTACACTGTATAAATAGCAGTACGTTATTTTGTTTTAAAAGTTTTGCAGTGAAATTCAGGTTTTTTTCATATTTCGCAAAAAAAACAGAATTCCGATTATTATTGAGATTTTGTTTTTGTTTTATAAATCAATGCCTGAATCCTAGATTGAGCCAAAGATTACTCTTAACCCATACTTCAAGCTTTTCATACCCCCCCCCCCCCCCTCATCAGTAAGATTTAATGTGATTTACTACTACACCATTTTCTAAATATAAAGCAAAAATGTTGTGTTTTAAATGTCCAGTTCTAGATTTTTTCGAACGCAAATGTTGAAAATTCGCGGTTTTATTTTGATTTACAGTTAGTACAGTGGCATTTTAGCGTTCAAAAATTTCAAGACTACATTTTAAATATTCATTGTCTCTCTTTATTTTTGGGCAATACTGTATAGTTTAGTTAGTTTAGTACTTTTTAATTTGTTATTTGAAGCTTTGTTAAATTTGATCATTTTGAAATAAAAAAAAACTTTTATAAACATTTTTCATTTTCAGCTCATTTAAATTTAAATTAAGCTTAGAATTATTTGTTCTAAATTAGAATTTGTCATTTTCTGGCTGGTCTGTGTTGTTGATATTGATGTTCTTATTTTTATGGAATATTCTTAGTTCAATAGTGAGGCCCTAAAAACTGGAATAGAAAGACGACATTAAAGCAATCTTATTTGTATTTTTTATACAGCTGGAAAATCAACTCAAAATGTGTCATACTATTCATTGCACCTAACCTAACCTAACTGTATTAAATCTACATTAGACGGCCATCAAATGTCTAATTAGATTTTTAATTTTGTCACTAAATAATAATATTAAGAATAATACTGAATAAAACCATATTTATTAACGTAAAAAATTGAAAATAATATTTAAATTAACAAATCGGTAAAAATTAAAATAACAAGGGCTTCAAGACTTGTAAATATCAAATTTTGGGGAACTTCTGATGGAACAACTTGGAGGGTTCTTAATATCCAATCACGCTGTTTCGAGAGGGATTTCTTCCTGTACAACCTGAAGGAAAAGAACTTCTGTTAAACCCTAAATAAGCCATACATCGATAGAATTTATCAAATGTCGTATTCTTCACTTTCTGATAATGGAATGTTGCAGATATTTAGTTTTTAATTAAATGATTATATGGAACTCTTTAAAACTGTTCCTGCATATTCATATTAATCTATTTATTTTCGCAAATACTGAAATTTAAGTAAATAGCATTAAACACATTGAAAAATCGTCTAGACGACATTTGATAAATTCTTTCCACGTATGGCTCATTAAGGGTTTAACTGTATGTAAATACATTTATTATTTATTTTTCAACATGTCCCCTACCAATAAAATATAGTGAGACCCATTTATTAAGTAATTATTTTAAGTAGTGAAATGAATAAATAAAACGGAAATTGTGCAGTATTTACAGACCCAATTCACTCAACAAGTTAATTTTAAAGGTGCTGATAAAACTTTGGGTTATTACAACGTCAAATACACATAAATTTGCTTAAATGTCGTCTTCCTATTCCACAGTTTTACGGGTCTTTAAGCCCTTCATTGGAGAAATTGTTTAATCATTTGGGCGACATTTTTTTTAAATTCAATCAAACTTCCCTCTGCCAACTTTGGTACCGTTGTAAATCGGGCATTGCTATCTTTGCGTGAGTTGCTTAAATATACACTTACAAAACCTTTATAAGTTCTGTACCTGTATAAGTCGTCTAAGATACTGGAATTCATATTCTCCAGGCCGCTGTTTAGGCAGAAATTTACCAGCTCGTGAAAATACTGCCTTCACCTAGAATATTTATATGTATTATTATGTTTGTTTGTTTGTTTGTCCGATCATAACTCATGAACGCTTATGGTTGGTAAACTAACTAGGTTTAAGTTTGAACCACGGGAATGTTCTTAGCTTGGTTTACAAATTTTAAGTAGATTTTTATAGATGAGTTTAGTTCCAGACAAATCTGGGTTCCCAAAATAGAATCCTTATAAAGACGACAGGAGGCTTAAACTTTTGAGTGTGATAGCGCTAACCTGAGCATCCAGGGTGTAAACTTATAAATTAAATGATTTAAGTTGAATTTTGAATAGATTTAAAATACATCAGTCTTGACCTCTGAGCACTTTTGGTAGGAGTATATGTTTTTAGGAATAAGTTTTAGTCACAGGAATATTTGTGTTTTTGGGAAATATAACATTGATGGAAATAAAATATATTACATTTTTGATCTGCAAACTTATGTTTCCATGTGATTTGATGGATGATTAGAATTTTCAAATAAATAATATATTTTATTGAATTTTGAATTATTTTATTTTTTAATTAAATTTTTTCGAAATTTTTTTTTCTTTTTTTTTAATATTTTTTTTCAGCATTTTTTTTCCACGGGCAACAGTGGGTACTTTAGCTTGTTGAAATATAAAATTGTATGCTCTATAAGTTTGTTTTTATTCCTTTGCTTACAGAAAATATACACTAACTGCCAACATTAGATATAATTAAACAAAATAATTTGATAAATCATTTAAATAAAAAGCTTTTAGAAAACTTTTTTGAAAAAAATATATCCATCACTGATCAAATTAAAGTGTTAAGGGTACCATTGTGAATGAGGCCAAGGTCCATATTTATATAAAATTGAAAATACAATTCTACCTCTCCTAATTCCAGTAGTGAGACAACTTCAAGTTTGTTTTCCACAATCTTCTCACAGAGATACTCGACATAGTGGATCCTAAATCATCATCATCATCATCATCGTCGTCGTCGTCGTCGTCGTCGTCGTCGTCGTCATCGTCATCATCATCATTACTGTTTTTCTTATTAAATATATATATATTTGTTAAAGTATATTTAAGTATATTTTCTTAATATATATATATTTGTTAAAGTATATTTAAGTATATTTTCTTAATATATATTTGTTGTAAAACTACTTTTTTTCAGAATATTTTACATTGTTTTCAGATATACTGCTAAACTTTAAACATTAATAAAATAAAAAGGATTTTTTGGATAAAAAATGAATTTTAAAAGTTTGATAATAAAATGTGGAAGGTTGAGTTACTTACAAGAAAAAATTGCTAAATTATTGAGTTGATAAGTAAATAGATATAAGGATGTATTTAAAGAACTGGACCTTGAGTAATTTCCTAAGATCCTCTGGTTCCTTATCCCTCAGGTAGAATAAACAGTTCCTGGATAGTGTATAATCTATCTTTTTATGTTTTTATCGTTTTGATCCTTCGTTTCTTTGTCTGTTAGTTTTCTTTTTCTGTTCGTTTCTTCGTCCGTTAGTTTTCTATTTCTGTGCGTTTCTTCGTTCATTAGTTTTCTTTGTCTGTTCGTTTCTTTGTCCGTTAGTTTTCTTTTACTGTTCGTTTCTTCGTCTGTTAGTTTTCTATTTCTGTTCGTTTCTTTGTCTGTTAGTTTTCTATTTCTGTTCGTTTCTTTGTCTGTTAGTTTTCTATTTCTGTTAGTTTCTTTGTCCGTTAGTTTTCTTTTTCCGTTTGTTCCTTCGTCCGTTAGTTTTCTTTTTCCGTTTGTTCCTTCGCCCGTTAGTTTTCTTTTTCCGTTTGTTCCTTCGTCCGTTAGTTTTCTTTATCTGTTCGTTTCTTCGTCTGTTAGTTTTGTTTTTCTGTTCATTTCTTCGCCCGTTAGTTTTCTTTATCTGTTTGTTTCTTTGTCCATTATTTTTCTTTTGCTGTTCATTTCTTCGTCTGTTAGTTTTCTTTTTACGTTCCATTAGTGTTCTTTTGTCTGTTAATTTCTTCATTCGTTTGTTCCTTTGTCCATTTGTTTGTCTATTTTTTCGTCTGTTCGTTCTTTGTCCGTTCCTTCGTCTATTTGTTATTTTTATGATTGTTTTTTAGCACTAAATATACCATTTTGTTTGTCAATCTTCAATTCAATTAATAAATTATTCAGACTTTTAGAGACTCCATCAATTAATTGAATTTATAATCTCTGGCCTACTCAAATATTTTTTACCAAAATTTGTGTTCAGGAAAAAAGGAAAATTCACAACGGTACCATTTAACTCATTATCTGCTTAATAATGTGTAAGATATTGCCTTCTTACCAAAAAGTGTATAATTCTGACCAGATCCTTCATTGTTTATATAGCAAATGTATAATAAAAAACAAAACAAAAATAAAATCATTATTTCTAAAAGTTAAAAACGTTATTAATCATAAAAAGCATTTAAAAAGGCATCGTTGTGTATCAAATATGCTTCTCTACTGAATGAAAGATCACTTCACCCAACGTCTACAATTCCTTTAAAGGATGTCCATCTGTTTACCTGGGATGGTGTGCGTGTACAGTTCCTTTAAAGGATGTCCATCTATCTACCTGGGATGGTGTGCGTGTACAGTCCCTTTAAATGATGTCCATCTGTTTACCTGGGATAGTGTACGTGTACAGTCCCTTTAACGGATGTCCAACTATCTACCTGGGATGGTGTGCGTGTACAGTTCCATTAAAGGATGTCCATCTATCTACCTGGGATAGTGTGCGTGTACAGTTCCATTAAAGGATGTCCATCTATCTACCTGGGATGGTGTGCGTGTACAGTTCCATTAAAGGATGTCCATCTGTCTACCTGGGATAGTGTACGTGTACAGTTCCTTTAAAAGATGTCCATCTATCTACCTGGGATGGTGTGCGTGTACAGTTCCTTTAAAGGATGTTCATCTGTCTACCTGGGATAGTGTACGCGTACAGTTCCTTTAAAAGATGTCCATCTATCTACCTGGGATGGTGTGCGTGTACAGTTCCTTTAAAAGTGTACAGTTGTCTACCTGGGATGGTGTGCGTGTACAGTTGTCTACCTGGGATGGTGTGCGTGTAATCCTAGTTTAGCACACCCTGGATCCTTCCCACACCTTGTCCCCAGTTTAAAGGGGCGCTTACATCCAATACAGAATTCAAACTTACACTGAAACAAAAATTTAATTTTTTTTAAATTTAAAATAAAATAAAATGTGAAAATGTATTAAAATCTTTTCCATTTTAATCATTACTTAATACTGTTGGTCTTGAAGTACAAAAAAAAATATTGAAAAATCAACAAAACGGGGAAATTTAATAGTATTGTGCATTGTGCAATAATAGCAATATAATTGAATAATATAATACATAGTACATGTGAACTATGTACCTATCTATGCACTTGTATAATATGTACCTATGTACTATGCGCTTGTGTAATATGTACCTATGTACTATGCACTTGTGTAATATGTACCTATGTGCTATGCATTTGTGTAACATGTACTTGTAAACTATGCACTTGTGCAAAATGTACTTGTGAACTTTCTTGTGTAAAATATGCCTATGTACCTGTGAACTGTTTACAATGTACTTGAGTACTGTTTACTATGTACTTGAGTACTGTTTACTATGTACTTGTATATACTTGTTTACTATGTACCTGTAAACTTGTTTACTATGTACTTGTGTACTGTTAACTATGTACTGTATATACTTGTTCTATGTACCTGTGTACATGTGAAGTGCATGCATCCTCCTTTAGTAAGTGTATATCTGAAGTTACAAGCAGGACAAGAAATACCTTGAAAAAATTTCTAATTTGTGCATCAATAAAAATCAAATAAAATTCATGGAATTAATTGCATGGTAATGCAGACTTAGAGTGGTTTAAGTTTTTCCAATTGTAAATTAAAAATATCATTAAACCATACCCCCCCCCCTGCTAAAGCTAAAGCTAAAATATGGCCATTATCGGTTTTAAGATACTCATAACCAATGATGCAGACAATTCTACGTATTTGATATGCTCACTTATTTAAAGGTATTATAAATCAAGAGTCGTCTCGTCGTCGTCGTCGTCGTCGTCGTCGCATATATCAGTACAATGAAGACGATTTCAGTTTATTAATATCAAGCTGTTAAACAGCAAGGATACACATAAACAAAGAAGTCAAGAGAAGCTGACAAGAGTCAAGAGAAGCTGACAATCAAAAAGGCTTTTCTTAGATTACTTGAAAACTTGCTACTGTCATAACCAGAAAACTCCGAAATAAGAAGACGACTTTGTAGCAATACTTTTGCGTTTTTTATGTTGTTAGGAAGCAAATAGTTTTACTGGAAACTTATTAAATCGCAAATTAAGTGAATTGGGTCTTTTTAAACGGACCAACTTCTGTTTCCCGTGCTTATTGGACTAACTAAAGTCATAATTTGAGTTTAAAAGTCGTCTTTCTATTCCAGGGTTTTCTGGTTATCACTGTAGTCAAAAAAACTTGTTAACATTAAAACTTTTTTAAAAAGTCGTCTTCATTGTATTGATATAATCGCCTACCACAGTACATATATTTTAATTCCATATTTGGTCGAAATGTCAAGTTTGCAGTGATTTTAGTTGTTTGTGAGTTCAAGTGAATCCCTTCAATATTACCATGTTGAGCTAGATGCTGTTCGAGTCCTGCTGCTTGATGATCAGGATCATTCTCTTCCTTCCATCTCCAGAGAAAATATACATAAATTTAACTGTTCAAATACATATGATACTAGCTCAAGGGCCCAGCGTTGCCCGAGAAAAAAAATTGATTTTTTTAGCCTATGTTACCCCCGGCGTACTCAATGGTTCCCTACAAATTTCAGCCAATTTGGGTCAACCGTTTGGCCAGCTATTGCTAACATATATTTAAATATGTATATATGAGCGAAGAGCTTTATTATAACGATAATTTGTGCTTTTTCTTCTTTAAAGGGATAATTCACAAATTAGATATCTTTATTTCCCTTTTGATAATTAATTATTTCTAAAACTCTGACTTAAATATTTAGGCTGCAAAAACAATAGCGGAAATTGTGAGAATAAAACACATCTTCCACATTATTGATCAGATAAAGGTTTAAATGGTACCGACCATCTATAAAAATAAAACATTTATTAACTGTGTTTTTTTTTAATATTGAATAATTTAAATGCGTGAAATACTAAAGTCTTTAAAGGAAGTGACCGGCAATGTATGTTAGTTGAACTGAGAATGTAGTATTGTGGAGAAATTTTCAGGATTCATTTGAGTCAAACTCAGTATTTATGCATCATTAAAACTTTTTATATGACTAAAATGAACCCTAAAAATGTCTCCACAATAGTACATTATCAGTTCAGCTACCATACATTGCCAGTCAATCCCTTTAAGTCTTGAACTTATTTATAACTTGTCGCATACCTGGCAAAGTCTTGGCACGTGATACCCTCGTGGGTTGGTTCCCAGGGTGCCAGGCATTTAGCGCAGCTCATAGCTCGGCAGTCGGGACACACTAACTTCTTGTTCTTAGGATCTGCTAGGAAACCAAACGGACACTAGATAGATAGATAGATAGATAGATAGATAGATAGATAGATAGATATATTGATGGATCAATGGATTAATGGCACGGTTAAGAGTATAGTGAGTCATTAAATTTATACCCAGTAAAATGTAGGTTTTTTTGTTTTTGCTATTTTATACTTTTTTGATGGGCCAAATCCTCAAATCAGTGTTTTATGCTGTGATTGAGGTCTCCGCATGATAAGTGGGCTGTCCAAGTAGAAGCCCTCAAAGTAGCGGTGGGAAGCCATCTATTCAATGGCCCCAAGAGATTGTTCAAGAGAAGCTTACTAAATATGGCTGTGGCAGACGTTCTCGACATGAAGAGAGATATGTCTTCACTAGCTTGTATGCCTTAAGTGGTTTAGCTCCAAGATCATGTAAATGATAGTCAAGAAATCCGAACTCTGAACAGAGTAATAGCAGGGGACTCGGTAGTAGGAAATAGAAGACCTACCCCCCTGGGTAAAGTAAACTCATACTGTCTTTTGTGTATCACTGTAGGAGCAAAAGCAAAGCTGTAAGAAGCAAATGTGATCCTGGAATGTCAAAGCATAATATATGAAAGCAACCAGAGCTCATTCCAGCTCTCCGATTGAATTCCGAAAACCACACTGAGAAGGTACTTAGGGGAGATAATGCTGAAGTGAAGGAGCTGAGGAACAGATGCAGAGCTAAACATGTACATGTCCTCTTAGACATGGCACAAAGTGATAGAAGCTATCTAAATTCCAAGTAGCTTCTGAAGTTCTGCTTAACACCTCCCATGATTGAAGTGTACACAATCCTCATCCAATTGAGTGACTAGCCAGCATCTGGTGGTACCGTAGTTTGATTTGAATTGCCCGGGCATATGGGTAAGGAGATCAGGGTGACGGGAGAACGGGTTTTAGGCACTGGCCCTTAACGTCTGATGGCGGTCTGGTGATCCCACATTGGGGGTCTACCACGATCTTTTTTATCTATTTTATACATCTATATATAAATTTGGCTTGTCTGTCTGTTTGTTTGTTTGTTTGTATCCAATAAACGTCAAATTNAAAAAATTTTTAAAAATGTGTTTTAAAGGTTTTTAATTTTGTAAAAAAATTTAAATTCTTAAAAATCCGCGAATTTTTTTTTTAAATCCGCAAAAAAATTTTCTTCTTTGTTTTAAAATGTAAACAAAAAGAAAAAGCCTTGTCTTGAATATTTAAGTATATAAAGTCCCTTACGCTATTTTTGACGGATTTTGAATCAGACATATAATTATGACTCTAAATATTCCAATACTATGTTTTTAAGGGGGGCAAGCGCACATCTTTTATTTCAATTGTGAACATTTTCTCTTTGTAAAACAAAAACAAACAAAAATTTCAACATTTAATAAAAATCCAATTTTGTTGGAGGCAAATTTTTGAAATTTTGATCATCTGTAAACCTTCTCTGGGAACATGGTAAGTCCCACACAAAAAAAGTTAGTTTTACTAATAACTTCATTGTTTGTTTGATTGATTGGTTGGTTGATTAATTGATTGATTTATTACAAGTTTACCTTGTAGCACCATTTAAAATTTGGATCCTTCGCTAATGTTCTATCTCGGAGCTTTCTTTGGAACAGATCATGAATATCCTTCTCCAGTATATCCTAGAGATAGAACAGATCATGAATATCCTTCTCTAGTATATCCTAGAGATACAACATCTTTATCAATAAGTCTTAAGATCAGCAATTTTGTAAAACAAAATCTTAACACTCAGAGATTTTAATATTTCAGAGAAAGTATTCCACTGAAGGGGACTATACGCGTAATTTCAAGTGCCCTTTCATGTGAAGATGGTATGATTCACAACAGTACCCTTTAAGCCTTTGACTGATACTCTAGACCAGAGTAGTCAACGTCATCTCTTGAATGGTGTTGAACTTACCGTCAAATGAGAGTGTACATCTTCATACATGGTGTAAAGTTAACAAAGCTCATGTTACATATACTTCAAAAATACCGAATTTTTTTTTGTCTAAATGTAAATATCTATATTCTGCAGATTCTAGAAATGTTAATATATTTTAACCCTATCTCTTGTGGTTTCTTCTAAATAACTTAAAAATGGCTTACATTAGAACGCTGAAACTTCTATACTTTTTCAACATTTGCATAGTTGTGAACAAATTTTGCAAAAATAATTTTTTTTATGCATAAGGTAAGGTGGAGAATGGTCTAACGGCGGATCGGTGTTTTAAAAAAAATTAGAAATGGTTAAAACCTTTTTTATTAATTAAGCTAAAGGGCTAAGACTTTTAAATTTGAAAAGGCCTTGAAAAAATGTGTTAATTTTTGTCAAAAAAAAATGTTTTAAAAAAAATGTTCGACATACTTTTTTAACTTTTTAAAAATCCTCCCTTACACCCTAATCATTAAAATTAGGGGTCTAATTCTTGTTTAATGAGCAGGCCTTGACAATTTGGACTAGGGACATGTATCACACTCCCCTATATCAACTCTAAAGGGAAAGGTCTAATTCTTGTTTAATGAGCAGGCCTTAACAATTTGGACAAGGGACATGTATCACACTCCCCTGTATCAACTCTAAAGTTAATGGTCTAATTCTGTTTAATGAGCAGACCTTGACAATTTGGACAATGTATCACACTCCCCTATAATAACTCTAAGGGCAAAATCATAGGGTGGTGGTAAACCCCCCCCCCCCTCTGTAATTGACAAAAATAGTCCAATCGGGATATATAGGGTTAAATGTAGAACAGGAAATCAAGTTTTCCACAATTACAAGAGTTTCTATAGTTTAATTAGAATAAGTCTGATATGTACTAGATCAGTCCAAGGTTTAAAGTGTATTGTTGTGAATTGGACACAGCTGACAGGGTTGTCCAAAAAGGATGAGACTTCAGAGACGACTGCATAAAATTTACTTTGCAATGTTTCATGATTCCCTGCAATTATAATAATACTCTTTTCTATCTTTACCATCGTCATCTTTGAATAGTTTCAAGTCGTCTTTACAGTCTCATCCTTTGCGGGTAACCCTGTATACTAATATAAACTTTCCTAATAATCTACTCACCGTGTTGGGGAACCCCCGGCCGCCATGAGCCACCCAGATTTACTATGCAGCAGCGAGCCTCCGCTAAGCAGTTTTAATTTCATACGCAAAAAGGAAGATATTTAGAAAACAAATTATTAAGTGAATTTGATTAGATACTTTTTTAAAAAATTATTTATGCTTAAATAAATCTTGTACTGCAAAATTATTGTTTCAAAGAATTATCTAAATTTAACAAAATTCAAAAAAATTTGAAGTTTAAGTTTAAAATGTATACTGCCTAGTGGAGGCTCGGTGCTGCATAGCAGATCTGGGAGGCTCATGAAGGACGGGTGTTCCCTCCCTAACCCACCTTAAGCAGTATATCTAGTTTTGCAAAATACTCAAGTGCAACATCATCATCTTGAAGATCACTAGGCTCTGCACAGAACGGACATACTGCCTGAAAGTCAAGATATACAGTGGTATATACACCCTGTATATGATGTGAGACACCCTGTATATGATGTGGGACACCCTGTATATGATGTGGGACACCCTGTATATGATGTGGGACACCCTGTATATGATGTGGGACACCCTGCATATTCCTGGAGCGTGTACACGAATTTGTCCAGTTTTACTTCTCCAGGGGGGGGCCTTAGCCTCCATTGCCCCCCCTTCCTCTCTATACGCCTATTGTACATGTAGTTTAAAACCATCTAAAGCCACTGACCTGTGAGATGTTTTTATCCTTGATTAGGATTGAGAAGAAGTTTGTGGCACATGTTGAACAACAACAGTGTTCACAAGCAACCATACGAACAATCTGAACACAATATAACATGTTCAACAACAGCAGTGTTCACAAGCAACCATACGAACAACCTTAACACAATATAACATGTTAAACAACAACAGTGTTCACAACCAACCATACGAACAACCTGAACACAATATAACATGTTGAACAACAGCAGTGTTCACAAACAACCATACGAACAACCTGAACACAATATAACATGTTTAACAACAACAGTGTTCACAATACCTGAACTCAATATCTAAAGCAAAAAAGTTCAGTTTGAACCCTTTTAAGCATAATTCCAAGTAGCCGTCTATGCAAAGATGACAATGTCCGATTCACAACGGTACCCATAACACCTTTTTCGAATCAATAATGTGGAAGATATTGTTATTTTTCGAGGCTTGAAAGTTTTTAATTCCGAAATTTTTTTTTATGTTTTCCTGTCGTAGAAATGCGCAAATCACTTTTGTAGAGAAACCACAATTGAAAATAATCATTTGTCAAGGTTTTAAACATTGATATCTTAATTATACTTGATTAAACAAAGCTTTCAAGGCATAGATATTCTCTTTTATCTAGATTTCAAGGGTTGTGAATCTGGCGTTGACATCCCTGAATGTAAGATCTCTAGAAATGAGGCTAACTTGTATTAAAGCAATATCTCCATGTTCGAAATGTTTTCACCTGTTTTATGTTCATTTGCGTGGCACATAACTCGCAATCACGCCTTCAACACAAAATATTAACATTCAGAATAAAAGAAGAAAAAAGAGCTATACAAATTACAAATTACAAATTACAAAGTACAAATGGTTAAAATTGATATTGAAGAAACATTTTTTACCATTTTACCAATATTTTTCTTACTTTAGTAGATTTAGAGCAGTGTTAAAGTCTGCGACAGCATTTAGATCTTCAGCTGTTCCTTCAGTATCAGCTGCTTTAGAAGCTTGTTCAGCTGCTAGTAAACATTCATCTTCAGGGAACCCTTCATCTATCAATCTGAACAGTGGATAAGCATTAATCTAAATTATGCTATACATATACCAAATATACCGAATATTCCGAATATACATATACCGAATATACCGAATATACCGAATATACCAAATATACCAAATATACCGAATATACCGAATATACCGAATATACCGAATATACCGAATAAACCGAATATACCGAATATACCGAATATACCAAATATACCGAATATACCGAATAGACCGAATATACCGAATGCACATATGCAAAATTAAATTCGTTCTCAAGTTATATATGATATTAATAATAATAATAATAATAATAATAATAATACTAGAGAAAAATTATTTAGAAGTCTCTTCAAAAAATTTGTTGATAACAAGAATTTTTACACAAAGGGTACTTCCATGAAAAAAAGTCCTTTGTCATAAAACATATGATGATAATAATTGTTATAGGCCTGGAATTAGATTTAATGATTAAAGAAAAGTAGGTGAACCACCTACTCACGGTTTAACTACTTCTCATGCTAAAGAGAAGTGGTTCAATTTAACCTATGTAGTTCAACTTTATTCTTCTATTTATTAAATCTGGAAAAATCTGAAAAAATTTCCAACCTGAGAATGATCTCCCCTTGTTGAAAGGATTTAACCTTCTGTTCTGCTAGGAGTCTGCGCACTTGCCTCTAAACAGTTTTCAGTCAAGTTATTCAAAGGAAATCATAATTGGAGTACTTAACGAGACCTCCACAGCAATATCATCAGAGACTCCAGATTTTCATTATAGACAACCAGCTGTTCATCGGACACCCCTAGCTTTTCATCGGAAACCCCAGATTGTTGGAGGTCTCTGATAAATATCAGGGGTCTCCGACGAAAAACTGGGGGCCTTGAAGGAAAATCTGGGGGTCTCCGACGAAAAACTGGGGTCTCTAATAAGATATAGGGGTCTCTGATGATGAGCTTGTGGTCTCTAATGAAAAGATTTGGGATCTTTGTAAAAATGTGGGTCTCTGATAAGATTGTCAATGAAAAAAAGTCTCATATAATATGGTAGTTTAATAATAATGATTTCTTTCCAAACGCAGATATCTTTTGATTATTTAACACAAACATCTGTAGTGAATAGTTCGTAAGGTAAACCAGATTATCGACATAAAAGAATGAGGAAGTTGCCACTTGGGAAATTGTCATTTGGGAAGTTGCCGCTTGGGAAATTGCACATTTGGAAAGTTGCCACTTGGGAAAATACCCCTGGAAAGTTGTCGCTTGGGAAAAAGCCTTTGGGAAACATCACAAAGAAAATAACTAGTTTACAGTTGCATGCAAGGAACCATGAATGTAAGGAAACAGGCAGTATTAATTTAGTAGACTCGTATGTGAAGTCATTCTTGGATAACCCTGTAGCATATTTAAGGCATGAATAAAAGAATGATTAAACACAATACATTTTTCGTTTACTATATATGATTAAGAAACTTTTATAGATTTTGGATGTAGAATTTCGATTTGAAACCACTTAAATAATATTTCCGTATTTGGAAGTCTGTTCTGATCTTATTTCCACTATTTTATAACATGTTGAAATCTTTAAACTTTGACAGAGATCTTGTTTAGAAGTAAGTATTTGTTTAGTACAGTGGTAGGCGATTATATCAATGCTATAAAAACGGCTTTCGATTTCAATTTTGATTTATATCAAGCTTTAAACTGCATAGATACACATAAACTAGGAAACAAAAAGAAGTTATCGATTTAAAAGGCTTCTGTTTGATTACTTGTAAACTTGTAATTCGAAAAAAGCTTGTTAACTATCAAAACTTAAATAAAAAAGTCGTATTCATCGTATTGATATAATCGGCTACCACTGTAGTTAGCCCATAAGTTATCTGAAATTACAAAATAAATCTGATGAAGGTGTGAATATATGTTACCTCCAGCTGTAATTGTTCTGGTGAGACAACTTCATGAACAATTTGTTGAACAACCTTCTCCTCTTCCTCTTCTTGATCTACTTCAGCTTTATGTTCAGGTTCTTCAATCTAGATACATTCATTCAGTTTAGGATTGTCAGGGGCGTACTAAGGGGTCCTATGGATATACATGTCAGGGCGTACTAGGGGGTCCTATGGGTAAACATGTCAGGGGCGTACTAGGTGTTCCTATGGATAAACATGTCAGGGGCGTTCATTAAGGATTTGAAACTCCATTCTGAAAGTTGTAAGCTGTTGGCAAATCCTTGCATTTATCATTTGATTTTTACAAAGATATTTTTTGATTTTAAGAGCTTAACATGTTTGCTTATTGGTTCTGAGCTGAAAACTTTAGAATTGTGGATATCAAGATCAATGCTTGATCTCTTCTTTTTAATAATCTCCAGATTAATATATAATCCAAGATAAGTATCTTGGAAAGTGTCTGAACTGCAACCAGCCAGTGTGGATTGTAGAAAACGAACAGCCAATCAGAGGCCGAATAAATTAGAAATTTTGGTGTTCAATCAATTACAGAAATCTCATTGGTCCAAACCCAGCAGCGGGGATATTTAAAAGATAGATTAAGCAGTGTCGACATACATACAGTGATTTATCAATCAGTATTAAAGGTATCCAATTCTAAAGTTTTCAGCTCTGATTTGTTTTAATTGTAATTTCAGAAGGTTTAGAAATATTTCATTGGTTAAATACATGAGAGTTGACCAATAAGAGATGGGTTTAAGAACGAGTTTAATATACTACCTCTGCTTCTGATGTTGCATCCTCAAAATCTTCAAGCTCTAATTAAAGAAAAAAGTATTAAAGGGGCTAAATATGTAATTACAAGCAAACCTCCATTTTAAGAGTGATATTCATTTCTGATACAAGATATCCCTTTAAACCTCTCTCTGAGCTAATCAATGACGATATTGTCATTTTCCTAAAAAGAAATGCTGAATTGTGTAAATTTTCTCTAAACATAAATTCGCAAATCACTTTCACAGAAAAAAAGCAATTGAAAATAAACAGTTTTTAGCCAAACAAATACAGACATCTCATCCATCCTTTATCAGACAAAGATTTGAAGGCTACCATTGTGAATCAAGCATTCCACTCTAAACATTGAGGATCACTTGAAATTACGATTACAGTCCCTTTAATTGTCTAAACCAGTTTACAGTCCCTTTAATTGTCTAAACCAGTTTACAGTCCCATTAATTGTCTAAACCAGTTTACAGTCCCAATAATTGTCTAAACCAGTTTACAGTCCCTTTAATTGCCTAAACCAGTTTACAGTCCCTTTAATTTTCTAAACGAGTATACGCTCCCTTTAATTGTCTAAACCAGTTTACCTTAAAACACGCCTTCTGATGTATTAAGATAAAAAGTAAGTGCATTAAAATATGAACATGAAGAATAAAGTCCAAAATAATCAAAGCATTTATTTCATCAGAAGGAGTGTTATAAAGTACAGAATTAAAATTATAAGTATTCAAGATCAAATCAAATAGTAAAAACGCTTAGAAATCTTAACTTACAAAATTTAAATAAAACTTAACTTTTCAACATTTTTACAATTTTAAAAATAATGTAGAAAATGGTCGAAATAGCGGTTTTTACCAGATCTGAGATTTTAAAAGCTTAAACCCGAGTAAACCCCGGCCTATTCAAAGACTCGAGCGCAGGTAAAACCCAAGTCAGGATTGGTTATGATTCGACCAATGAAAGACTGCTTAGAAAGCTTTCTCTCTGTAGAAGACAGCTCAGCTGTGACAAGGAGGTGGGGCTTCTACGGCACAGGCAGGGATTCTACCTTCTTGGTTTGTTGGAGCCTCCTGGGGTCCGGCACGGATTCTCTGCAGAAATGTCTTCAGTTGAGATTTATTCAGCTCCTATAACACATAGTTCATCATTATTATTTCAGATAGCTTTTGCTTTAACCAACAAACACATGCTTTGGATTTCCTTTCAAGGCTTAAAGGGACTGTAAGCGTAATTTCAAGTGACCCCTAATGCAAAGATGGCATTGCCCGATTTACAACGATACCCTTTAAACCTTTAGCTGACCATGAAGTACAGATATTTCATTGTAGCTCTTAAATACTTTGTAAATAACTGTAAAAAATGGAGTGTACGCTAACGTACTGTGTTAACTCAACAGGATGATGATTCCTGGAAAATATGGAAAATTCCAAGAATGTTAGGCATGGAAAGTCAATTGCGGTTGTGTATACTCTGTGTACATATTGAAACCAGTTCTCTCTGGGCGGAATTTGTAGACAATAATAGATGCATCAGTGTTCGTTTAGTATCCGAGGAGGTTAAAAGCATTAAATTTTGATAATTTTGATAATTCACTTAATAATTTCCTATGACCAGAATATTTCATTGATTTTTTATGTGAATGATGGATCCCAGTCAGGCTTCGACATCCGTCTTGTGTTTACATTAGCGCCCAGAGACAGTACACTGCAGTACTAAAGATGTGTACACTTCTGAAATGACTTTCCTTGCCTTACATCCTTGGAAAATTCTATGTCCAACGTGATTTTCAAAAATTTCAATGTGAATGTTTATGTTCTGGCAGTTCTAGAAAGTAAATATTAATATTCCTTAAATAAAAACAGCTGTTTAACAATTAGACGCGTATTTGTAGTTAAGTAAGGAAACGTCTGTCATCCTTGACCAGTCAACAGTTGTTAATCCAGGGGTAGACCTCCTCGTCAAATAAAAACAGCTTTTTAACAATAAGAAGCGTATTTGTAGTTAAGTTAGGAAACGTCATCCTTGACCAGTCAACAGTTGTTAATCTGGGGGTAGACCTCCTCGTCAAATGAAAGGTCACAATTGAAATTATGTTTACAGTCCCTTTAATAATCCCAGGAAAAGCCAATAATAGCAAATGAAGACTTGTTGAAATCTCTTGGAATTTTGCTAAAATCTCATGAGTTAGTTATATACAAGAATACCCACAAAAGTTGAGACTGTAAAGACGACCAGAAGCTCTTGAAATATGACAGTCCCCGGATTAAAATATGTATTCTGCCTTAGATATAGTAACATAATGGCTTATTCAATGATTTGGCAAAGAACCTAAAAAGTTTACAGTTGCAGGGAATCGTGAATGTAAAGAAACAAACAGTATAAATTTCGTACAATCGTCTCTGAAGTCTCATCCTTTGTGGTTTATCCCTGAAATTCAAAAACTTTTCGAAAGGATTAATTGATGAATGAATTACTCTTTTTAAGTATAAAAAGTGATTTTTGATTATTTTAACCTGGAATGCAGCTTCAGTATCACCCTGATGAGCAGTTAGCATGGTTACAACATCCTCTCTGGAGAACTTACCCCGGCTCATTAAATCATCATACTGAACAAGTTCATCAGTTAAAAAATAGAAGTCTTATGTTAAACCTATGTTTTCAGAACTTGACCGTTTTCAAACTTATGCCTGTCAAAAGACAGGACAGTTTGCCGTCAAAACATTATTTAAAACTTTTCTTTCATGAATAACTATTGTTGGATATACTTTCTAATGGTAGCACCAGTCAGATTAGAGTGTATGTATGCATTCTCACCAATTTATCAATTTGAGAGGGTTTGGCACTGGATAGCACCTGAGATTTTAAAAGCTTAAACCTAAGTAAGGCCCAAACTTGGGCTTAGATAGAACCCAAATCCAGGATTGGGTCTGATTCGACCAATGAGAGACTGTTTTTCCGATCAGCTGTGACAAGGAGATGTAAATTTCAAAAATTCAAACTTTATGTAGATACATTTTTTTCATAGTATGTTTATTTTGTATAATTAATAAAATTTGACACCTCAAATAGTTCATGAGATTTTAAATGTACAAATATAAAAGACTTTACGAAATTCACGATCATCAGCTGCTGAAGACTCAAGCCTTAAAGAGAGAAAACCCCAAGATGGTTGGTTCTTACTAAACTCAAGTCCATCCAAAACCCAGGTCTTGACTTGAGCTTTACTTGGGTCTAAGCAGACGCAAAGACCGGGTTTTACTCGGGTTTAAGCTGTTAAAATCTCATCTCTTGTAAGAATGCATACACACTCATATCATTGGTGCTAATATGATAAAGCATATTTCAAACAGTGTTATCATTAAATTTACTAACAATTCTATTTGATTTCCAATCCCATTTGTTAAACAGAAGAGAGTCTCTATTCCAACTAGAAGATTCCTTCAGATTGTAAAATCTGGATAAACATGGAATATTGGTTAAACACTTTTCTAACCTTCTTCTGCCGGGTCTCCACACAGTCTGTCACCGCCACCCATATGTTTCCTTTGTTGGCCCTCAGTGCCTCACGAGCCTCCAATTTGGAGATAGTTCCTGATCAAATATTTGAATTGGTGGATAGTTAAAGGTGGTATTTGAAAAATACACCCCTGAGACCAGATTTAATGAATAGAAAGAAGTAGCTAAACAGCACAAACATGATTCAACCACTTTTCTTTTGTACCGGTTCAAGCAGAGGAGAAGTGGTTGAACCACATTAATTGGTTCAACAATATCGCACTATTGATTGATTGATTGATAGCTCACCTACAGTATTCTCCTCAGCTTCATGTCCCACATTGCTGGCCAAAGTCATCACAGTTTCAATCATGTTTCCCCAGTTCTCATTCAACCAGTCCACGGGGTTACCAGCTCCACAGTGTACTGCTGCTACCTGTACATGTATGCGTACATTTTGTTAAAATTGTCTTTTATTACATTAAAAATATATGTTTTTATATTAGTTATAAAAAACTAACCTTATAGAAAATACATGACTATACTATTATCTAGCACAATGTTTTTTATAACTTTTTTATATCCACAGCAATAGAGACACTAGAAAAGGATTTTTTTGATATCCACAGCAATAGAGACACTAGAAAAGGATTTTTTTTTATCCACAGCAATACAGACACGTGGCGTGGTGGCGTGAGTAAGATAAAATTTAAATCTGTTCAGATAAGTTATCAAGCTACAGGTGAAGTTTTGCACTACTATTGTGAATATTGGGATTAGAACCCTTAACATTAAACCAGGTTACAAATCCTACTCTTCTTTTTGAAAAATAGAACTGAAAATGTCCAGCCCATCTTATTTAATACCTGAATATCAATTGTCCAGCCCATCTTATTTAATACCTGAATATCAATTGAAGAGAATCCAAACTCCTCGGCATCCTGAGCAAAATTATCGATTAAGAATTATGATTATGCAATTCTTTATAAAAAGCTGTTTTTTTTGTTTGGAACAATTTTTATTTTCTAAGAACTATATACCCAGCTCTTTACAAAGGAATGGTTCAATATTATTTAATGATAAACCATTTGGCTACGCCCCACTATAGTTTCAGTAGAAGTAAATATTTCCATTTACTGATAGCGCCGATTGAAGGATTCATAACTCTGATTGGATAATGAGAAAGATTGAAAGATGTTACCGCCATACTATTTTATTGGTTCAGAATAGACAACAAACACATGACTGAACCCTGATTGGATCAGGCGCTAATGGACTCGGCATACAGGAGTTTCCCTCGGGGGTTTATTATTGAATACATTTGGGGGTTTAAATTTCCACTTTTCTGATAATAAATGATACATTGTTTAAGGGGGAGGAGAAGGGAAGCAAAAATTATTATTTTTTGTGTATTGGACCAAAGTATCAAAATTTAAAAGTATATTTCATAGTCTGTAATTAGGTTTGGAGACTTGAGATGTTTTTATACAGGGTGTCCCAAAAAACATGGGAATTCAGTGACGAATGGTATATCGTCTTTGTTATGAATTAGCAATGTAATACCTAATTTCAAAAGCCATAATATAATTATGTCTGCTAGAGTTCAATTTATGAAAACGGTAAAGATGTGCAATTTTCTTGGTTTACTAAGTACAACAGTATGCAGTCAAAACGTAAACAAACAAAATGTAAACATAGCAGACGAAACTCTTACAGATTACAGCTTTCTCAGAAGGTATCACTATACTAAATCAAAGAATTATTTGAAAAGACGATATCGAATTCGTCACTGAATTCCCATATTTATTAGGGCACCCTGTACTTACCCTAAGAATTTGGACAAGCTGTATACTAGAATTTGATTCTTTCTTTCCAACTGTCAAATCTTCCATGGATCGGAATCTAGAAATAAAAACAAAAAAGTAAAAGCAAAATTTTTAAACTCAACTTTTTTTAAGTGGAGTTTAAATTCAACATTAAAAGGACTGTACGTGTAATTTCAATTCACTTTATCTGATCAGAGCTGAAAACTTTAAAATGGTGGACATCAAGATTAATGCTTAAGTCGCATGAGATATCCAAGAAAGAAGTTTAAAATTCTACCAATCAGCGACCAGCGTGTCAAGTTTAGATGCACTCTAAACTTTTGAAAAACTGGTTTTTAGTTTTAGCGCATTTCTGGTGATGATGATGTCATATCAATTGAACTAATTTGATTGTTTGAACGAATGTAAGTTTTGGATTAATGTTTATGAAGACTAACGTTCAAAATGACTATAGTCCTCAAATGTGATAAAATTGTTTTTTTTTTAATAAGTTCATATTAACATGATTAAATTTATATTTGTTTGAATGCTCTAAAAGCCGGCTTGTGAACAGCAGACTTTAGTTGAATCGGATATTAGTCCAGTCGATATCGCATCCTAACTTGAGTAACTGTAATTGTTATCGAAAGTAACTTTTATACAGTAGGGATATCCAAAAAGAGAGGATTTTAAGAAGAAAATCAAAAGTGTGTCCAGTGGATACTCAGATTAAGTAATCAGGATTAAGGATATCTCATTCTAAAGTTTTCAGCTCTGGCAGGAATTAGAAATGCATATTTTTGTTAATTTAAACTGTATATATATTTATTTGTGATTTCTCTGCAAAAGTGTCTTGCGCATTTATTGCTTATGAGAGACAATTGAGAATTTCATAAAAATTAGAACTTTTGTTGTAAATCGAGAATTGCTATATTTGGATGAAGGGGATGGTGACTTCGTGAATTACGAATTCCAATAAAAAAGAACTAAACTAACTTTGTAATTTTTAAAGTTTGGAATCATGAGAGGCGGCGGTAGGCGATTATATTAATATAATGAAGACGACTTTCGATTTCAATTTTGATTTAAATCAAGCTTTTGAACAGCATGGATACACATAAACATGGAAACAAAGAGAAACTGTCAACTAAAAAATTTTCTCTTTAATTACTTGTAAAATTGTAATTAGAAAAAAGCTTGTTAAAAATTTAAACTTAATTGAGAATATCGTCTTCATTATATTGATATAATTGCCTACCGCCGTATAATCTTTGGCTAATGATTGCATTTGCGTAGTTTGGTTTAAATCTTTATATTTACCTCGCAAAGTCAGATATACTACCGGACATACCGGACTATAGACAAACAAAATATATTACACATTGAAACAAAAGATGTATACCGGACTCTGCAGCAAATGGGTTTATGTAAACCCTTTGCTTTAAAAAAAAACAAAATTAAAACCAATTACGTTAAACCCAGAATTTAAGAGAAATTAAACGAATATATAAAATGTCGTCTTCTATACTTTTACGGATAATGGAATGCTGGAGATATTCAGTTTTTTTTTAATAGTTATATGAAGCTTTGTAAAACTGTTCCCATGCATTTAATGGATATTAATTTATTTTTTAACAATTGATCAGATTCAGGTATAATAGTATAAAGTAAAAACCGTACTGACAAATTGTCAAGACGACATTTTATATATTCTTTTGATTCTCCGAAGCTCTGGGTTAAATGTTAATTTCTAAAAAGTATTTTATTTTGTTCCTTGAGATTTGGAGGTGGAGCACCAAGGAAACCTCTGTCCATGGATAATGTGAAGGATTTGATTGTATTCTTGTTCTGAACCTAAACAATATTGTATTCTTGTTCTGAACCTAAACAATATTGTATTCTTGTTCTGAACCTAAACAATATATATTGTATTCTTGTATTGACCTAAACAATATTGTATTTTTGTTCTGAACCTAAACAATATTGTATTCTATATTTATGAAATGTATTTCTATGAAATGTCTTTCTATGACACCGGAAAATGAACGATGATTTTGAGAATAAACAAAATATTCTTTTTAAAATGATTGAAAAAAAGATCGATATGAAAAAGCCGAACGCGGGGCTAGAATATGGTCGGGGCTGGGTTGTAAAAGTTGGAAAGTACTAAACATTTGGGTATACAGGTCCACTACAAATTTGAAGTTTAGGCTATGTTGATAATCCCACTACTAACCTGTAGTTTAGGGTATCCTTCTCCACTACTAACCTGTAGTTTAGGGTATCCTCCTCCACTACTAACCTGTAGTTTAGGGTAGCCTCCTCCACTACTAACCTGTAGTTTAGGGTATACTAACCTGTAGTTTAGGATAGCCTCCTCCACTACTAACCTGTAGTTTAGGGTAGCCTCCTCCACTACTAACCTGTAGTTTAGGGTAGCCTCCTCCACTACTAACCTGTAGTTTAGGGTATCCTCCTCCACTACTAACCTGTAGTTTAGGGTAGCCTCCTCCACTACTAACCTGTAGTTTAGGGTATCCTCCTCCAATACTAACCTGTAGTTTAGGGTATCCTCCTCCACTACTAACCTGTAGTTTAGGATATCCTCCTACACTACTAACCTGTAGTTTAGGGTATCCTCCTCCACTACTAACCTGTAGTTTAGGGTATCCTCCTCCACTACTAACCTGTAGTTTAGGATAGCCTCCTCCACTACTAACCTGTAGTTTAGGGTAGCCTCCTCCACTACTATGGCTAACATAGCCACTATCAGGCCCTGGTTGGACTTCATTGCTACCAAACTCCCGACGGGAAAGATAACTTCCAATACCTGGAATAGTCAGTCAATTATTATTTCTGTCAATTTATCTTTTAATGCACATATAAATACTAGAAAGAAGGAGAAGCAATCAGATATCTTAAATCACGATAAGAATTAGATACATGAAGTAACATGAAGTAACATGAAGTAACATGAAGTAACATGATGTAACATGAAGTAACATGAAGTAACATGAAGTAACATGAAGTAACATGAAGTAACATGAAGTAACATGAAGTAACATGAAGTAACATGATGATTGATGATTGCTTACCCCAGCTCTCAAGCCGTGATTGACTTACGGAAATGCCGGAATTAGGCCTGATTAAAATAAAACCGACCTTGGTTGGTTTTAGTGTCTTTGAGTCTTATTCTAATCAAATCCCAAAACCGCCAATTTCAACCATAAAAATCCACCAAATAAATTATTTAACTCATTTAATAAACTCTAATCTGTGGAAAATTAGTCGCAACTTATCCCAAAAGCTCGAGTCTTAGATTTGTTTCAATGACAGCTTAGTCTTGAGCCTTAATTTTCCCAAGTTTTTAAATCCCGAGCTCAGTACAATTGTCTTGCATAAAAAGTTTTGAGTTTGAAAATTGAATAATAAAGATATATAAAAATTGAAATAAATAGTTATTTTATTTAACCTCCTGGCCCTCTGGTGGAGCTTGTGACAGTTGACATGAATGTCACCGGTTCCTCAACATCTGAGCTGTCTGTTTGACCGGCCAAATAGCTCTCAGCTGGACCACCCATGTGCTCAGAGTTTATCGAGTTCTTACTGTTAGCGCGGTAAAATGTCCTGAAACAGTTCTTTTCTTTTGAATACTTCTAACTAAAACTAAAATCCAGGCCAAGTTAAAGGGACTGTAGGGATAATTTAAAGTGATCCTCAATTTGTAGAGTGGCATATTCGATTCACAACAGTACTCTTTAAACCCGTGACTGATCAAGGTTGTCGAACCTATCCTTATCAATCTACAGAAACGATTTAAATTGTTGAACACTATGTTAACAAATGATTTTAAGTTTAAAATATATTAATATTCACTTTCTAGAATTGACAGACAATAAATATTTTCTTTCGATTTTTTTAACTTGCTTTAAATTATTTAAAATATTCTGTATTTGCAAGGGACACAAGTAAAGGATCAGCTGCGTTGAGTTCACACTGTACGAAGTGTACACCGGGTTTTACAGGAGTTCAAGTGCTTTTTGAGAGATTTACACATGGAGTTCTTTGTACTTGGTGAATAGTGAAAGGTTTAAAGGGACCGTTATGAAGGGTGACTTGAAATTATCCGTACAGTCCCTTTAATTTTTATCTATAGTAATGTTTAACATAAATATCATGGATACCTAGTTTGGAGTATTCGGCTCTTCATAGATTTAACTTATACGCAATCCTAGTTATAAATCAATCATCGATATCCTACCTCCTTTGTTGATCCATCCAGTTTTCTCCATCCAGTCTTTGATCCATGTGAAAGGATTGTGCTCGCTTCAAGCTTGGTTCAAGGTTCCGGGAGAACCGTTTAGACCGAAAGTTTCGTTTTCCATTTACCTGGAACAAAAACATTTTGATGCTTAGAAGTTAGTTTTTGTAAACTTCAATAAACGACAAGGATAAAACAGATATAAGATATTTTCTAATCACATTAGACGTCCTTTATACTTTATAATAGAAAGAAACAATAATCAAAAGAGTTTTAACAGTAATTATAGAAATACCTGAGCATTTTCTTTGCATTTAATGATTAGTTTTTTAGCCAATGAAGACGATATTTATATATTATAAAAGCACAAATGCCGCTGAGCATTTCAAAATCTAGAGGAACTTTCAGTTTTTTCACAGTTTCGGATATTCTTGCAAGCCTGCAAAAACTTGCAGAGCGGGAAAGCTAGTTTTTTGATTCCTTTCTTTAAATACCAATATAAAACTCTAGCTAGCATTATTGTAAAAACGGTATAAGCCAATTTTTTTTTCTAGGGCTATGCAAATTATATTTTTTATGTATTTTCCAAATCTTAAAGCGGAGTTAAAAATGACGTTATGGCATAAAAGCTCCTTACCTGCTCTAAACCTCTTCGGGCAAAGTTTTGTGCCATAAGCTCAGGCTCTGCCAAGGAATGTCCTGACAAAGTTCTGTACATTTTCCCCTCCATTCTTCCTTCCATTCTTTCATCCAATCGACCCTCTAAATACCCTTCCATTCTACCATCCATTCTACCATCCAATCTGTCCTCTACTCCACTATCCAAATGTCCGTGCTAAAAAAGATTTTTTTAAAAATTTCAAATAGGTCTTAACTAGAACAGAAGTAGTTCATTACTTGGTTAGATATTCACAAGAAGACTTTAAATTAAGCCCCTTGCATGGTCTAAAAAATCATTATAATATTTAAACCGGTTCTGACCCATTCATTTTATTGTATCATTCTGCATGACATGTAGTTTTTGGCTTGTTTTTTGCATATATTTTCTGTCTGGGTCAAAATTTGGCTTAGTGTAAAAAGAACAAAAGTTGAGAACAAACAGTCAAAAAACATGTGCCTTTCCACATCACCAATGTCATGTCACCTGGGGGATATGCTCTGATCGATAGGACTGGTTTCCCTGGTTCTGTGCCCAGGCCTTCAACTCTTCCTTCTGCCTCGTCCAGTTCTCCTCAACCCACCTACTCTCCTCCTAGCAACAATATTAACCCATTAGTACCAACAGTTCTCCTCCACCCACCTACTCTCCTCCCAGCAAGATTAATAACCCATTAGTACCAACAGTTCTCCTCCACCCACCTACTCTCCTCCTAACAACAATAATAACCTAATAGTATTTAATTATAACCCAGTAGTTTTTTACGGGCAACACCGGGCACTTCAGCTAGTTATTTATATAAATAAAGTAGTAATTTCTGTCTGTCTGTCTGTTTGTATAATGGTTTGTTTGGATGTTTGATCATAACTCATAAACCTCTTGACAGATATGCCTCAAATTTTGATTAGAAAAATTAGCAAAACCACAGTAATAGTAAAGCTGGGTTTCCAAGGTATTTTTAAAGATAAATATAAAAAAGTGAAATTACCTTTGGTTTTGGCGACATGAGGGCTCCTCGAGCTTTTAACCTTTCGGTCAGCTTATTAGTTATATATCCAACCTAGATACAGGTAAATATGTTAGTTATATATCCAACCTAGATACAGGTAAATATGTTAGTTATATATCCAACCTAGATACAGGCAAATATATTAGTTATATATCCAACCTAGATACAGGTAAATATGTTAGTTATATATCCAACCTAGAGACAGGCAAATATGTTAGTTATATATCCAACCTAGATACAGGCAAATATGTTAGTTATATATCCAACCTAGATACAGGCAAATATGTTAGTTATATATCCAACCTAGATACAGGCAAATATGTTAGTTATATATCCAACCTAGATACAGGCAAATATGATAGTTATATATCCAACCTAGAGACAGGCAAATATAATAGTTATATATGCAACCTAGATACAGGCAAATATGATAGTTATATATCCATCTAGAGACAGGCAAATATGATAGTTATATATCCAACCTAGATACAGGCAAATATGATAGTTATATATCCAACCTAGATGCAGGCAAATATGTTAGTTAGTTATATATCCAACCTAGATACAGGCAAATATGATAGTTATATATCCAACCTAGATACAGGTAAATATGTTAGTTATATATCCAACCTAGATACAGGCAAATATGTTAGTATATGTCAAACAATAAATAAAAAGCCATAACATATGAGGGATCGACCAGTTTTTAATAGCTCCTTATAATTATTCAATTAAGAAACTACAGCATTTCATTGTCCCTGTAATAGTCTTGTAAAAGGAAGGACAAGAGTCTTGAACCTTCTTACCTCCGAAATTGTGCCTCCTGCCTCCGAAATGGGTCCTCCCATTTCTGATCCTGCCTCCAATTTGTTCAATGAGGGATTGGAGGAAGCTTTTTTGAGAATTCCCTGAAAGTTGTTATAAAGGTATTTTTTAAATCTGCGAACTTTTTTTGTGTTGTTTTACGATGTACACTAAGAGAACATGTTCACAATTAAAATAGAAGATGGGCGTGAAGCGCCCTAAAATGTTAGTATCTTTAAAATATGAAATAATAATAATATAAAAAAACACATTTTAATACCTTAGCAGGGGCTGGTGCATCAGGGTTTGGTCTGCGAAAAATTTATTTTTCTAATTGAAAAGAATGTAACTATCAATTTTACCGCCTTTTGACCAATACCAACCCTAGATTCCCCCAACAGAGGGATGTTGAGTTATCTAGTAAATAGTCATTTTGAATTTGGAGTATGAAAGAAGGAGTAAAACGTTCCTTAGAGTCTGATTTGATTTGATTTTATTTAATTATCCTATCATACCACTCTGCGAAGTTTTCGTGAACAAATTTGTGCATTTTCATCTCAAAAGACAATATGCTCTGGATGTTTGTAAGCAAAATTGGTCTTGGAAACCCTTGGTACGGTCAAATTCCCTTAATTTCCATGTACAGTAGAAGTTTAACAATTATAAATTTCAAAATTAACTTATTCTTTAAAAAATCAGTTAGTCTTTCAAGTGGTCTCAAAATTTAAAGTATCATAAAATTTTACATATTTTAGAAATTTTGAAATAAGAAAAAGTATATTTTCCTTTTTGTAGATTTGACGTTTCCTGTAGACTCACTAGAAGAATCGGCGTACACAGGGTTCATACTCATGCCCTTAAAAGATTTCAAATTGTTAAAAAAAAATAAAAATAATTTTGAAAAATCTTTTCTTTTTTAGACTTTACCTTATTTTTATCCATTCTCACAGCATAGTAGGTAGCAATAGCATCATCAATATCACTCTCATTACTTTCACTTAATTATATTTTTTGTATAATTCTATTTTTAATATAAATATTTTCATGTCAAAAAGTTTTACCAAAATATGTTTTTTTTTTATAGAAAAAGTGTTTTTTTATTCAAAAATATTCTAAAAATATTTTATGGAAAAATAAATCAAAACTGTTTCAAACTAAAAATAAGTAACACCCCACACAAATGATAAAATGATAAAAAATTAACTCGTTTTTAAGTCTTAAAAAATATTATTAGAATCCTTTAATTATTGGTACCTTTCACATTAATAAAATATTTGAACAATCTCTTTAAAGGAACTGTAAGCAAAATTTCAATTTCTTATTGTTTTAAATTAAATTTTTTACCTAAGTTTCTTCTTCCCTTTCTTTTCTTTTTCTTTCTCTCTCCTTCTCCTTCCCTTCTCCTCTTCACTTTCACTTTCCGAGTAGTTTTTCTTCTCCCTTCTCTTCTCCTTCTTATCTCCCTCATCTCTTCTTCTCTCCTTTTTCCCCACTTCCTCTCTTCTCTTCTCTTTTCTTTCTAGCTCCGAATCTGAACTGTCAAACTTCTTCCGGAGTTTCCGGACTTTTTCTTTCTTTCCAGGTTTCTCATCTCTAAACATTGAAGAGATATAACTTAAAGGAATTGAAGATGATATTTAAAGTGAGCCTTCAATTGTAAATTGGCGTGTATGATTCACAACAGTACACTTAAAGGGACTGTAAAGGAAAAATGAAAGGGGGTAAAGGATGAAACCTGAGAATCTCAGAAGTTGAACGATACCTATATGACATCTATCTGATGTTCCTGTCTCGAGAAATTGATATATAACTGCAGTGTCAAAATTATATATATATATATATATATATATATATATACAATTTGTATGAAAGTTGTAGTATTAAACAGATCATATTCAACAAATACGCAACCAATCTGAAAACGATTAATCCCACAGGAGCCTGAGAATCTCAGGGGTTCTCCCATTATAATTTTTTAATTTTCATTTTCCATTTTAATAGATATAATTGATAATATTATTACATATAGTCCGTATAGTCACCAGAATAGTAGTGCAGTATATTGGTCACGTGATTTCGAGCTAGAAACACGACAATATTCTCCACATTATGGTTGCAGACCTTTATATTTCAATATTTGATAATTTGAGAATTAGAAATATCATGGGTCTTCGACATTAGGTTGCAAAATTATCAGTTTTTTTAAAGTAAACTTTTACAATATATAATATATAATATATAATGAAGAGTAAGAGTGAACACACCGTAATCTTATAGAGTGTGCAATATGTATGTTACTGTACCTAAGTGTACAATATGTATGTTACTGTAGCTAAGTGTATAATATGTATGTTACTCTACCTAAGAGCTAGTTTAGTTGTTCTGCTGCACATTGTACATACCCGTACACCAGGGTTGTTCATGTACGTACAGTGCTCACAAGTCCAGGACGCCCTGTTAAATATTAATTTTAATTTTACACACTATACAAGGTTACCCACAAAGGGTGAAATTTTAAAGACGACTTGTCCGTTTCCTTATATTCATGAATCTCAGCGACTGTAAATATGTTTCTTTCTTTGCCAAATCATTTAATAAGCCGTTAAATATTCTTTAAAGAAGACTTAATGTTAATCTTGGAGTTGTCAAATTATGTTAGTTTCAGGTCGTCTTTACAGTCTTAACCTTTGTGGATAATCCTGTATTTATTATTTTTCTTTTTAAGATAAAATCCAACCTGAATTTGACATTTTATGACTTTTCTAAAAAAAAATTTTTAAGGTAGAATAAATGGGGAGATGGTGGGAAGTGTTAACAAAAATCAATAAATGTTAATGTTTAAAGTAAAACCTAACATTTTTTTTATAAAGCTATCTTAATTCATGATTTCATTAATATATAACTTTTTCAACATTTATTTCAGATTTAAATTTTCAATTTTTATATTGTTTACCTGGGGGACTTGTCACTGTGTGAAGATAATGAAACAAATTCTTCATCTGATTCTCCTGTCAACATTGGAAACCGGTTTTATTTTCAAAACTAGGTTTTAAACCGGTTTTATAGAGTGTAAACAATGATGTGAACTGGTTTTAGAAAAAAACAATAATGCATGAGAACTAGCTTCGATTGCAATTAAAGTCAAGTGTTTAGGTCTACAAGAATATAACACGTTCTTGATGAACATAAAGTGAATCCTAGATATATGAATACATAGCAAGAGTTTTGTATAATGTATAATTCTAAAAAATCTTCTTTTTATTTTTAACTCTAGGTAAATTAATAGCCCTAAAATATGAATGCAATTGATATATCAATATTAAACTCATTTTTCCACAGCATTTTATCTTAAATATGTAATACGACATTAAAAAAAACTTGATATGTATTCATATATCTGGGATTCATGAACCTGGTTTGGAAGCGTGAATGATGGGTACATCAGGTACAACCCCCCTAATTTTGGTAAAGGGGGAATTGACTTTTGCACCCCCCCACCCCTTGTAACCGTCTTTGCTTTGTATATGGATAAAAATTGTTTTCAACTAGCTTTGGAACCCAGCGTTGCCCAAAACCAAGCTAAGAACATTTCCGTGATTCTTCCGAGTTCCCCAATCAAAAATTGAGGCAAATCGGTCTAGGGGTTCTTGAGTTATGATCGGACAAACAAACAAACAGACAAACAGAGATTATACATTATATATGGAGATAAGATGGTTCCAATTGTTTCCTGTGAAAAAATCAAACATTGGAAACCGGTTTTATTTTCAAAACTAGGTTTTAACTAGGTTTTATAGAGTGTAAACAATGATGTGAACTGGTTTTAGAAAAAACAGTAATGCATGAGAACTAGCTTCGATTGCAATGAAAGTCAAGTGTTTAGATCTACAAGAATATAATACGTTCTTGATGGGATTCACTGTATATAAGTTCATGAACCTGGTTTGGAAGCGTGAATGATGGGTACATCCGGTACAACCCCCCTAATTTTGGTAAAGGGGGGAATTGACTTTTCCACCCCCCCCTTGTAACCGTCTTTGTTTTGTATATGGAGAAAAATGATTCTAAACTAGCTTGGGAACTCAGCGTTGCCCAAAACCAAGCTAAGAACATTTCCGTGATTCTTCCGAGTTCCCAAATCAAAATTTGAGGCAAATCGGTCCAGGGGTTCTTGAGTTATGATCGGACAAACAAACAACCAGACAAACATAGATTAGAACATTATATATGGAAATAAGATGGTTCCAATTGTTTCCTGTGAAAAAATCCTCCGAATCTGTTGAAGCAGATCTATCCCGGTCTCCACGTGTTTTCTTCGAGTTCCTGGAGGCGTTTCTAGAGGCATTCCTGGGACAGAAAAGAAAACAGATAAAAACAACAAAACATCCTGAACAGATTGTTTCGCTATTTGTTTATAGTGTTGTTACCTAGACTGGCTGCTAGAGTTGTGTCTTGTTCTTTCCTTATGTCTGATGGATTTTGATCGTCTAGAGTTCCCGGATTTGTTAGAACGGTTTGATTTCTTAGATCTTGAGGATTTCTGGCTTTCACTAGGGGAGGAGGAACGTAAGTATGCCTTATGTTCATTGGAAATGATATTGCATGAAAATAGATGTTCTATATTGTTTAACATGGTTAAATTAGAAATTTAGAGGTTGTTCAATATTTTAAAGTATGGGCAGGGAGAGAGAGAAAGTGTTACAGTAGACTTTAATGAGTAATGCTAACTCAACAGACTTTTATGATGTTGGTCCAAATATGTTATATTAAAAGATATGTAAAACAAGGGACCAAATATAATAAGAAGTTGTTGAACTTCTTAGACTAAGTTGAACCCCTTCTCTCCCTTTTGAACCAGATAGTTCAGCCGCAACAATTTCTCGCGCTCTTCAAATTTGAATTCCAATGATTCCTTGTTTAGCTCATGCATGCTCCGGTTCAAACTAACTCCCCCAACTCCCAGCATGCCTGGCATGCCTGGCATTCCACCCCAACCTTCAAATAAGAGGAGCATTTACTTACAGTACATTATGCAACAAAATAATCATTGTTACAAGCTGCGTCAGATTATAGAAAACCCTATGTTTGTTTTCAAATGCCAATACTTTGTTATTGTGATACAATAAGCTTTGCAATAAAGCTTTCTATTATTGAAAAATCCCCCCACTGCAGAACAAACAAATTTATTCAGTTTTGCTATGTAAAAAATAGGAACTGAGAATGACAATAACAACATTAAACTGTGTTGTTCTAACCCACTAGGAAATTGCTGACAAGAGATTTTTCTTAAAGGACTTGAGTCTTTGCCACAAACTCGGATTTTTAAAACCCAATTTCTTTAAAACCAAATGTCGTAGACCGTAGATATTTCAAACTATGAATTCTGGTGGATCAAACAATGTAAGTTTGAAATATGAAAGGTAAGCATCATATAGTTGTTGAGATATAGGTATTATAAAATTGGGATTTGTTGCAAAAACTCAATTCCTTTGAACATAACTGATACTAACCTGGAACTATTGAAGGAAATTGTCCATGCTGAATATTAAAGGGTAGATTGTTGTTTGACCACATATTGTTGTTGTTGTTGTTCCACAGTCTTCCATCTCCACCACCACCACCCAACATGTGCAAACTCTTCGTGGAGGTTGCTCTTTGGAACCCGAGGGATGGATTTGGATAACCAGGAACATTGGACATCTCGTCTCTCCAACGAACTCCTTCCGATGACTCCATGCTAGGGTCTAATCTTGCTCTTGCCAAGTCATGCAATGAGGAGGATCTGGAATAATAAAGATCTAAACTTTTGTGAGGAGTCTCATTAATCTTGAACATTTGAGCTCAATATCCAATGTGGGCTCTTTTAAATTTGTGGAACAATACTTGATTCCTTTATTAAATTATTCCTGTAGGGACTGACCATTAAATGATATGGAACAGGAATTAAATTAATCTGTATGTCTGTATAAGATGAAGGCTTGATCTTAAAATTTACAAAACAAAAGTTGACACTCAGGGGTGGATACAGAGCTAGGTGATCGTTGAAGCAATGGCCTCATCTCAGGAAAATTGCTCCCCCTAAAGAATTTCGGAGAGCTTCTAAAAATGGAGAGAAAATTACGAGTTGGCCCAACCCTATTAAGAAGATATTTCAGCTTCAGAAAAGCATTAGCATTATCAGTGTCATCTGTTAAAAGTGCTACTTAAGAATATCTTATCTCAGAGTTAGGAATATTCTTATTATTGCACTTACCGATTAACCCTGTTAGCAAATCTTCCTTTGGTTACACCCCTAGAACTTCTTCTGGAACCTTTAGCTCCTGTTCCTCCTGGGGGATAGTCTTCCGAGGGCTGTAGATAAAGCAAAATTTAAACAAATCTGATATTATTTAGATCTAAATATTTGATAATGTCCTTAAATATGATGAAAAATATACCTGAGATGGAAATGAGATGTCTTCATGATAATTAGAAGGTCCTCCTGCTGTCCAACCATTCCCATTCCAGTCTCCAGTTCCGCCTGGGGGCACCTCACCACGTGGCATATCTAGATTCCCGCCAAAACTTGGATAACTGGTTTGAGCTGGGAAACCTGCAAGTTGTAGTGAGGAGCCAGGATAGGCTGCGTTAGTGATCTGCTGGGCTGTTGGGTAGGAGGGACTGGCACTTGTTAGTGGATACTGTTGGTTGGGCGGATACTTGGTCTGTGGATATATCCTACCTCCGGGATATCCGCTTGCTTTGTTTGGATATATATTATTATTACTTGGATATCCATTATTGTTACTTGAATATCCATTGCTGGATTTTGGATACATTGATCCCTGGGCCGGATACATTGAGGGATACTGGGATGAGTTGGATATTTTCTTCGGATACGCCTGAAACAATAATACATTTCTTCAAGTACGCCCAAAACAATAGTACATATCTTCGAATACCCCTAAAAAAATTGTACATTTCTTGGGATTCTCATAAAACAATAATACTTTTCTTCGAATACCCCTGAAACAATAAAACATTTCTTTGGATTCTCATAAAACAATAATACATTTCTTCGGATACTCCTGAAACAATAATACATTTCTTTGAATACCCCTGAAACAATAATACATTTCTTCGGATACCCCTGAAACAATAATATGTTTCTTCGGATACCCCTGAAACAATAATACATTTCTTTGGATACCCCTGAAACAATAATTTGTTTCTTCGGATACCCCTAAAACAATAATACATTTCTTAGGATACCCCTAAAACAATAATACATTTCTTGGGATACTTGAAACAGTAATACATTTCTTCGGATACCCCTAAAACAATAGTACATATCTTGGGATACTCCTGAAACAATAATACATTTCTTGGGATACCCCTGAAACAATAATATGTTTTTTCGGATACCCCTAAAACAATAGTACATATCTTCGGATACCCCTGAAACAATAATACATTACTTCGGATACCCCTGTAACAATAATATGTTTCTACGGATACCCCTGAAACAATAATACAATTCTTCGGATACCCCTGAAACAATAATATGTTTCTTCGGATACCCCTGAAACAATAATACATTTCTTTGGATACCCCTGAAACAATAATATGTTTCTTCGGATACCCCTGAAANATTCACACAACCTCTATTTTTGAAGGTTTTAAAATATTTTCTCATGAAACACTTAATTTTATATTTTTTGTTATATTTCATAAATAAATAATTACTTTCTTATAATTACTCACTTTCAAAAAACTTACTCCAAAAAATTTCCTTTTTAGAGATCAGGAGTTTAAAATAGAATAAGGTTTTCCATTTAAAGGGACTGTTTACATAGTTTTAAGTGACTTTTAGCTGATTTACAGTACAACCCTAAAAAGCTCGCTTATTCGATGAAGAATGTTATTTATTATCTTAAATTTCAAACGTGGTTTCGCTCTAGAGTGACCCTTTAGTAAAAGTAAATTAAACCTATAAAAGTCTGACCCCGTCAACCTTGTTGCACCGGCTAGTCCTATTGAGTGTCTGATTTATTTACCCAATGTCCGGGCGATTCAGTACAAACTGGGACCGGAAAGGTTGACCCGGCTCCGAAATTCAAATGAACTAGGGCTGCCCGTGGGAAGGTCACATATACCTGCTAATATAACAGTCCTTTGGAAAATAAATATCTCCATTTGAATTACAAAATATTCCGTTTTTTCATAACACAAAAGAGGAAAAGTGAAAAATGAAAATGCTAAGTAGATTTTAAAAAAGTTTGCCTCTTTGAACTAAAATGCCGTGAGGGGAGTATCCATATGGTGGAAGGAAGGAGGAAGGGGGATTAAAGAGAAACAATTTACATAAAATCTTTTGAGGTTTTTGCCAAGAAAAACGAGTACATCTGCTCACTGGGCCTTTAAATTCTTTATATTCTTTAACCATAGCTATCTATCTATCTATCTATCTATCTATCTATCTATCTATCTATCTATCTATCTATCTATCTATCTATCTATCTATCTATCTATCTATCTATCTATCTATATATCTATCTATCTATCTACCTACCATATTAGGACTGGTCCACTGTTCCCTGGTAGAACCGGTTCTGCTGTGTTCACCGGCTCCCCCTACTCCTCCTGTAGCTGTGGGTCGACCAGCACCCGGCATAGGAATACTCTGGACAAAAATAGATTTAGTTTAAAAATTTGATTCTACCAGAATTATTTAACACATTATATGCAACACAATGCATTTTATTCAATTCAATACATTTCAGATTGAATTTCAAGAAAAAATCTATCTTTTCTTTCATCTTTTTTTTGTATTTAACAAATTTCAATATGTTCCTGCTTTCTTGTACTAGACTAAAACTTTTGAGGATTTTTCTAGTTAAATTGATGGATTTTTAAAATACCATAGAAATTAACAATTTTTCCCAGTCAAATTTTTTATTTAAGCCAGCTATAAACCTTCCCTGGGTCTTGTGAGTTTTTGATCGACTTTTTTTGGACACAACCAAACCAACAGACAAACCATTTATACAAATAGAATATGTTCTACCTGTGGTGTAGGCCTGGGTCTGTTTAAAGTTGACATTTGGGCCAGAGATGCAGATTTCTTCGGTAGTATTGGAGGAGGGGTACCTTGATAAATAAACATAGATAAAATTGGAAGGGGGAAGGGGGCAAAGACCCCCCTAAAAGCAATGCATTAATGTATGTATACCAGGGTAAACTATAGGTCTAACTTATAAAATTATGAAAAAGTATATTAGTGTTGAAAGTTAAAGCTAGCATGGAGATAAATGTGAAAACTAGCATGGAGATAAATGTGAAAACTTTGGAGATCACATTTTTGCCATCTCCTCGGACATTGCATTCAGTTGTGCAACTAGGGGGTGGGCAATCCGGATTACACCCCCCTCAACATATTTCGCCCCCTCTCGCCACTCACAGAGCCAAATTTTCAACAATTGAAAAACTCAGTTTTTTCGGCCTTAAACATTCAAAAGAAAGCTTTTCAAAGCTATTAAGAATTATTAGCTGTGTTGACATTATGGTCAGTTTTGTTATTATTATTTATTTTGTTGTTTGTTATTATTATTTTTGTTCTGGGCTTTTAGTTTAGAATGGAAGCCATGACCAAAGTAGTTGATATAAATCTCACACAGCGCAAGAAGGACGAAAAACAAGATTGAAGGATATGTGAATTTAAAATATATTTCAATGGAGAAATTACTTAATGACAGTAATTGTAACTTTGAGCAGAAACGAAACACATTTCTGTCAAAATACACACTTTAATATTGTCAAAGAATTTAAATTGATTTTTGAAACTTGCAGTTGAAGTTTACTAACACAAGTTTACAAGTAAACAAAGAGAAGCTGGTAGAGGATGAAATCCCCGAAAAAGGATTAAGAAATCCGCAAATTAGTCGTGTCGGAACCAGAGAAGACCTACTTAACTTCCTATCCTTTTAAACACTCGTTATTTATCATGCAATTATATCTAGAAGCAATAACAGTACTTCTAAAAGCTGTTAATTGGCAGTTTTTCTTTGCTTACTTGTTTATGTGCATTAATGGTGTTTGAAATCTTGGTATAATACAAATTGAAATTGAAAGTTGTCTTCATTGTATTGATACAAGCGACGACGACTGTAGGTCAGCAGTCCTTTCTACCTGTCTGAACTGGGACTGGAGGAGGAGGAGGAAGAGGTCGACCTGCCATAGGATGACCGGGCTGGGTTACCGGCTGCAAGCTGACCGGTTGAATGCTGGCAGGTAAAGACGGTTGTCTTTGAAGGGTACCAGATCTAGATATTTTTATCAAATAGAGAGTCAAGGATATTGGAAAAATAAATTACTCTTCTTATTTTGATCCAAAGTTGTTATATCATTATCATTATTATTCAAAAAAACAGCCTGGAAGGGACTATACACATAGTTTCAAGTATCCTTCCATTCACATGTTAGATTCACAACGATACCCTTAAAGGCTTTGTCCAATCAAGAACGAATAAAAATTCATGAAAAGAACTAAATTTCTATGAAATTCACGAAAAAAACGAAATGATCGCATAAAAGATCATATTTCCTTTTTTTTCATATTTTTATTCAACTACAAAGCACGAGATATTAAAAATAAAAAATCACAATTTACTATGTAGTTTGGACCCGCCTAACCAGAGTTGGTTGTTTTGATTGGTTTGGCCCATTATAAGCGAATAAGAATTGTAAATAAATAGATGGATGTACACTGTACAGTGTACATTTTAAACAAAACAATGATGATAAATCATGAAAAAGGTAAGGAGGGGGTGAAAAAGTATAAGGGAAAGGGTGGGCACTCAGCGGAAGGGTTGTAACAGAGGGAAACATAGATTAAAAGAACACTGATATGCCAAGTTCAACCCAGGAGTACATAATCAAGCTAACCTTGAAGCTGTTCTAGAAGGAGCAGGACTAGGTTCAGCACTCAGTCCTCCTGATCTTCTAGTGTTACGGCGAACAAGTTAATATCAAACTAAGTTTAAAAAAAGAATAACATGAAGGAAATACATTTAGAAATATAGAGATTTGGACAAAAAAGGAAGTTTAAATGCCAACTAGTTTCACTGAACAGAAAAACAGACATCCAGACAAACAGACAAACAGACAACTATAAAAAATAGATAAGAACTGAAAGACCGGTGTATATAATCAATATTCAAAATAATAACATGAACATCATACAAAAAACAAGAAACATGAAACTTAAAAACAATTCAAAGCTATGTTCAGACAAAACAAAAAACACAGTAAAAAACGACTAGACAGTATAAAAAATAAGTGGTTCCAAGGCAAGTATGGTTGCAAAGCTGAAACAATGGTATGCATATATACCAATACAATGCTAAACAGAAAATATTTCAGCTTAGTTTAAGTGGTTCCAAAGCAAGTATGGTTGCAAAGCTGAAACATAAGACAATTGTATGCGTGTATACCAATACAATGCTAACAATATAATATTTCAGTTTAGTTTAATTGGTTTCAAAGGAAGTATGGTTGCAAAGCTAAAGCATAAGACAATGGTATGCGTATATACCAATACAATGCTAACAATATAATATTTCAGTTTAGTTTAATTGGTTCCTAAGGAAGTATGGTTGCAAAGCTGAAACATAAGACAATGGTATGCATATATACCAATGCAATGCTAAACAGAAAATATTTCAGCTTAGTTTAAGTGGTTCCAAAGGAAGTATGGTTGCAAAGCTAAAGCATAAGACAATGGTATGCGTATATACCAATACAATGCTAACCAGATAATATTTCAGCTTAGTTTAATTGGTTCCAAAGGAAGTATGGTTGCAAAGATGAAACTTAAAACAATGGTATGCGTATATACCAATACAATGCTTAAACAGAAAATATTTCAGCTTAGTTTAAGTGGTTCCAAAGCAAGTATGGTTGCAAAGCTGAAACATAAGACAATGGTATGCGTATATACCAATACAATGCTAACAAGATAATATTTCAGCTTAGTTTAAATGGTTCCTAAGGAAGTATGGTTTCAAAGCTGAAACATAATTGAAAAGACTAAACGTTACCTTTCTGACATGATCGGTTCTTTTCGGGTGTTTATGATACATATCATCGCAAGCTGCGCAGAAGGCCTGATTGTGGCACTGCGCACATGACAGCAGAGCATTAGGTGATCCGCACAGATCACAGGGGTGCTGGACTCCACCTGATAATAATAGGTCAGAGGCAGAATTTAAAGAATTTGAGCCGCGGCTTAAATTTAAACCTCGGCTTAAATACGGTTGGTTCCACTTAAAATTGTATAAAATGTTTTAAGATTTAAGCCGGCGCTTAAATTAAACCGGGTTTTGGCGGATTTAAGCCGCGGCTCAAATTCTTTAAATTCGGTCTCAGGAATAATAAATGAATAAATGAATAAATGAATAAGTGAATGAATAAATGAATGAATATCTGAATATCTGTACCTGGTCTGTGTCTAGGGGGTCCTATTTCCTCGTATTCAGATTCTGTAAACACCCGGGAGAACTTCGGTACATTCATAGTGCTCCCCTGTACACAGTGTACAATATATTATACAGCTGTAGTGTACAGTGCAGTGTACATTATATTGTAAAGTATACTGTACACTGTACAGCATATCATACAGTATTAGGTATATAGTTTATTGTAGAATATTATGTGCAAGTTCAGTGTTTGGCACAATTATGTATGTATATATACAATAAATTTTACTATATTATGTACATAGTATTGTACAATTCGTACAATATTACAATGATAACTACAAAACTTTGGAATAGAAAGCCGATATTAAAGCAATACTTAAATGTATTTGATGTTGTTAGAAAGCAAATAGTTTTACTGGTAACTTTTTGAACTATTTAAAATCATAATTTAAGTCGAAAAGTCGTCTTTCTATTCCAGAATTTTATGGTTATCATTGTATATACAGCATATGTAGTATTATTCAAAAATTTCGTTGACAATCTTTTTAATTACTGTAAAATCTATAAATCTTGTAAATTACTCTCCAACAAAGAATTTATAAATCTTGTATGTAAATTACTCTCCAACAATGAATTTATAAATCTTGTATGTACAATACTCTCCAACAATGAATTTATAAATCTTGTATGTACAATACTCTCCAACAATGAATTTATAAATCTTGTATGTACAATACTCTCCAACAATGAATTTATAAATCTTGTATGTA